CTCTCTCTCTCTCTCTCTCCTCTCTCTCTCTCTCTCTCTCTCTCTCTCTCTCTCTCTCTCTCTCTCTCTCTCTCTCTGTCTCCTCCCTGCCCCGGCGCGGCGGGAGGTCAGCCAGTCGCTAGCCAATTATTTCAGCCGGATACCACGTGGCTAAATTCAACGGGCATAGCAGAGCTTGAATTATGTCTCACATTGAATGGTTACTATGTGGAGATTTGGGAATTTATATTATGGGATAATGTTGTATGTAATTTATCTCATCAATAGCTGATTTGTGGATGATTGCTGATAACGTTTTCGGAATTTTGCCTGAACCTTTTCTCTTGATTTCTTTTACTTTTCTTATGAAATTATGTAAGGAGCTACATTTTTCATGGTCGATAACGGAGCAGTAAGACGCGGCTCGTTTTTCGGTCTCTGCCCGGGCTGGGACTCGCTGGGGACCAGTTACTCGGTCGTGCCCGCCCTCCGGCCGGCAGTCGAGCGTCGCTTCCTCGGCGATCACCGTCCGGGGAGCGCCGCCGACCGTGGCTTCCGATCGAGTTTTTTCACAGGCCTGATTGGGCGCTGGCGTTTTTCCTGCCTGACTGTCGCCCTCACGTGACGCTTTCCCAGGGCGAGGAACAAAAAATACAGGGAAGGTTTTGTACGCGCGTCTTGAGACAAAGAGCTACCTGTACGAAAGAATCGAAAATTCTGGTGAGAAAGAAAGCCGTAGAGTGCTGGACTTTCTGGAGGTGCAGCTTTTCAACTTGCTTGGCGTGATGCTTTGGTGTTTTTTTTTTTAAGTTCTCTTATGTCTGCTGGAACCGTGTCAGACTCGGCAGAGAGCCGGCTGGCGGCGCTGAGCTGCCTTTGACCGAGGACTCAGCTCTCTGACGGCAGCGTGGGCCGTAAGGCGCCGGTCGTGAGAAGCCGGCGCCACTGCGAGTGGTCACGACGAGTCGCCGGGGCACGTACCGGCCGCCAGCGCGTCATCCCAGCGGCCGGCCCGGCGACCCTGCCAGTGCCGACCCAGGCCGGTTCGCCTGACCGCGGCGGGTCTTGGTAGGGGCCGGGTTAGGGTCATTTCCTGAAGTTCACTTAGTATAAGAGGCTTCGAAAGAGCATTATTTTGGTTTTGGAAGTGGACAACTATTCACCTATAATGGGAAAGATTGCTGGCGTCCACGCATCGTCATTTTTTGTTTTTGTTTTCGTGATCATATATGTACCTATTCTATGTTTCCTGTTCCTCAAATCAGACAACACATTATTTATGCGACCGCTCTTTCCAGGAGCTTTTCCTCCTTCCTCGTTTTAAGCAGATAATGCAGCAGCAATGGTTGATCGCCAGCAGTCTTTCCTGGTAGGAAGCAGCATCATAATTTGAACTGAACGAACGAGTTCCTGACAGGTTCCATTGCATTACAGTTGCGTTCCGGATAGTCTGCCTGAGACTGACTCAAGAGTCAAGTATTCGTCCAAACTTCTATGCCGATGCTGCATCCGGGTCTGAGCCTTTGTTCCTCGCGAACTGCTTTTTGCAAAACAAACTCAGCCACGCCATGTAACGTCATACTATCTCATACTAACTCATGACACACAATCTCGTCTGTGAAAGCTGAACCGTCTCATCTGGGGAAACGATGCATTTCAGCGCTCATGTGGATTGATACATGTGCAGCGGCTGACCGGGAACGAGTTATCTCGTCATATCGAGGCCATTTGTTTCCGGACTAGTTTTGAGTTGGAGAGAGTACAAGAGTCGCCCGCAATCGGCTCCAACTGTCTTGTCTGCCGGGGCTCTCAAGGAGTTCGGTCCGCACCGCACTGCATGTCTTGGTCTCGCGGATACTCGCCATAAAACACGTTTACGGCCGTGCCAAACTCGATTGAATGTCCCGACGTGGTAGGATGAAATCGGCGCGCAGTGCTGGTGGTATGACGTTGTCTGACAGAGTTTGCGACTCTGCATGTCCACTGTTTACACACTGCTGGCTGATGACGTTTTATGGTCCTACAGCCGGCTACTGGCTGAGGTTGTTCCATATCTAAGTTGCCGGCTAAAGCTACTGTGGATCTGTATTTCTGACTGAGACTGGTGGATCTTTCTACCGCCTGCTGAGGTCGTTGAAACTCTTTACAATCGTCGCAGCTGTACACTATTCGCCACGGAGGCTCTTCTGGTGGCGTCTGCTGATACTGCCTGGCTCGCCAAATGATTCGGTTTTATGAACTGTGGGCCAGCGGTATCGCAGCTGATTGCACCTTTGTATACCGTCTACCGATCTAACTCGCTTGGTGGTGCTGTCACGGCAGCAGCCACACCACCGCGACAGCGCAGCTCGACCCGGTGATTCCCGTATACCACCGGGAGGAAGCGCCTTCCCCTCCCGCCCCTCCCGGGTCCCCGGCCCGGTCGGTGATTGCAGGAGTGCGCCAACGGGCTGTGCCGCTTCCCGTGGCCCGGCCCGGGATAGTCAGACGGGCGCGCGTATGCATACTAATGGGACGGCGGGCCGTCGGCAGTATGCACGCCGCCGGCCGGCCCCGCGGCGGTCCCGGCGCCGAGTGACGAACGGCTGCCGGCAGCGGCGCCCGCCGCCCACTAATGAACAGCGTCTCCACACACATAGGGGCGCATACCGGCTTACTACGTCGATAGTACAAAATATTATACTTAACGAATTATTTTCACCATCGCCTTGCTGCTGCTTAGCGTGTCGGAATTAGAGATTGGTCAAAGGTGAACAAATAATTTGACCCTCGTCCCTTGCTATGCATTTAGGCTGTTCTGCAATTTGTTCTACAATCTGGATCCAATAGTGACTAAAGCTTTCACTCCATTCCTAATCTTGAGATCCTTAGAAGAGCTCTCCTATTGCGACTGGAGGGCTCACAGCACTAGTGGCTCAATCGCTGCCAACTGCAACCTTGATCGGCCCGGATCTATCGTGCCATCTCCTCTCTCCTCTCTCTTCTTTCTCATACTCCACTCACCCACCTCTTCTCTCCTTAGTTTTCTCCACCTCTCTTTCTCTTGTCTCTTCCTCTCTCCCATCTCTGGTTTTGATTCCATCCTATCGGACCGTTCACCATGCCGATGCATTGCGGGCGGTCAGGTCAGCCTCAAACCGCCGTCAGTCGAAGCCGACCATCCGTCCGTCCTCCTCTCGCGTAACTAGCCAACCCCGCAGCCGCAAGGGAGCAGTGCCACCCGTGCATATTACATCGGAATTCCACGGCTTCATCCTAGTCTGGAGCGCTGGTTCGAGCACGCATTGGAGCTTAAGCGGCGGACTTTGATGGTCGGGAGCTGGCGAGTGGTGCTGGCACGCTCGGCTGCTGCCGGCATCACCAGTCCAGTGTGGAGAGGGGTCTGTTCAGACCAAGTTCAGACTCCTAATGATGACTGCTGACAGCCAAGTCCTGTGCAGTGCCGGGGGCAGTCTGGGCTTCCGATGCGTGCAGTGCGTTGAATTTGAGCGTGTGCTCCCCCTTAGTTCCTTGTCGCAGACAGACATGAAGTTTTTCTGCAGAATTGCGCACCGAATCACCGAGCGCAGGATCAGTTTCTTTGAAGTTTAACATGGGTAGTTTAAAAATGAAAAGAAGTCCTTTGAACTGAGAATTCAAGCATTGGTTGTGTTCTTTTCAACGGTGGCTTGTCAGTGCTACAAAGCATTTATTACTCTCATTTTAAGTCAACACCAAGCGCTGAGTAGGTATATGTTCCGAGGGAAGGCCGGTTTATGCCTGATTCCACGGCACTTCAGCATGGTCTTCATGTCCATCTGCTCTGTATCGGTCGTTAGCACTGGTAGTGCCGTGGATGCTGAACGGTGCTGGGAACTTCTGTGGCCGTAAGGCTCGGCATGTTGTCCAATGTTGAGTGAGATGGATTGCTCCTGAATGCGCTCTTTACGGAATTCATGTGCTTTTTTAGGATGGTTTCGATATGGAATGTGGAGACAGACAAAGGATGTACGCAAATGTAGATATTATTCCAAGGTATGCTAGCAATTGATGTTAAAGTAGATTCAAATTGCAAGAACTTGCTCGAATCTACATGCTTATTTCTGACTTTGTTGTCCATTCGGTCAATCTCGGAACCCGTGCGCGACGGCGCTCGGGCGGCTTTCCTGAGTTGGTAGGCTGTTCCGCATAGCGTGCCTGTCAGGCGGCGCAGCCTACCTCGCAGTGGTGTGCTGCCGGACCAAATCGAAGTCAAGGAGACGCTTTCTTGGTGGAACGTGAGATCATAAGCTGTGGGAAACTGGAGGAGAATAATGACGGATTGCTCGCTCTTTGCCTTTTACTTATTTCAAACAAACTTGTTTTTTCTTTAAATGGTGTGTCTTCGAATTCCATGGATCATGTAAACGTAGGGCGACGAGCAGCAGTAACTGGGGACACTTGTCGGCTGGCTAGTCTCCGCCGAGGTCGGCCGTCGGGGTCACGTCGACAGCAGCTTAACGGGCAGTTTGCAGACCATCGAGACAGCGGCGCTCTCCAGCGGCGGGCTTACCGCGGGCCGCCCAAACCTAACTAGATTGCCCGACTCTCCCGAGACTCTGCCGTGTCGAATTGGACGGAAAGTGATTTCACGGTGTGCGAACTGGAGTCGCTTTCGTACCTCCTAAATCCGTCGGCTCAGTGTCTGACGACGCGGCCGGCGGCGGCCGCTCGGTGCAATTCTCGCCGTGTGAGACGGTGCCGGTCGGCTCGATGGCTGTCTGGCCAGAACTGCTGGATCGCGGTGATCTATGTGCACGCTTACTGTGTTAGCTGAGTTTGGAGTGGCGTACCTTTCTCATATAGAAGCTGGTTAAAGTGTCGACATTTTAGTCATTTCGACTCGTTATTCTGTTATACGTACTGTGTCGACAAAGCCCAGCATAATCGCTACGCTGTATGCGTTTACATAAGCGCAGAGACAGCACTGTTGAGTGTGTGCTCCTGCATGTAGACTCGATTCCACTGACCCGACCCGACCTGACGTGTCTTGTTTGTTTCAGCGGCCACTGGTGCACCGCGCCGACCGTAGCAACAGCGCCGGTTTCGACAAGAGTCGTCAGTGTGAGATTCACATGCAGGTCGGCGGCGGCCACAAGGGCTGCTGCCGCAGCTGGCTATCCAAGTGAGTGGGCGCGGCGGGGTTGAGAGGGCCTGGGTGTCAAGATGGGGGTGAGTAGAGACTGAACTGTCTGACCGAACGTCAACTGGGTGGGACGCGATCGGTATGGACTATGGGAGTGGCTCGGTAAGGCATCTGACTTTCAGAAAAGAAAAATAGATAAATCATCTTTCTAACTTCCTATAATTCGTGTTGTGTCAAACCCTTCTCAGCTAAACAAGTGGAAAATGGTATTCAATCCTTCTAATCCGACCCTGTCTCAGGTTGGTGTCGCGTCGCCCGCCCGCTCTTACCGCTATCACGGGTCTATTGGATAACAGTCAGCACCCGGGGACCAGACGTATTTGACAGAGCCATTATCTTCGCCGTCCAGATTGTTCCCGGCAGATTTAGCCAATCACATCATCGGATCCTTTAAGCGGCTTGGGCGGGCGAATTTCTCCGAACGATACCCGTCCGATTGCTTTATAATGCATTGGATGTCGGCGTCACTGGCGCTCCAGCTGCCGCTACCCGCGGATTGTGGCCGGCACTGCGCGGAGATGAACGCTGACCGACAGAGGCCCGTTCACGTCGCACAATCGTCCGATTCCGATATTGCTTCCGGAGCACCCTGTAAACTCAGTTTATGACGTGGAGTGTGGCAGTTTTGCTGCGTCCGAAACACATGGTTCAACAAAAGCTCGTAGCGTTTCTCGGATTCTTCAGATTTAGAGGGCCTGCTGGGCCTTCTTTTCTCTGGCGATTTATCAACAGAGGAGCTATTGACTTGGAGCTCGGCTATTCGTTGGCTCAGTTGGGTGGAGGCGACTAGTCATTTTATTAGGGATTTCGTTTCGGGCGCGGAAGTTTTAGCAGGCTAGTAAGCGGGGCTGCTGGCGTCCTGAAGAAATTAACCCTCGCATGTGTAGGGGGGGGGGGGGTCGGATGGACCCCCCCCATGGTTTTTCGCGAATAACTCGCGTAAAAAGCGGCCGATCGCGACGAAACTTTCAGTACCCTCGCATTGATCAATTTTACACCTACCCTGAAAATGTCATGACCCTGACCCAAATGACCTTTGACCTGTGACCTCTTTTCCGAGACCATGTTTGGCCGGAATCGCGATTTCGCGTATGTCGGCTCGCACTAGCCGCGTGTTTGCAAGCTTTTCGTGGTTTCAAACGTTCAAACATGTGATTTGATGTTACTCCCGTGTGTGTCAAGGTCACCTGAAGGTCAGGTCAGGTCATTGACCTTTGGTGACCTCGGGTGACCTCGGGTCACTTTTTCGAGTTTTACATGTTTCTAGGCTAGTTTTTGGAGCTGAATTCGAATTTATCAACCATTTGAACATTTACGAAGTAGTTTTGGTGACTTCGTAACATGTTACGAAGCTGTCAGAGGCGGTTGACACGTACTACGAATACCCGTCACGACGCCTACTGGTTGACCTGACCTGACCTGACCCGACCTGGTCTAAATGCTTCAAGACATCATCTGTGATCAAAACTAACACGATATTCGTGATCAGCACCCCGAAAAACCCCTTAGCAGCCACACTTTACGACTTTCTAACAGGTCCCGATTTTCCCGACTTTGGGTCATTGACCTGACCTGGAAGGTCAACCAATGACCTAGGACCTTAAAATTGGGTATCATCGGCTTCCTCTCGTCACGGGCAACACGCTCGTTTTTTCCGCGAAGCTCTAGCTCGATCAGGGGCCAAACGGCAAGGGGGGGGGTCCAACCGACCCCCCCCCCCCCTACACATTAGAAGCTGGCAAACGCCGCACACATGCGAGGGTTAACGCTGCGCCGGCGGGCGCATGGGACGTCCTCTCAATATAACGCGCACCTCCTCAACCCGCTGGAGCTGAATGCCTCGTCGGGATAACTTCTGCTATATAATGAAATGAATATTTTAGAATGCTTCTCAGCTACTCAGGATAAAGAGAGCCTGGCGTTCTACGCACAAACTGCTATGCAGTATGATGTATAGTTTCATCGGAAACTAGCTCGTTCGCTGCGAATGAGGATGCAAGGTATGTCTCAAAAGTTGTAACGGTACGCATACGAATATATCAGCATAGAACGTGCCTAAGCTCTGTGCGCTTACAATTCCAATGGAAACTGTCTGGTCAGACAATATCACGATACACTGCCGTAATTTGTAGCATATTAGCTTTACCACACCACGTATCCAGTGGGAGAATGTCTCTCATATCGGGACAGCGGCCCTGAGCTGATGTCGCCGCGTTCCACGACAGCGCCGATCCCAGAGGAGCCCTGCCGCGGCCGGCGGGCGGTGGTGCGGCGGGACGCGGCTGCGGGCTGCGGTCGGGTCACGTGCAGTGCCGCGGCCGGTCCCCAGGCGTCGTATTGATCGAACGTGATTGGCGGTGTCATCTCTAGGCACGGGCAGCGACGATGTCACAATGACAACAGGACCGGTGTCACAATAACAACAGAGCCGGTGTCACAATATCAGCCAGGCTGGTGTCACAATATCAGCAGTGCCGGTGTTACAATAACAACAGGGCCGGTGTCACAATGTCACCAGGCTGGTGTCACAATATCAACAGCGTCGGTGTCACAATACCAGCAGACCTGGTGTCACAATATCAACAGCGCCGGTGTCACAATATCAGCAGCGCCGGTGTCACAATATCAACAGCGCCGGTGTCACAATATCAGCAGCGCCGGTGTCACAATACCAGCAGACCCATTGTCACAATATCAACAGCGCCGGTGTCACAATGGCCGTTTTCACGACGGCCATCTGGTACACATTTGGTGCACATCTGGTACAGATTAGGTGCAGATTTGGTCAAATCAGGTTCAGTGTGTCTCTTAGCAGCTATCAGCTAGGGCTGCACTAATTGCTTATATGCCTGCTTTGTCATGTTATCAGAGAGCACCATCGATTAAAACACTGAAATAAATTCATAAAATGAAGATATTTGCTGTAAAAGAAATCAGGTGCAGATTTGGTCAAATCAGGTGCATTCACCGGATAGCCCGTCGTGAAAACGGCTAATATCAGCAGCGCCGGTGTCACAATATCAGTAGCACCAGTGTCACGATATCAGTAGACTCGGTGCCACAGTAACAACAGGACCGGTGTCTCAATATCAGCAGGTCGGTGTCACAATATCAGCAGGCACGTTGTCATATCAGACAGGCTGGTATCCCAATATCAGCAGTCACGGTGTCACAATATCAGCGGGTCCGTTGTCAATAACAGCAGGACCGGTTTCACAATATCAGCAGCGCCGTTGTCACAGTGTCAGCTCGCCACGTCTTTGCGGCGCCGCCGAGTCGATCACCGCACTTGACAACGGCGTCGGTCAATGATAGACAGACCGACGTTAGCACGGCAGTCCACGGTCAATATTTAGCTCTGATTCAAACGCTCTTGATGCACGAGCTGTCGGTCGGGATTTGTGCTTGGTTCCAGTTAACGACCTCAGCTGCTTAGGTAAATAGATATGAGATGTCGTGACTGAGCAGGTCCACGATTTGATAATCACGGATTAATCATTGACTTCGAATTGCGAGCAGATACAATCGTTTCGGGTTCATTTGTGCGGGCAGACGCCGTGACCGCGCTGACCTCTGCCCCGACCTCTGGCTGAGCACGGCCCTCTGCCCAGGGCCCGGCCTGATTGGGTCGAACGTCGTCCGCGCCGGCGACTCCCCGGGGGCTCTCGTTAGGAGGCAGAGCGGAGAGAGCAGCGGCGGTACCTGTCCCGGCCGGCCGGCTGCCGCTGCGGCTCTGTGCAGCCGGCCGTGACATCGGGCAGGGTGGGCGACCGCCGACCGCACACGGCCCGGCAGGCTCCCTGTGGAAGGTCACGGTCTGGGGGGCATCTGACTGTTGGTCTGAGTCGTGGTGTGGTTAGTCGATATCACTCCCGGGTTATCGACCAGTCATCCGACTGTCAACCTGGAGGATATGTTGGTCAGCTCAAACATTTGATCACTCATTTTGATAGATGTTACGAATGTGCACTGCCTGTTTGGTTTCGAATCTTGGCTTGGTTTTCCAATAATCACCACATTGGATGTAGACTGTTGTTTGATTATCCGACACTGGCGAAATCGTTATTGACAGCCGCATACTAACGAAAATTGATGATAATTCCGATGGAGCCTGAAGGAGAAACAGCATTCTCCTATAAATACCACGGGCTATTGGACCATGGCCAATCAAGAATATGAACATGAATATATACTATGTGATAAGCTTCCGCTGGATGATGCTTATTCAGCATCCTCTGAGTCCCTTTTTGTTTCGGCATGGCCGAGTGCCAATGTTTCCGTTATTTTTGTTTCTGTGGTGGCGGTGTATTTCTGCGGCACCCACCGTGGTTCTGAGGACCGTCCTAGAGCCGGCCGCCGTGTTTGCGGCTCTGCTCAGCAGTGTGTGCTCTCCACACAGAGCTGCGAGTGGGCGGCAGCCGCCCCCACCCCCGCCCCCGCACGGGCGACCCACGCATCGCCAAGACGACCGCGTTTACGGCCGATTTGATGTCCTGTTTCGGCTGTTTTCTAAATGATTTGCTCCGTGATGACCAGTTATGACAATTGGTGCCGACTTTATGGGTGCTGACGTTGTCTTTGGCAGGCTGAGATCTGTGCGCTGGACAGTGGGCGTGATTTGAGTGGTCATTAAAGCAGAGAGGCTTCCACGGTGGACGAGAGGAGGGGCTTCACTGGGGGCCATCTTGAATAGCGGAAAATAGGTCGTCAACGGGCGAAGACGGAACTTCATATCAATTGACGAATCAATACGCCGATTCCCTGCTCCTACTTTTCACATCGCTCTCGAAGTGAAGGGCACGCAGTACCTTTTGTTCTATAGTTCATCAATTCGGTGTGCCGTCGACATGGATGCTTCCCTTTTCTCCAAGAAGTCTGTTGGATAGATGGACATGTTGCTGGGCGTCTCTCGTTTGATTATACCTATTCGATGGTCGGCTGAGGCTCCGTATGGTGCAGTTTGTTTCGCCAATGCATGTGGTCGCGTTGCCGTTAGGTTCTTTATTTCCTTGCACTATTCATAGGCCATGCCTTCAATGGACGTCGTAGGTCATGGCAATATTTCAGTGCATATTTCATCATGCTATTCGCGGCGGCGGCCTAGTGTGGGCCGTCTCCGAGCGGCTGATCGGTGCCTTCCCTGCGGAGCAGGCGCAGGGGGCCGCGCGGTGACACCGGCCGCCGGCGCGCTGACAGGAGCGCCGCGCTGCTGACTTCGAACGGATTAATATGACCGAGTAGCGCCGCTATCTGGGCGCGGCAGTCTGCGGCCAGGACGTCGCCGCCGCCGCTAAGACGGGCAAGACGAACTAGGCTGCCGAGCGACTCGTGATGAATGGACCGGCCGCGCCCGGCCAGTGATCTGACCCCATACGGGGTCACGACCTCAGTTGTACGGAAATGAAAGGGTGTTTCGGCTCATCGAAAATTTCCTGTTCTTCAGTAGGTACGGGTGATCGACGGGTGGCTAAGTACGAAAGTTTATCACAGCGATGTTTTTTGTTGTTTTTAAGGGTGAGATTTTGTTGCCGATAGCACATCCATCTTCCCAGTGTTGGTAATGGAAAGTTTGAACAGCGGATGATCAATGATGCTGGCTTTATCGTGTTTGACGGCGTTTGTGCCTTATGAATATCTTTCAGGCCTCTCTGGTGTATTATAGCGATGCTTCCAGCGCTGTTTTCTCTCGGAATGTGCAGTCAGTCGTGCTAAATCGCTTGTCCCAAGTTTGAGAGATCGTACCCAGCTATATGAAACCCCGTAAACTTGCCCCGTCTTAGAGGACAAACTTTGCGACATGCCGTCCTGGGACACATCACAACTTGTTCTGTCACAAAGTGGAAACGCTTATGTTTAGCCAACTGAAGTAATTTGAAAGTTCTTAAGACAATTTCTCTCGCTGTTTTCCGAAATTCCAATAACTATCGCATTGAGTAGGTAACTTCCTGATTATTACTAGGAACATCCGCAGTTCCTTGTCCTTATCAAACCCAACCAAATGCGTTGATCGCTGGCATTGGCTTCTCGGTTTTCTTATTAGGTGTGCTGCAATAGTGCCTTGCAATATCCTTTTGGCTGGACTTTACTAAATATTAGATTACTTGTTCTTGTGGCACCAAATAAAAGATGCTTGTCCGGCTTCGATTTTGCCGCATCATTGTACCATCAGTTCTCTAGCTCCTAGCCTAGAGGATTCCTACTGACCGTGTCTCGTTCGTTCGACAGGTTCCCGACGCGCTCGAAACGGATAGACGTCATCGCCCGGATCACCTTTCCGCTGGTGTTCGCCCTGTTCAACATGATCTACTGGGCGACGTACATCTTCCAGGACGGTGGCCAGGAGATGAAGTGAGCCTCCGCGGCACACGGACAAACTCTGGCGGCCCGGCGCGACCGGCAACGCCAGCACGCTGTGCCAATGTTTCCACTTTCACAGATGTGTATGCGAGGTAGTGATACATATATCAGCAAGCGGTACACGAGAATGGAGTGTCTGGGGTGAATGGCAGTCCGCATACCGCGGGATAGATTACCGGGCTGGCTGAGTGGACCCCGGGACGGAATACTAGCCGCGTCTCTCGTGCAACCCATCGAAAAGTGGTGGTTTAAATGCTCATACCTCGACGGACCTACTGTGGTGGCCCCTCACCGGTGGACTGACGGCTGGGCGGCCCGACCGGGACGGTCACCGCGATTGTGATACTGACACAATGTGCTGCGGTGACAATCCTGCGCCGCCAGTCGCTCGGCTGGACGATTGGCGCGAGCGACGTGGCTCCCCTGCTGTTACGAGTTGTCTCACGTTTATAAGAGCTCCGCCCAACCGTTGGCGTTACTGCGCGGTAGAGTTTATCGTCTTCTCGGCGGGAGGGGCGCGCTCGGGGCTCGTTCGAGTGTTCGAACGGTCGGACCGGGCCGATCCGCTGCTGTCAGGATGCCGACTGTCCGATCGGCTAATTGCCGGTTGGAACGAAGCGAGTGGACGTCCCGTGACGCGTTGCTCAGACGCTGGCCGGCCGCCGGGGTGGCGCGCTGTCTTTCGTTGGCGGTAAGCTCGCTTCCTGCCGCCCGGTGTGTGCCCCGCGCGGCGCCGGCACACTGGCTCACTGCGCGCTCTGAGTTGCCGCGGCGCCGCTGCTTGGGTGCGTCTCGTTGTGTGTGCTCTCTGACTGTTTCCGTGTCGGTTACCCGGGTGTGGGGCCGCCGGGGAGGCGTCGCCCACGTCTCGGTGTGAGCTGTCTCCGCCCGGGAGCGGCTGTTTCTGTTGGCCGCTGGGTGACTCCTAACTCGCCGCGGCGCTCTGTTTCCACCCCGGGAGGCGGTCGTCTCGGGTAGTCCCCGACTGGCCGGTCGTGGTCACACATTCCACCAGCGCTAACCTCAGGCAAAACGAACCGACTCTGTGTTCATGTAGCGACAACGCACCCCGGGACGAGTTTTATAACGGCTCGACCAAGTCACTGGGAGAGCGATTATCAGTTACGGGAGCTAGAAACGAGTAGTGGGGTTGAGTGTATTTGCATTGTGTTCTCTGCTTATTGTTACTCGAGGAGATTTAACTCGTAGTTCCAATCCTCTGATCCACGAAATAGTCCGTCAATGTAAACTCCCGTCGAACTAAGCTCGGTCAATGGTGCGGACATTCACATACATCGCACACACGTCTCATCCTAGGGTCCGACACATCTCATCACTAGTGTCTGAAGCCATTTCGACATGCGCACACCGGCAGGGCGCGCCCCAGTGGTGCCAGCGCCGCTCTCAACGGCCCGTTGTTGCGTAGGTGTTAGTTCGCGTCATTTTAATAAATAAATTCTGAGAAAAAAGTGTTTGTAAAGGATCTACATATGATCGGAGGTTGTTGCCGTGTTTGACACCGTTGCGTGACTTGGACGGTGTGTTTCTGTGAGCGCACCGCGTTGACTCGTGAGTCCTCTCACGCCAGCTCCCCTGGCGCTGAGCGGACGTGTCCTGTCGCTCCGTTCAGCACCCCTGTCACTGTCACCTCTCTTTGACATCTGCGGATCAATCAGCGCGCTGTGAGGGCGCTCTCCGCGCGCGCCTGTGAAGTCGGCCGGTCCCGAGGGAGCGGCGCGCCGCGCTCCGACCAACTCATTACCCGCCGGCACACCTACAAATGTCGCCACAATTTGCCAGCGGACGCGAGCTCAATAGGCGATGATTAACGCCGGGGCGGCGCGCGCTGCAGTCACGGCCGGCGCCGGCTTGGCACGGGGCGGCCGCCGACTCAGCACTGCGGCGCCTCCATCAAACCAGGGAGGATGCGGGACAGCCGCCGAGGCGTCTGGCTCTCGATCGGCGACGTCCGTACAGTGGGTTTGCTGCCAGGGCTAAGTGGATGAAACTAACTTGGACCCTGCGTATTAATTATACGGACTCGCTGATGTAATTTCATTGCAAAACGTCAGCCTGATGGCATTTAGGTACTTGAGCACCCCATGTATCGATAGATAATTCTTATTCTTCAAAGGCTCACGACGATATCTGCCGAGCCAATATTTATGCTGAAACTGTTGACTTGAAAGCACAGGCCAAGTGCAGCAAAGGCATATATATGTTACAGTTAGTATGCGAAATCCGTTAGTTTGCAACGCAACTAGTTTCGTTGCAAACTACCTGACCGGCCAGGTAGTTTGCAACGAAACTAGTTCCGTTGCAAACTAACTGACCGTCCAGTTAGTTTGCAAACTAACTAGTTAGGATGTAAACTACCTAGTTACTTTGTAACGGAACTAGGTGTGTTGCAACGGAACTAGTTGTAATGCGAAATCGACGAGGCAGTGGCTCTATTTGTCGTTTATATTCGTCTTTTATGTAAATTTTAGCAGCGGTTGTTAAAACAAAGCTGTGTTTTTCTAACGGATGACACTAGACATACGTGTAGGACGGGTGGTCACATTTATGGATGAAAATTGAAATAGTTTCGACTACATAATGTGACGATCACTGGCGAATCCAGAGGAGGGGCAGTTCCGGGGGGCATTTTACGATTTTGATTTTTTTTAGACACCCACTAACACCAGTCACCACCGCCGCCGCACAGAACAGAACTGAACTGTATTGTCCCATTTTGTCCCGTGATCCGGGGTTAGCGTGCGATCAAGAATCTGTCTCACCGGCCGACTCCTACTGCGACTTGCCTAGCCAGGTGACCTAGCGGTGCCGGGTCATTCGGTAACAGCCAGTGATCAGAGGGCAGGTTGCGTCACAGAATGATCGGCTGTGGAGGTGGGAGCTCGTCAGCGACTCGGTTCTGGAATATTCCGAAATCGGCAGCAGAACCTTTACTTTCCGCTTATCCCGCGCCCCACTGGGGTCTGTGTATAACACTCCCTACTGGGGGGGGGGGCTATTCATAGACCTCCCCTCCTTACTCCGAAACTACTGGGCCGATCGTCAAAATTCAAACGGCATCTAATAGCCCTGGAAAAACTGTCGTACGAAACAAAATTTCATTGACCTCGATGTCACCGATATCGTCACAGGTCAGGTCAAAGTAAAAATTATTGATATTTGGCTTGTTCACCTTTTGGGCTCTGTGGCTGCCGTCTTACAAGTCAGATCAGGCTGGTTTTTGGTTTACACACTCGTGAACAGATGCTTTAGATACTATGAGAGTACCAAACTTGTAGGTACTTTGATTTTCAAGTCAGGGTCAGGTCATCATAGGTCACGGAAATCTTATGTCATAAGTCGGTCACGTGACACATGGTTTATGGTCCATTTAGGCTATAGATTTCGAATTCGGTGTCGCCTGTGTCAGTTGAGGCCATTTTCATCTGAATATAGCTGAGGTCAGGTCACTTTCAGGTCGAACAAGGTCAAATTTTAAAGTTGAAATTTTTCAACAAAAAAAAACATGTCTATCGGATGCAGTTTGAGCTCAGGAACACGATGGTGCTGTTTATATTGGTGTGCGATGTCAAATTGGTACAGAAAAATTGATTTGAAAATTCAAAATTGTGAAATTTTTGCTATAATGCGTATAACTTGGCCATTTTTGAAGATATCTGGCTAAAACTTGCTAGATTAAGTCATAAGCATGTGTTCTATAATATTTATTCCGTTTTTTCGAAAAGTTCAAAAGTTTTTGAAAAAAGATAAAAATACAAATTTTTAAATTTTAATATGTATAATTTTCAAAGTCAACAAAAATTTGAAAATTTTGAAAATTTTGAAAATCGAACATGACGTTACTCTGACGTCATTTCCGGCCGACCTATGATAGATACGTAGTTCAACTTTTGACACAAGGTGTCAAATTGATGCAGCCGAAGGTACCTACTGAAAGTTTGGCGGCGATACGTCAGCCGGTCTAGAAGTTATTGCAGAAAAACGGGAGGGGGGCTATGAATAGCCCCCCTCCCCCAGTGGGGCGCGGGTTATGTCTACACATTTATGGTGATCACTGGCGGTTCCAGAAAGATGGTCTTAAACGTTGCTGGAGACATAATCCCAAAAAAGTTTTCCAAAAACCTTTCGAATTTTGATTCCAATCCTTACACACGGCTGTGCAATCTGAAACAAGTATTTGATTATAAAAGTTGTTCAGTTTTCGTTTCGTTCTCAAAATAATAAGTAAATATTTGTCGCTTTCGGGCGCTGCGTGGATGGCGGAGCGATTTTGGGCGCCCCCCCCCCCCCCCCCTCTGGATCCGCCAGTGATCGTAACGTTATGTAGTCGAATCCGGTTAATTCACTGTTTCTATCCTAAATGTGACCACCCGTCCTACGTCTAGTGTCATCCGTTAGAAAAACACAGCTTTCTTTTTAACAACCGTTGCTAAAATTTACATAAAAGTTGAATATAACCGACAAATAGAGCCACTGCCTCGTCGATTTCGCATTACAACTAGTTCCGTTGCAACACACCTAGTTCCGTTGCAAAGTAACTAGGTAGTTTGCATCCTAACTAGTTAGTTTGCAAACTAACTGGACGGTCAGTTAGTTTGCAACGGAACTAGTTTCGTTGCAAACTACCTGGCCGGTCAGGTAGTTTGCAACGAAACTAGTTGCGTTGCAAACTAACGGATTTCGCATACTAACTGTAACATATAGACCTTTTCAAGGGCGTTACGAGCATTGGACTAATTGAACAACTTGTGGTATCGAGTGGTAGGAGTTGTACACTAATGTGACAGTAAACTAGTAACTTAGCTTCAGACTTCTCTTCAGCTCTGAATCTGAAGAGCTCGGAGAAAAAGTTGACGACCATCAACCGCCCGACGTGCCGCTCCGTCTGCGTCCGTCTTGTGGCGTCGCTGTTCCGGTCTCTGGGTCCTCGGCTGCTGCCGGTCGGGACACCTCACCAATAACAGCGCAGCGGATTAATGACGGCCATTCCGCCGAGGCGACGGTCGCTGTTTTGCCGTGCGATGAAACGACGCCATTGTCGCTCGAGAAATTCGCCAATGTTTGCTCAGACCAGGCCGCTGAGAGGAATTCTCTCATGATATCGCGATGCCTCGGTCACTCAGAAGCCCCACTTGGTTTCACTTCTGACAACAAAAGAAAGCCTGATATGAAACGCAACAACAAAAAGGAACACCAAATTGACAGTGATGTGGAGAAAACAGCGGCGAAACCCTTCTACCCGTCGGCGATATGCGCGATCGCGGCTCTCCGATCGAGAGAAGGGCGGTCTCGACCGCAGCATATTTCCCGATTGATCAGTTCTGACAGAGCGCTGACGTTTGGGAGCGCGGCGGCGGAATCCCTTTGATCTCGCTCGGGGCGTCTCGGTGCAGGCAAACACGCCTCCATCGAGGGCCGTCTGTCGAACCAAGCAAGGGGACGCTACTGGTTAGCTGAAACCTTTCGGGGCAACCGGCCTGTGCTTCCCGAGCTTTCAGGGTGACAGGTGTGTAAGGTCACGAGTGGGTCAGCCCAGGTCAGGATGGAAAAGACATGGAAGGCTGAGCCCAATCGAAAGTTATCAATGCATATCGAGATTAGTGGTGCGGGGTATTTGCCTGGCCAAAGTACCGCTTAACTATTAGTAGCCCTTGTGAGATTCGATAGCTGCCAGTCCGTAAAGCGGGTGAGAACTTCTCATTCGTACAAAAACGTGCGCGACGACAATATGACCAGCGCCTTCCCTACGTCTTACCATCTGTCTCCGTAAGTAAGGTCCCGCTCCTCTGTTTCATACCGCCGACCTCTCTGTCGTCTTACCGATCCCGGCGCGGGCCGTCCCAGTTCCGGTCGTTCGGTATCCCAGGTCGGCGCCTCGTTACCGTCAGGCCCTCTGGCTGTCGCCGGCAGCCGTCGGTGGCGGCGCTGGCGGCGGACAGGTCACAGCGGGGGGCCGACAGCGGCGCTGCCCGGCCCGATAGACTGCTGAGTGGAGGGGCCGACGGCTGTGAATATTCAGGGAATATTTCCGCTCCGGCCCGGGAGAGCCGCGGCAAACGATGCCCGGAGTCGGGGAGCTCTATTGGACGGCCCGGGCGCTGGCTCGGACGGGGCACGGGGAGGCAGGAGGGGAGGGGCCCAGCTAATGGATCCCGCCCCGCACACCGATCAACTACAGTAACAGCTCTGCCACAGTACGTATATAGCCGAATGTAAAAAAAAAAAAAATGAGCGGAGAAATGGTAATATAGCAATGCAACCGCGATTGCATTGCGTATTAATTTTTGTTGACCTATTCGATATTGCTGCACATTTGTTGCCGCTTACAATTAATATTGAGAATAGTTTCAATACACGTTTAACACCGTCATTGATCTGGATTTCTCATTTGTTTGCTTCCAAACGAACGATTTGTTTGTTAGACTTAGCATAATCGATTGGCGCAGAAAGTGACATCCACCCCCATACTCGCCGTTCCGAGCAAATATCAACAAAAATAACACCATACATTTACCCAATGGTACAGTGAGATTTGTATTGGCTCGCTTCCATAGACGCGCTCACAAATGATCTCAACATGAACACACAACAATTGTGTTCGTTCGGTGCCTGCACCTTACTTTTACGGATAAGTTCGAAACGTGAGTAGCGGGTCATTCTGAGACTTCCAAATGATGGAGAGTGTTAACAGTTGTTCAGGAACGGACTTAGCATTGGTGATGACTGGAGTTTCATTTGTACAAAAGCGTATGCCACAAAAGTCTGACCAGCACTTTTCCTACCGCAAATCTGCCTCCGTAAGTTGGGGACATGCCACGACGCCACCGTGTGCCTAAATAACGGATCCACGCGGGCGTCACCAGCCAGCACAGAGTCCAGAGATTGAAACACAAATAACATATGCACGTCAGTTTACTATCACTTCTTAGAGTCCTTTTTGTCTTTATCGTCCTTTTTGTCGTCACTCTTGCTGTCCTTATCCTTGTCCTTATCCTTATCGTCCTTCTTGTCCTTGTCCTTTTTGTTACTTTGCGACTCCTTCTTCTCGACATCCTGGTTGGAGAGCTTGTTGTCGATGAGGTTGTGCAGCGCGATCACTGAGCGGATCATCGAGGCCAGATACACCACCAGCATCTGGTCGTTGGTCTTGACGTACAGCGACTTGACCAGGTCGCCGTGCGTGATGTCCGGCAGCAGGTTGAAGATGTCCTGCAGCGCGTACACGATCTGGTGGTTGACGGGCAGCTTGCCGTCCACCACCTGCTGCAGGTAGTTGCGGATGCCGCGGATCTGACCCAGCAGGCCCTTGAGGCCGACCAGCTGGTTGGTGATGCGCTGCGACAGGGTGCCGACGGTGGTGTCCTTGACGTCCCGCAGCAGGTGCTCCACGCCCACCTCCTCGGCCTCCTCGGCACCGATCTCGGTCGGCACGTGCTCGAACGTCTTGGAGGTGGGCGTGCCGTCGTCGTGCACCTCCTCGTAGGCGACGTACGCCTCGGTCGGCAGTCCGATCGACTTGGGCTTGGCGTCAATGATGATGAGCACGGAGTCGGCGCAGTACTTGCGGATCAGCTCGTTGATGGCCACGTCGTTCTGGTGCAGCTTCGGGCCCGTGTGGTACCAGCCGACGATCTTCTCGCGGGCGTTCACCTTTTTGAACATGCCGTACATGCTCTCGAGGTAGTCGTGGTCCAGGAACCACACCGACTTGTCCTTGTCGTCCTCGTCGAACGGCACGGCGAAGCTGTTGGACACGTCCAGCACGCCCTTCTTCTGCCAGCTGCCCAGCAGGACCCCCACCACCCGCTTCTGGTTGCCGATCTTGCTCATGCGGTTGAAGTGGTCGACGACACTGAGCAGCACCAGCGGGTGGACGATGATCTTCTTCACATTCAGCTCCAGGTCCTTGGGACCGATGGAGACCTTGAGGTCCTCAGTTTTGGAGCTGGACACAGCCGCAGCAGCCATTTTGAGTGTTTACAGCAGAATTCACCAGAAATAGGTACTCAACAGCTTCACCTGAAAGAAGAGAAACATTGTGTAAGATATACAATATCTTGGTCAATTACCTTCTTCCACATACCACTGTTGCATGAAGTATTAAGTAAAGACTACATAGCTTGAGTACCTTGTTCCAATGGAGTCACGTCTTTTTGGAATTTCTCCAATAGATCAGTGATGCTATCACCATATCAATATCGATATGCACGATGTGTTTGAAACAAGCTAAATAATAGGTACATCTTGTGCAAAAGCAAATTAGTGCAGTGTGTACTTATACTTACAAAGAAAACATTGGGAAAATCATGCGATAAAACATCTTACAGCCCAATATACTAATGGTATATTTGTATTATGGAAAACATTATTTCTTAAAGCTGGAAATATTAATCAATTATCCATTTTCTTAGGATGAAATGGTGCACTCCTGGATATCCTATTCAAAGCAAATATTTCCACTTAACTTTTTAATGAAAATAAATAGAACAAGCATAACCAGGGATGCGGAGCCATGGAAATTGCAGACGGCTTCGGCTCCGGCTCCGGCTCCGGAGAAAGAAATCGGCTCCGGCTCCGAGTAAAATGGTCCGACTCCAATGCTCAGTACATCCCCTATGCAATTAAATACGAGTGGAAGAAAAAAAGACGATGGGATTGGTGCACGTTGCTTCTGTATTTGCATAACAAAGCTACCTATTTTCATATTTAAATACCACATGTTTTATTGTTTTACTGCCTTGAACTGTCAAACCGAACTAGGTCAATAATTTTTTCCTCTTCAAAAAAAGGAGCCGGAGTCGCCCCTTTTTTGACGGCTCCGGCTCCGGGCTTTCACGGCTCCGGCTCCGGGCAAAATATGCCGGCTCCAGCTCCGCACCCCAGAGCATAACTAAACCTGATTCAAGATTGGTCAAATTGTGAAAATGCCCTTTTTCTGATTCACAAATCAGCTCATCAATTGCTGCCCAGATTACCAACTAGAAGGCAGTAGCCAATGCTTGCATAGCAAGCTTTCCTTCACTGTAGTGCCCAGACTCTGAGACACATGGGTTCAAATTCTGTCAATCTGTGCATTCCATCATCCAGACTGCAAAGTGTGGCAGCAGCAAACAATTGAAAAGCCATACCAGCTAGATAAGGGTGACAATCCACACCAGTAAAGAGCCAAAAAACAGCCAAACTGGAAATCAAAATCTGCACCAGCCAGCAATGAAAAATTATAATTTGAATTTTACCATCAGATATAAATATTGGCACTTCAATTTCCAATGTGAAAAACTGCAACAGAAGGATAACTTCCGTGGCCCAGCCCCCCCTAAACACCCGAATAGAAAGTAATACACCCATGCAGTAGTCCAGTAAGCATGTTATCAGGGCGCTGTTTGGTCACAGCTTTTTATCAGCAGCAGCTTTTTGCGAGCATGCTGCTGTTTCTTGGCTCCTCATTGGTCAAATTCATGTGGTTCATTCATTCATTCGACCAATGAGAGGCCAAGAAGCGCCAGCAATAACTTCTATATTATATGGGAAAACCAGCATCCCAATGCTGCTAAAAGCAGCGACCAAACAGAGTTCAGGCCTGCTTGAGTTTGCGTCGGGCCGGCTTGAGTTCGCTTGTCGGGCCGGCTTGAGTTCGGCCCTGTACTGCCCCAGGTAAATTCCACATCACACACAGGAAACGTGCACCCCATGCTGCCTGATTGCCCCTGCACAGTCAAAGCTCTTATTATAACTACCACTCTTTGCATTTCAATCTGTACTTTGCAGTCTGGTTCATCACAATATTCCAATGCCAAAAAGCCAAATTCATCAAACAAATCAAAATAAAAAGCAACCAAATATTGAACAAAGACATGATGACATGGATAATCCTCAGTGGCATATTGTTGTTCATGATACCGCCGGACCAGCACTAGCCGAATGTCATGATTGCCATCCCCAGTGGCCAGTACAGGCCAAGTGGCCTCTTATCCCGATGACCAACTAAGGTGATGTAAGATGAGGTAACATGTGGTCATACCGACACTTTGCTAAGAAAACATTAAACACAAATTTAGGAATAAAAGCGTGATACGAAGGCAATGATGCATGACAGGTGACTCAATGGCAATGATGCCTTCGGCCCTGCGTGACTCAGACTCGTCTTGAACCATCTGACCTAAAACCCAAATGCCTTCATTCTTCTTTCGCTCCGTAAACATACTTACTTACTTACTTACTTACTGAATTACAGGAAAGGTGATAGGCTAGTAAAAGGAAGCCTGTGGATTTCCTGCTCATTGGCTTGTAGTTTAGTCGGTTCTGGTTTGGTACAGCCAGTTCTTCCAGTGTTTGTCTAGAGCATTTTTGAATCTGTTGACTGTCCTGGCATTCACTACTTCTTCAGGGAGACTGTTCCACTTGTTCACAACTCTGTGCGAGAACGCGTTCTGCCTCTGCGCGCGATTTGCCGATGGTTTAATCAGCTTAAGTGAGTGTCCTCTTGTGGTGGCGTCTGGTGGAGCCCTCTGAAAGATCCGGGTGTGGTCGATCCTAATTCCTCCTGTTAGAATCTGATACACTATGATCATGTTCCCTCTTTCTCTTCTGTAGTGCATGCTTGGTAGCTTCAGTTTCTCCAGCCGCTCCTTGTATGCTAGATGCCTGACTGATGCTACCATTTTTGTGGCCCGCCTCTGAACTCTCTCAACCTTGTCTTGGTCACCGCAGTAGACAGGACCCCACACACAGTTTCCATATTCCAGTATCGGTCTAACCATCGCCTTGAAAAGTAGTGGCAGTGTGATTTCGTCTAGGGTCAGGAAAGTGCGTCGTATCAGACCCAAAGTGCGGAAGGCCTTTCCCACTGCTGAAGCTGCCTGTGCATGAAATGTTAGGGAGTCATCAACCAGGATCCCAAGGTCTCTCTACTTGTACTTTATATTTGTGGCTCCAAGGTGCATGACCTTACATGCATGTAAACATGCATACACAGCCGGGGCATTCCACGATAGATCGACCAAAGCTGTGCACCCTCATATTTTATTTTTCGCTCAAAATTCGTCTAGGGGGTTGTTTTGGGCCGGAAAGCCAGCTGTGGCGATGATTTTTTTTTTCGACGAACGGTTAACGAGATATAGCCTCAGGCAATTTCTGGAGGTCACGCTTCAACCCTATGTTTGGCGGCTCATAACTAAAAAACTATTGACTTTTGTATAAGGATAACTTTATGTCTTCCAACTCAAAATCAACCAAGGAAACTTTTGGCTATCTCGGATTTTCGATTTTCGAAAATTTTGGTCACGTGACCTCTTGACCTATTTTTTGAAGAGTGACCTTGACACTTTCCCACCTGAAAGTTAAAATTTGGTCTGATGACGATTCAAGCCTTATCAATGGTCGTTCATATGCGACAATAAAAAACATGGCTATCGGCCTGCATTGACCTCAGGTCAGGTCATCTTTGTGACCTGCCCATTATAAGTCAATGGCAAAAGTACCGGCTAGGCCACTAAAACGCATCGGACTGGTAGAGTTACTTCATAATCATACCATATTAGGTTATTATTGATCACTCTGGTGCAATTTTGCATCAGTGACCCGCGGAAAGGTCATCCGAGGTCACATTATGACTCACGACATTCATATGCCTTTTATGTCTATATCTTTTGATAGAATAGGTATAGGGATTTGGGAAACACATCAATTAGTTCACTTTGGCCAGGCGCATCATGCCATACGCAGCCTTATATGTTAAGGTCATTTCGTGACCTTGACCTAGGGTCAAATTTTGGTCAAATTTCATATTTGACCTTTCGAAATAAAAACTTATACAATTCGATCCGACTGGAAAAAGCAAACACGATGGCGCTATTTTATACATCTGACTTCATAAACATAATAAGATATTGGCGAAAAACGTTTTTATTCCGTGAAAAATGTTTATTTTCAGCCAGATTAAATAACAATATTTTGGCGTGGTAAAGGCATTCGAGGTGCATAGACACGTTGGCGTAAGTACTTGTACCTAAGCAATTCACGCTCATATGACTCGGTGTTGCGGTCATTTCTACAGGTACCAATCTAAAAAAAATAGCATAGGTAGAATATGTGATGATCAGCAGTTTCGTACATTTGGCATGAATAATAATCACTCACATAAAACATTTTCCTATGTACACCCTAATCGGCACGCACGGCACACAGCAAACCGACAACATATTCACAACAACACAACACAACATTGGTCCGATCCAACAGTGCAACTTTCCAAGCTCGTCTTCTTTGTATGTGCTTATCTAAGACACTTTGACTTCCTTGCCCTCCCGATCTTCTGAAAGCTCGTGGACGTGGACTGTGGTCAGGTCAACTGGACAGAATCTGTGGTACTGTCTCGTCCCCTTCACAGTTTTGGCCCTGGCGAAGCGAGCTTGTGAGTGATTTATGTGAGTGATTACTATTCATGCCAAATGTACGAAACTGCTGATCATCACATATCTACCTATGCTATTTTTTTTTTTAGATTGGTACCTGTAGAAATGACCGCAACACCGAGTCATATGAGCGTGAATTGCTTAGGTACAAGTACTTACGCCAACGTGTCTATGCACCTCGAATGCCTTTACCACGCCAAAATATTGTTATTTAATCTGGCTGAAAATAAACATTTTTCACGGAATAAAAACGTTTTTCGCCAATATCTTATTATGTTTATGAAGTCAGATGTATAAAATAGCGCCATCGTGTTTGCTTTTTCCAGTCGGATCGAATTGTATAAGTTTTTATTTCGAAAGGTCAAATATGAAATTTGACCAAAATTTGACCCTAGGTCAAGGTCACGAAATGACCTTAACATATAAGGCTGCGTATGGCATGATGCGCCTGGCCAAAGTGAACTAATCGATGTGTTTCCCAAATCCCTATACCTATTCTATCAAAAGATATAGACATAAAAGGCATATGAATGTCGTGAGTCATAATGTGACCTCGGATGACCTTTCCGCGGGTCACTGATGCAAAATTGCACCAGAGTGATCAATAATAACCTAATATGGTATGATTATGAAGTAACTCTACCAGTCCGATGCGTTTTAGTGGCCTAGCCGGTACTTTTGCCATTGACTTATAATGGGCAGGTCACAAAGATGACCTGACCTGAGGTCAATGCAGGCCGATAGCCATGTTTTTTATTGTCGCATATGAACGACCATTGATAAGGCTTGAATCGTCATCAGACCAAATTTTAACTTTCAGGTGGGAAAGTGTCAAGGTCACTCTTCAAAAAATAGGTCAAGAGGTCACGTGACCAAAATTTTCGAAAATCGAAAATCCGAGATAGCCAAAAGTTTCCTTGGTTAATTTTGAGTTGGAAAACATAAAGTTATCCTTATACAAAAATCAATAGTTTCTGAGTTATGAGCCGCCAAACATAGGGTTGCTGCGTGACCTCCAGGAATTGCCCGAGGCTATATCTCGAAAACTGTAGGTCAAAAAAAAAATTATCCTTGCCACAGCTGGCTTTCCCGCCCATTTCTACCCTATACACCAATTTTGAGCGAAAAATAAAATATGAGGGTGTCAATTTAATTTTTTTTGGTCGATCTATCGTGGAATGCCCCAGCCATGATATTTTACGAAGTACGGAAGCTTATGAAATGCACAATGACTTAGAATAAAGACAATTATAACCTCAGACGTCCTATACCATCACGCCGGTTACCAACAACACGCAACGCGCTGTATATAGAGTGCGGCACATTTGCGCTATAAGTGCGCCATATTTGAGATGATTTCGAATCATTGTCGTCGGTCTCTACAAATAAAAATCAATTGGTAAATGTATATTGTGAATGTTTAAAACTTTCTCAGTCAAAAAAATTACAACTTAATTTCAGAAATTTTCAAAAAGTATTTGCCATCGCAAGCAATTATGAATAATTACTTTGATGTATTTTTGTTGGTCTTGATTGATTTGAATTTGGCAGCTGAGCAGAGGAAAACAGCATAGCAAAGAAAAAAACTATCAAGGAAACAAATACAATTCACGGCAATCCTTATCTTGCGCTTCGGCTTATAAAATGTGTTGCGATATATTCTCGGTAATCTTTATATATGCTGTAGTATCGGAAAGCAGGAAAGATATAAGAGAAAAGCCGTAAAACTAATGTCTCGGTGCTGTCGACCACTAGCCTGACGACTTGAACGGAGAACCACATCACCCTGCGATGACAAGAAATATTCTTAAGTAGAAAAAATGAATGACTTATTTTTCATATTCAACTAGAGATGCATTTTCAAACGGGTTGATTCTGCACATGTAATCAAAGAACAAATTCACTGAATTTTGCCAAATTGATAGAAAATATGGTAGCATTTATCCTTCAACTATTCCTGCGCTGTATTTGTCGATGCCTCCAAATGTGGCGCATATCAACGCGGTGTGGCGATTCGCGTGTGCGAGTGTGTGCTCTCTCATTGCCATTTTTGTGTGGAAATATTAATGCAATTTTTGCGGTGACCTAACCGTCTTGTAAACCCAGAGAAAGCCTACCTTCTAAATACAGTTTTATTCAAAATGCCTTCCCTCGAGAAAGAGTAAGTGCTTATGTTGGTGTACCTAGATGTGTGATATTCAAGCTTTTTGCCAATTGCCATATGCCATATGCCCCTTCAAGGCAATGTTTTGTGACGCTATGGAGAAAAGTAAGGCTGCAGGGTAGAGTTCATATTTGCCCGCTCAATGAAGTGCAATCAAATTTCAATGTGTGTCGATGTGTCACATGGTTCGGCCCAGACAGACTGCAAAGCTTGACAAGCTCTTGTAGATGCGGACGCTTTCATTTCAGTCGGGGAAACTATGGTAAAATCTGCTATTTTTAGCAGTCTGCTATTTTTAGCAGAAATCTGCTAAAAATGGGTACGCATGTGACGTCATCGTACCCAAATATAGCAGATTTGGGTACGGCCCCATACAAAAGCAGATCTGCACCCTAATTGAAGCAAATGCGCATCAAATGCCTGGCAGATTCATGATGAGAATAGTGCTGAGAGTGTTCTCTGCTTTTTTTGTTCAGATCCGACTATTTTCAAATTCATTATTTGAAAATGGTCGGATCTGAACAAAAATATCAGAGGACATTTTCAGCACTATTCTAATCATGAATCTGCCAGGCATTTGATGCGCATTTGCTTCAATTAGGGTGCAGATCTGCTTTTGTCGGGGGCCGTACCCAAATCTGCTATATTTGGGTACAATGACGTCACATGCATACCCATTTTTAGCAGATTTCTGCTAAAAATAGCAGTACCATAGTTTCCCCGACTGATTTGGTACCTATGTGGTGCAGTGACTTACTGACTCTGTAAATATTCTTTGCAGTCTAGTCCAGGTTCATATTGATATTAATATTGAAGGCTGGGAATGCTGATCATGACATTGTCTCAAAATTTTACACGGCCAGTGTGTTGAATATAATTCATATGACAGACTGTAAATATTGACAGACTGCGACATAAATGACAGACTGCGACATCCCAGAAGTTGATCCAAAGTTCAATGGAGAACCACTGACCAGCATCAGGGTACAAGAAGAGGAAATTCGAAGGAGACTGGAGGCCCTGAACTGTAGCAAGTCCCCAGGACCTGATGGGCTACACCCGAGAATGCTGAAAGAGTTGGCCATCCCTCTCTGTACTGCTTTCAAGACGATTTTCCAGCGATCTATTGACACAGGAGTCCTGCCAGCTAAGTGGAGGGAGGGAAATGTGGTCCCGATTTTTAAGAAGGGAAACAGAAGTCTGCCTGGCAACTATAGGCCAGTGAGCCTCACCTCAATTGTCTGTAAGCTGCTGGAATCTCTTGTCCGAGATAGACTACTGGACCATCTCCTCGAGAATGACCTCCTTACCAATGACCAGTTTGGGTTCCTGCCTGGAAGATCATGTGCCCTGCAGTTACTGTTGGTGATTGAGGAGTGGCTTACCATCCTGGACAGGAAAGGTGCCGTGGACGTGGTTTATCTGGACTTTCAGAAGGCGTTTGATCGCGTGCCCCACCAGAGACTTCTAAGGAAGCTGGAGGCGTATGGCATTGGAGGGGACCTGCTCCGCTGGGTATCAGCCTTCCTAACCAACCGGAGGCAGAGAGTCATGGTAGAGGGCGTTTGCTCGAACTGGACGCGGGTCGGCAGCGGCATCCCTCAGGGCTCTGTACTGGGACCACTGTTGTTTCTAGTCTTCATTAACGACCTCCCAGAAGCCGTCAGAAGCCGTTCTATGCTTTTTGCAGATGACACCAAGCTCTACCAGGAAGTGACCAGCCTCCAGGACAAGACTCTCCTCCAGCATGACATTGATGCCTTGGGGCACTGGGCAGACAGATGGCAGCTTCCCTTTAACCAAGAAAAGTGTAAGCTGATGCACCTGGGATCCTCTAACGAATACTTTACCTACCAGATGAATGGATCCACCTTAGCTCAAGTGCACACGGAAAAGGATCTTGGACTTGTCATTGATGAAGACCTCAAGTTTCATGAACAGGTGGCAGCTGCAGTGGGTCGTGCGAACAGAGTTCTTGGTCTGGTGAAGAGGTCGTTCAAAGCCCTAGACAGTCGATCTTTGCCTCTCCTCTATCGGACTCTGGTGCGCCCTCACCTTGAGTACGCGAACGTGGTGTGGGGACCTACATTCAGATCGGACCAGGATGCCATTGAGAGGGTCCAGAGAAGAGCTACTAAGCTGGTTCGTCCCTTGCGTCACCTTCAGTACCAGGATCGACTTCGAGCCCTGAACCTCCCCTCCATGTACTATAGAAGGATGAGAGGAGACATGATAATGGCATACCAGATCCTGACAGGATGCCTGAGGGTGAGAGTAGCCGACCTCCTGCAGCTCGACACCTCAGATCGAACGCGTGGTCACCATCTAAAGCTGAAGAAGAGACGAGTGAACTCCCATCTTCGCCAGACCTCTTTCTGTCACCGCATTGTTGACAGCTGGAACAGCCTCCCTGCAGATGTCGTCGCGGCACCGAGCTTGAACACATTCAAGAATCGTCTCGACAAGCTGTGGGCGAACAGGAAGTATACCCTGCGGACTGACCAAACATACGGTGCCAGAATGAGCTAAAGAGCTACATGGTTGATGTAAGGGAGAAGTAAATGACCGGATTCCTACAGGTCCTTGTTGACCGTCCTCAATCCGTAACCTCTATTCTATTCTATTCTATTGCAAATGGCCCATCACCCAGTTGTCATAGTGTGTTTCAGATCTGCTGTGGTGCTGTGCATAATTTGTATTTAGCTGTGCAGGCCCCCTGTTGTAGGCACTGAACTGAACTGGTGTTGACCTGAATAGTGTAATAAGTTCAAGGCCTAAGTTAGGTCTTGACCCACCCATGAATTACCTATGTTGAACTGTGGAGATTGAGAGGGCCTGTCAGCAACCAGCCTTGTTAAATCTGTGGCTGTGTTTGTTTATATATTAAAAGTGCAGGCCTGATATGCTTTTGCAAAATGTTTAGCTGGTTTGTACTTTCTCATGCAAATTTTCAGTGTTCCTTTTGCAAGCTTTTTCTCTTGATGTTGTGGTCCTTTACAACATGATATCATAGCAAATAGGTATGTATTGGTGTGAATAGGCTTCATAAATATTTTCATATTTATTATTGCTTGTATAATTAAAGGCAATGGCAATTTCATATAATGACAAGTATTGTCATCATTTTCTTTCAGAACAACTTCTTGGGCTGATGACATCGATGAAAATGAAGGTAGGTGGCATTTAGGTCTGTGGACCTTTAAATTCCCTTCATAAGACATTGCCATGTGACATTTAGGTACCCAGTTGATGTACATATTTTATTGAATGCCTAGATTTGTGATGTTAGTTTGTTTTGGTTTAGGTGCTCAACTGTTAATCCATTTAGGCATTTTGAAGTATCCATCTCTTAATATTAAGTTACATCTTGCACTTTTAAACAAAGTTGTGATGCAAACTTTGTATTTTTTACAGGTATTTTTGGGCATGTGAACGGGTTAGTGCATAGTGGGTAATCTTGGTATCCAGGAATTGGAAACTGTGATATAGGTACAGGTGATGTGAGTAAAAGCTCCAATTACTATCATTGTTATAAATTGTGTTTAAGCTCCCAATTTTGTGTTTACAGAGCCAGCACTTCCCCCTACTGAAGTCAAATACCTTCCCAATGGCACCAAAATTGTGACAGAATACAGATTTAATGATGATGACAAGAAAGAAAAGGTAAGTCACAGCATCCTGTACTTCCACATGCAAGTGTCCTGAAATAGCAGCATGTTAATATTTAGTCTCAAAGGAAGATATGAGTACTTAAGGAATTACTTGATAACAAGCTCTGATGGAAGATCTGTGCTCATATACCTCATGTGGTCGAAATTAAGTGAAATGGTTCTTTTTGATCTATCACACCCTTTAAAGTGCACCTTCAAACACAGACAGTGGTGGAAAGTTCCATTATTTGTCCGCCCCACTCCTTGGACTACACTCATCCTCCCAATCGCCCCCAGACGGTTACCACCATTAAAGTGGAGAACCGCAAGGTCTCCAAAGAAGTCGCCAAGCGCAAGGTATGGGCCAAATTCGGCCAGTCCAAGGACGACAAGCCGGGCCCCAACACGGCCACCACCATCATGGCTGAGGAGGTCAGCATGCAGTTCATCACGTCCAATGAAGATGAGAAGGACGACAATGATGATATGCGAGCCAAGCTCAAGGAGCAGGGCAAGGGCCAGCTGCTCAAGTGTCGTTTCTGTAAGGGCGACCATTGGACATCACAGTGTCCATACAAGGAGATTGGAGGCCTGGAGGAGGTGAGTGACTCTTCTACTCTTCTAAGAGCTTTGCTGTGATGTCCGGTGGCTTTAGTTGGGAGACATATTCAGCGCAGACCGATGAAATACTAATCCTAGCTGAAATCAGAGGTTCGCATTGATTGATGATGTTTCAGCTGACGCCGGACGTGATAAAATTGCATTTATTGTCGCCGTCTACTCGTTCCATGTAAATGGCATCATTTCATTTTTCAGTCAGAATTAATGCCTTCGGGATGTTTCGATGAATTACTACATCATTATTATCCGTAAGACCATGCGGGGTGCTTTCCGCTAAAATTTGTACCATATCAATTTTGTTACATGTTCTCTCCCGATTTTGCTTACGCGATGCCTCCGCTGCTGTAGTGGTGGTATCCGCCTGTACTCTGCTGTGCGATATACTTTTTCTGCGCGTCTGATGTGCGCATCTGCACTTGCCTATGTTACTTGTATTCCTGTTATTCCTTTTTCCTGTGGTCATCCTTCTGACACATTTCTGCGTACCGTCTGTCAGGTGAAACAGGAGGAGGAGGCCACCAGCACCAAAATGTCCACCTCCACTGGCGGCAAGTACGTGCCGCCCTTCATGAAGGAGGGCGCCAGGAGCGGCGGTGTCAGCATGGCCAACTCACGGGGCAGAGGTGAGGAGCGGTGGTCGGTCAGAGGGCCTGGCTGTCGTTGACCGGCTGATGGTGTGGATAAAGTGTTGTGGGCTTTGAATGGGGGAGCTATGACAGGGATTGTTCTTTTTTTAGAGTCGCATTGGCCGATAGCGTCCTATTGATTTATGTTTGGTACTTGTTTCTGTGCTTTCTAATATTCGTCCTGTATAGGTTTTATCGATGTAAGTTAAGATAAGATGAACATTTTTATGTTTTAAAGGGCTGTGTTTCTGTGTAAGCGATTGTATGTTTCATTTTTTGGATAAAAAACTAAATGTAGGCAATCTCATCACTATGAGGCTACATACATTTCGCTACCTACGTTCTACATTTACCTACCTACATAACATTTCACTCAAGTTTCTCTTCGCTGTCGTATCTGTCCGCCCATCTATCACGTCTCCCTAGTCTGTCGGTGACTGTTACCCGTGTCACCCCAGTCCCCACAGACGTCAGACTGCACCCAGGTCTGTCTCTTCCCTGACGTAGGTATCTGCCCGAGTATCTGTCGCACCTATCGCCATCTGACTGTGACCGTGTGAATGACCGACCCGTGTGACCCCGCAGACGACTACGCCACCATCCGCGTCACCAACCTGTCTGAGAGCACCCGCGAGTCGGACCTCGAGGACCTGTTCCGCCCGTTCGGCCGGCTCTCCCGCACCTACCTGGCCAAGGACAAGACGACCGGCCTCTCCAAGGGATTCGCCTTCATCAGCTTCCACGAGCAGAAACACGCCGAGGAGGCGATCCGCCAAATCAACGGCTTCGGCTACGACCACCTTATCCTCAAGGTGGAATGGTCCAAGTGAGTACAGCATGTACTGGGGACGAGGAGCAGGGACAGTATGCTATAATCAAGGCTCCGCTATAACAGAAAAGGCTGATAGCGGAATGGGTGTGTATGGGCGTAGCTCTCGGCTATCAGAGCTCTTTGAACTTTGAACTGAATTGTTATGACTGGGAATTCAGCCTGAAACAGACTCTTTTCGCAGTCAGGAAATCGCATGCGAGAGCCTATTCAAATACATGGAAGTACGCTCGCATTAATCACACGCACCTTCCCCATGCAATTGATGCGGGCAGAATAATATAATGTATTTGAATAGGCTCTCGCATGCGATTTCCTGAATGCGGAAAGGGTCTGTTTCAGCCTTAAGGTTATTTAGGAAATAATCTTAGCAGATTCATTAGAAGCCATCTATGCCCTCTATAAACAGAGGGAAAGGAAACATGTTCTATCGAGTCAGTCACTCTCTGTGTCTTCACTGATCGTCACGCATTCGGGAATTATAAATATTCTTGCCAATCTATGTTGTGTTGAATATTTCACTCGAAGTCTTCACATGTAATATTCGTTTATTTGGAGCAATTAGTCTTTTTTCGGGACAGCAGATATATAGGCTTTATATTTATACAGAACTGTAATTTTAGGTTGTTACGGTTGCAATTTCCTCGCTTTCCGTAAAGGAATACATCATGGATTTTGATTTTGCTTGTTTAACTAGTATGATTTCATTGAAATCGGTACCTACTATTTATTTTATTGCGTAATCGATATCTTTCGACTTGCTACATTTACTTCCAAGTAAACGCACATTCTGTTGACAATTAATTGAATCTCCTTTCTCTTTCTTTTCAGACCGTCAGAGAAATAGGATCTTCTCAACCAATGCGCGTCTTTTTACGTTTAATGTATATGTATCGACCTAATTGGAATCAATACAGGTTTTTCGGGTGAAGTGTTTATGTATTTCACAAGACTATGCTACATCGGATGGTAATTAAATTAATGAATTAATAATTGTTTTGAAAATCATCGCAAACTGCAAAACATTGACGAAGATCCTTCCAATTGGGCTCAGTTCGTGTCAGATCAAACCCTCGATCACAGCTGTATCTCGCACTTCAGAATCTCATCTCACAAACAGATCCACAGAATCACTCGCTGTATGACAAGTTAGGGTATAGCGGCAAATATCGCCTTAGTAGGGCTGTGTCGGGCAGTTAGAGGCAGCCCGTCGCTGCCGAGTTAAACCGTGGGACACTACTCCGTCCGCGGCCAGGCTCCCGACGGGGCGCGGCGCGGACGTCGAACACAACTCGCGGCGCCGGCGCTAGGTGTCGCGTCGGTCGGTCCGGCCTGTAGCGCTGCGGTCGGCCGGCGCCGCTAGCCGTGTTCGGTGCTGGTGCAGGCTGAAGTTGTTCCGGCTCGCTCACAGGCTGTTGTAACCGTAGTAGCTGTAGACGAACTCGTCTTCCACGTCGATGGCGTTTTCAGCGCCCGGAGGGTTTCTCCTCATCTGCAGCAGTTCGATATAGTGAGGACAGCGGCCGCGAAGTGGCTCTTGGCGGCTCTCGGCGCTAATTTTGCGACGTTACTTGCGCTTAGTGGTAAATGTGGCAATATGTTGCGGGATCATTTACTTCTTGCCATTTTTGGGGGGTTTGGTGAAGTTTAAATGTGTTAATCACAACATATAGTTATCTACATCAATATGCGTTAGGCATCACGGTATACAGCAAGGGATGTGAACATTAACGCATGTATTCATTTCACAAACTGCATCACGTTAATGTATGGTCCATCCATACTAGATAAGCACACCATTAACACGCTGAAGGCGACTAGCACTACTGCGCAGTGCCTTTGGTCTTAGCGTCCACTACCACGTGTTCAGTGTCCGTCCAATGTCACTAGGCACTAATCACCTAATCACTATGGTAACGTAACGTAGTAAAATGTCCAATCGTCACTGTGGTATCGTTACGAACTGTACTGCGTCATTTTAGTTGGGCTATGTCAAATGCATTTGGTTACTAAGTTAATTGTTATTTGTATCTGCATTTAGGGTAATGATTCCGCGACATGTAGGTGCAGTTTTGCTACGTTGTCAATCGTCTGGTGAACGCGGTTAGCCAATATTGGTAACACGGTCATTTGATGTTGCTCCATCCACCAAGCAGGATCATTGCTAGTCTGTAAATCGGTCAGATCATGTTATGTTGATTTTCAGGTCGGGCCATCTGGGGGTTCATGTTTGCCGGGACAGGTCCCTTATAAGTCTTTTATGTCCACCAGGTCAGTTTTATCGGCTGTCACCAGTCTGTTGCGAGTCAAGTCAAGTTGTATCGTGTCCGTCCATGCTCAGGTCATTCAGTGACCTCCAGGTCGGGTCAGGTCAGGTCACCGCGCGGCCGGGGTCGTGTTAGTTACCATCACTGGCCGTCCCAGATTCCGTTGAGCGCCTCCTCCTCCGACTGCAGCCGCTGCTGTAAGTGGCGGAGCACCGGGCCCGGTTAGCTCGGGTCAGCGGGGCGGGCGGCGCCGGCCCAGGTTAGCCAGTCACACGGGCGTTAGTGGCCACAGCTCAGGGGGTCACAGGGGGGGGGGGGGGCGTTACGCTGAATTGTGGGTAGCCGTTACAGGGAGGGTAGCTCTAAATGCACAAATAGGGTCCTGAATTGCCGCCGGTAGCTTAGATGAATAGGGTATGATAAATGATTATGGTCTTGCCATTGCTGAGAGGTTATACATTCAGCGTTACACATTTTGGCAGCTGTTATGGGTGTAAGTTGAGCGCTTCAATGTTGGCAGCCGTTTAGGGCGTAAGATGAGCGTCGAGCGATACAATGTTGATTGCTGCTGAGTGTGAGTCGAGCGATATCAAAAGCAGCGCTCTGCGGAAAAAATCAAACCTTTGGTTAGGCACACCAGTACCGGAATTCGCGCGAATGGTCTCGATATTTACATGCGTTTTTGATATCTAAACAAACGGATGTCAGACACGGTAATCGCTATGTTCCGAGTAAAGAGATGACACAAAAAAACATCACAGATTGAGTAACCGCTGTCTCTGGACCCTGCCTGTTTTTCTGTCTCCTTTCAGTTCACTTTTACATTGTGTCTACTTTTCCTAGTCTATCTCCCATGTCATCCGTGCCTCCTTCCCTTCTCCCAGTGCAATGATTGTCCTTTCCTCATCCAGTGCGTCCCCCGGCTCCTTCAGATCCCCCAGATCTCTCCCTCTCTAGTCTACTCTTTTGCGTTTGCCTCCTCTTCCTTCCCCTCCTCTTCCGTCTTCATCTCCCCTTGCCGCTCCTCTCCGGTCTACCTCCCCACCGTTTCATTGCCTCTCCCCGCATTCTCCCTCCTCTCTCACCAGGATGCGATGTTTCTCGGCGCACGCGAACTCTGTCTCGTCCACGTCTCCATAGCAGTCCGACTTGTAATCGGCCGGCAGCGGCCGACCCTTGAACTCGCAGAGCTTGCTCAGCGGCCGCGACTTCACCAACATGTCGTCAAAGGACTTGGGCTTGTAGAGCGGACAGTAGAAGACGTCCGGCGTCTTGGGGTTGTACACGATCGACTTGCGCATCATGTCGCCGGCCAGGCAGCAGCCGGCCTGCGGGGCGACCAGAGGTCAGAGTGGGACGGGACGGAAATTAGGGAAATCTGTTGTGAATACATAGTCATACGTCCATTGAATTGATCATGAATCAGCCATGGTTACGATTCGTCAAGACATTTTTAGACATCTAGATGATACCCTTGATACCTTCTTGCCCTAATGACAAGATCAGATCCCACGCGGTACCGTGTCCGTCTTTTGGCTACGTCCAGTCCTTGAATTGGTGTATCAAGAAACATTCACTTTTGGGGGTATGGGGTCTCCTGTCCGACATTGGGACAGTGCCGTCCGTTTCAAAGGTGGAACAGTCGTGTCTCACGTCTGTCTCAAGGCTTCAGGCTTGTCCACCGTCAGTCCTTTGTGCCGGGGTCAGGGACCGTGGAGGGTGGGAGCCAACCGTGACGTCACCCGCGGGGGCGTGACCTGCGCCGTCATTGGTCGGCTGCTCTAGACAGTAGACGACCGGATGTTAGCGGAGGGTGGTTAGAGCTGCAGTTTTATCGCGCTGTCAGACCCAGTGACGGCCCGGGCTGTGGCATCTGGTCTTGCACGTGTAGTATGTAGGTGCCTTAAATGCTGGCCCAGCTTAGTGGACTTGGGCTATTCGGTTATCAACCAATAAGGTATAATCCTCTTAGGTTGAGTTATGAACCGCGAGATGAACTGTTGTGTGAATCTCACAAACTTAGAAATGTTAGATGGCTTCAAATTCATGTGGCTGTTGGTTTTACGAGTTTTGAGACGGATTGGTGTTAAAGCTGCACCTCAGAAGTCAGGTCCATTAGTCATTCTTAAGTGACGGGACGAAAGACATTGAGATGTCCTGTGGTCGCCTGCACTAACGCTTACGCTTACAACTCGCTGAGTCCCGTGATTCATATTTCATACCCATGGGTAGGTAAGCTTGTGTGCCGCACGGCACAACATTGACAGCTCTGACAATCTTTTCAATATTCGTATCAGGTATTGTAGGTACGATGTTAGCTCTTGGGCATATTTTCAATATGACCAGCATCGATTCACAGCGGTTGTATAACTATAAATGGTGCTTTGTTGGCGCAAACTTTTGCTTAACAGAAATCAGTGTCGAGCAAACATGCTTAAATCAGACATTGAACAACAAAAACGCTCCTAAAGCTAGACCCAGTACATGGCCCCCAGTGACTTGGGATTAAGGGCTGTTACATGCCGGGATAGCGGGCGCAGTTGTTGATCGCTCCTCGGTGGACTTACCAAAGCCAGCAACATCCAGGCGCCCGTAAGTCGGCCTGAAAAAGAGAGACGGATATCATCACTTTGTGGCTTTTGCAACTCCCAAATGGAGCTGGAGCTTTCAAACCAATGTTGTCCTTGTCTTGCTGCTTTATAGCTAAGTTCTGACGGCTTGCAAAAGATGTACAAATGTAATGAAAGATATGTAATTTACAAAAGTAAATGCGCTCAGAGGTCAAGGCGCCAACAATGCTTATCTAATTGCATATCACCCAGGTTTCGGAGCTTGTCACATACAAACTTTCGATAGTTTTGGGCTGGCCTGACCTGTGATCGACTTGTAGGAGCGTCAATGGGATGCAGATGCCATGATGCTCCTTAGGACCGGAGCTTGCCTGAATGCAGGGGTCACCGCCCGGTCATGCACCGCTGTGCAGGGGTCACCGACCGACAGACCGTGCGACGGCGCGGCGGTGCGGTGCGGTCACAAATTATAGCCATCTGTTGTTCACGATAGACACGATAGGCTGGTCTTCCACCAGCCACTGCGGTCTCGGTGGTCCGCCTTCCTCTCCGTGGTCCGTCGCTGTATCCGTGTTTTTCACGGCCTTCGTGGTTCGCTGTGGTCTCCCATGGTCCACCGTAGTCGCCGTGGTCCACCCTAGTCTCTATTGAGTCTATATAGTCAGTTGTAGCCCCCATGGGCTGCCAGCAGCCTTCGATGGCCGTCGGACCAGTTTTCGGCCCAGTTTTCCTCCATTGGCGCCCGTGTCCGCCTCTGACGGCCCCGGACTGATTTGGGCAGTACGGGCGGGCCCAGCTCCACACTGGACCGGGCCTCGGCCGTCCCTCCCACGCCGAGCACGGGGTGAACTTTTCCTGAGCCGCTGGCTGGTCAGGATGACTGATGAGCTCAACGAAATGCAACGGGACTAGTGGTTGTTGATGTCTGGGAGCAGCGACCTGTATGCATTCTGCGGTAGCCGAAAATGAAAAAGTTTTGAACTCGGAAATGAGTGGCTTCACTAAAGGTTTATGTTTCATGAATACGAAGATAGGCCAAGCAATGGGATGAATTTGTCAGACAGTTTGTCAGACAGATAGTTGAACTGCTTTGGGAAGAGCTGTGCTGCCGTTGGGATGCGGGTTCTGTCACGTTTCAAAACATTAACAAGACTCTACAAAACTACTGATGTTGGAACCGCACCAACAAGCTTCATTGTAGACGTAACGGGGACGGATCAGAGCTTAGAGGCTCAAGGCCGGTGGAGTTGTAACCCATTTTTCTCGACATGATCTGCGAGTATCGTTTCATCTGGGTCTGCCGTTAATCCCCTCTCAGTTGTTTGCAAACTGCAGGGATTGGACTCGTGAGCTGAGGTCGTGAGTTTGTCCACGTGCGGCGCTGCAGCTCGTGGAAATACCTACCGATATTGGTCACGCCGACGTATTAACTTTTCACGCGTTCCGAGATAGAGTGTCATGTATCGAGCATCGAATTTCGAGACAAACAAACGAATACAGACAGTTGCAAAAGTGATAGAAAATAACGAAACGCATGCCTTGAGCGGCGCGTTTGGAGACTGCATGTAGCGATAGAACAATAACCGCGGCGACTTTACGAGACCGTCGGGACTGCAACTAGTCACAAGCACGTAACCCTCACCGCGGAGACTGCAGCGGACGATAGAACAACAACCCCGATGGCCTTATCGTGACATTTGGAGCTGCGTGAAGAAGAAAAATGTCAGAATTGGGAAACTTTTGGAACATGGCAATGCTATGGATATTGAAGCGTAATAATTTTACTAGAAGCTGAACTTGTGGCAACGCAGTTACATTACGCTCGGCATGCAAACAAGGTAAGTGTACCTTCTCAGTTCTCATTAATTTTTATACACCCGATTTAGCTTTGCTTCTATCAACATTTTGTCATCGTTTGGGAGCCCTTGTCTCGATATTCCTCCATATATGGGACGGAATTAGTGACCAGCTGCGATAGGTATGACGTGGCGAGGGTGACTCGACCTCGGGGAAACCTTGGGGGCAAAGCCATTTACCTGGGTATACATTGTCAGACATACGTACTCAGCCGTGCATTTATGCCTATGTGAGCATGTATATTCATTCAAATTATCTACGCGCAGGCTTTAGTGATTGGCTTCTTCTCATCCTCAGTTCAAATGCCTTGTCTGGGTGCGAAGAGCGGCGCGTAATACGTGGGCTCCGGCTGACCTGAACGATATGGTGCCCTAATAAGCTCTTTGTCTATGGGGCTCCTCTTTTGAACACGGTCCCACTCCGTGCAGTCCCTCTCCCACCATCCACCACCTCCCATGTCCCCCTCACTCACCCATTCTGCGTGTCCCAGTGTCCGTCAGCGGTGGTCAGTCCGTTCCAGGTGGGACGTCCGCGCTCCTCCGCAGCACACAGTCGTCCGCTCTGCTCGCGACCGCCGCCAGCCAAGGCCCCGCCGCCACCGTCAGCTTTCACCTTCACCGCCCGCGCGCAGTAAGGGCGAGTTTAGCGTGTCCAACAGCGAGGAAAACGCCCGTGCTGACCCGAGTGCGGAGGCGCCGCGGCCTGTGACGCAAAGATGGCACGGTTCGCCGGCCGACGTTTTGCGAACTGGACCGATGGTGATGTTGGTTTGCTAGTTTTGTTGCACTATTTTACACTTTACTGTGCCCAGTAGCATGGAGTTCGACCTTGTCAACTACGATTCTGAGTTATATTCGGTCTGAGGGGCCAAAACGATGATTTTTTTTTTTTTTGCTGTTACAGTGTCGATCGACTACAATTTTGATCCTCCAATTGTGCCATTGCCCTTCATTATTTTCGCACGCCTTCCGTATATCGCTCCTGACGCCGCCTCTGTCCGACCGCCTCTGTCTCGTCCTGTGCGCGCCTCTGCGCTGACTCAGTTCCAGCCGGCCGTGGAGCACCTGCTGGAACCTCCCTACGTGCGCTGTTCGGCATTGCCGGCGGCACCCGCGCTGTTTCCTCACCTGGCCGCCAGGCGGCAGCAGGTGTCGACGGGCAGCCGTTACAGCGGAGCCGACCGGCCGCGAGCGCGAGCCGTCGTCAGTTTCCGGTGGGGGAGTGCCGCGCCCTGCTGAGGCTGGACCCGTGCGACATGGCCAACACCATGTGGGTGCTACTGCTGACCGTGGGAGTCCTGCTCTTCCACAGCGCCACTGCACGTGAGTAGTAGGGAGGGTGACCGGAGGGGTAGGGGTACCCGCGGCCAGTGACCTTGAGTAACGATCAGGTGGCATGGGGGCAGACTGTCTGTGACTCATTCGGAAAGCAGGTCTGCTCTCAAGCTCTTACTCTTCTTTTGAAAGAAAGCATGTTTGAGTTAGGTTCATATGGGCCTTTGGACAATGTCCTTTGTTGTGTCCCAAAGCCGTCATGCCGCCACATTTGAATTCGTCCTTCGATCAAACTGATACGGGGACCCTCGGCCTCAGCTGTCTTCCGTACCGCTGGCAACCCACCCTGGGCAACCCATTGAATCCACTGCTGGAACTCATGAACGCCGGGACAAAATATGTCGTGCAATGATGCTGGTCTCCCCAATATAAAGCAGCCTCATGCTACGTCACATTCCAGAGCTCCCCCTGTTGATAAGTCACGTTCCTACGCCTGCTGCTGACCAGAGATGTCTGTCTGTCAGGGATGACGCATTACCGGCGTTGATGGGGAGGGGAGGGGCGCCGGGATCTCCACTCTCCAGCCATGCTTCGGAGTAACGCCCTGTGGCAGTGGGAGAGCTAATGTGTGAGACAGCGACTGTGTGGCCCCATTCTCAGGGCGGGGTATCGTGCCCACTGACCAGCCAGCTGATATTCACCTATAGACTGCGCAGCGGCTTACAGAGTTCGGGCACGGTGGTTATATAACCTTTCTCAAGCCGTTTTAACATCGCATCGGGTTATGTTGAGCCCTATACATACATTTTGCAGTTTGTAGCCTAGCGTTTCCAAAGCAATGTTTATGAACTTAAATTGATGGTGGACGAATAGTGCACCGCATGAACGTCAGTTTTATTTCCTCGCTTGTCATCTTATTTTGTTGTTACAAACGTGCTGTTATGCGTCTGTCGCATGATCCGTCTATTCAGTTCGGTATTGTTATTGCTGACAATGGTTTCCGTTAGCAACGACACGAAAGCGACAGAAAACTGTATTTAACTATAAAAACGTCACGAACAACGGGAAGGTAGTTCGCGACGAATACTCCCGCATTAGTCAGAGTCACAGCACTATATACCAGCACTACCCACCAGTACAACACTATATAACTACCTCGGATTGTAATCGCCGGATAATCATGCTGCCTAATTAGCAGAGCACTAAATGCTTTTCGCGTCAATAATGTTGCCTACGCTCAACATAAAGGTACGATGGTCATCCCGACATCCCGGCGTTACATAACGACCCTTTGCAAGTACCAGCACTACCTACCAACGCCTGTGCCCACCACCGAATTATACCTTCGGTACCTATAACGACCCTTCCTTTTGCTCCCACCAGAGAACTGCACCATCCCACAAGTGATGCGGGACCAGTGGTACAGCTTCGAGAACGGCGAGAACACGATCACGGAGCTGGACGCGGTGCGGATGTCGGGGCGAGGCCGGTGCGTGGAGCTCGACCAGGACAGCTACCGCTACACGATGCTGTTCCGCAGGGACAACTGCTACTTCTGCGTCCAGCTGCTGGTCCGCACAATAAACGTCATGGAAAAGCGCGAGAGTGAGTTATGGGAGAGGGGAGGGGAGGACGGGGCGGAGACACTGGGTGGTTGTGGCGATGGCTCACGGACAGCTACATATAGTCGTGATATAGGATGGTGCTTCTAGAGAATGATCATATTCATTACTATTGCCATTTATCAAAAGCGTCTCGTTTTGCTCCTTGGTTAAAGCTGAATGTTGCTAGTTTTTTTTTTTTGCTTTACTGCTTGTAACGTCACACCTTTAAAAATACCCCGTTGATTCACGGTAGCCAATCCGTTCGTCTTCAGCTGCGTGTCAGAATTTCCCGAACTCGTTCCAACCGACGCTGAAGCAGGTGTGTAAGAACCTCGACCCGGAGCAGGATCTGATCACCATGTTCAACGAGAACTACCGTCCGAAGATCTGCCGCTCCAGCTTGGAAGGCACCTGGCACTTCAGCTACCAGAATCGGTTCAGGTCAGTTTAACCGGGGGTGGTATTACACACACCGGGTGAATTGGCACGTAAAGCTTACAGAGCATTGGTGTTCAATTTCGCACCCAGTTTACCCCTGCGTTACTTGCCTTATTTAAACTGATCAATCTTATGCACCAAATTTCAGTCAGATCGATAAACCAATCGGAAGCGATTGACTTCCGTATGTTTTAGCTACGTGTAACCACTTTGTCTTTCTTGTGTATGAAGTGCGGTTAAGTCATACAAATGCAGGATCCCGGCGCACACCCTTACAGCGATAACATCAACTCGGAACTCCTCCTCTGCAGGTTCACCGGCGAGTGCGCCCACAAGGACAACCGACTGACATCGTGCCAGGAGCTCGGTAACCAGTTCCTGTTCGCCAACCAGAAGTTCACACTCAACTACGCCGAACAGTGCGGCAACCCCAGCCCCGAGACGGACCCCATCTACAGTCTGCGAGACGTCAGTCAGGGCCCGGTCGAGTTCGCCTGTCTGGGAGACTGGAAGGTCGGCAAGGATCACTTCTTCGCCGTGGCCAACACCAAGGAGTCTCGTAAGGAGGAGAAGTACCGCTGCTTCCTGAAGAACCGTGACGATGACCTGCTGCTGGGAAAGAGCATCACGCCCGAGTGTAACGTGCTGAAGACGCCGCAGGACAGTCCGGAGCGACTCAACCTGACCCCCGGTAGGTCAGCGTGGAGTGGAACCGGGTCGGGGTGAGGTCATGGGTGACGGACTCGGAGTGGGGTCACGGTGTGTCGGAGTAATGGTAGAAAAGGTCAGCGTCAGCTCTAGGTAAAATGATGCAGTGATTACAGAGTGAATGTATCTTATTATTTCGCCCTAATTGGCTAGCATGTCAAGCATTTCGATAGTTGGGGTGTACTGTCTGACGGGAGCTTTTCGTCTGGTCTATATCTGCCGTCTCTGGAGACGGGAAAAGATAAACGTGATATCTTATGCACCGACCAGGAAATCAATACCTATCAGAGCTCGATGGCCCCCGATAGCAGCTGTCCCCCAGCCGCCAGTTCCCCTTTTCCTCCCTCTCCCCACTTACCCTCCCCTCTCACCCTACAGTGAAGTAGAGATTGCAATCCCGGGATCGGGATCCCGGGATCCCGGCGGGATTTTAATCCCGATCCCGATCCCGAAATTCTGCCAATCCCGGGATCCCGAAAAGAATCAGTTTTCACCTTAAAAAGAATGCAGCCGCTGCACGAGTCTTGTTTACACTGTTTATTGTGCTGCGTGACATAAAGCAGATAAACTATTTAGCTGGCACCCCGTATTGGCCGTCCACAATCGACCGTGTTGGTAGCTCTCGGGTATCACCCACAGCGGTTAAGCCGCTTAAATACGTACGAAAAAAGGTCCCGAAAGCCAAAAAAAAAATGCAGCATCAGCGCTGCAACATCTTTATCAGGATCACAGATCGTTCAGCGATTCTGACTTGCCCGTCCGTGGCCGGAACAAAGGAGGTCATCAAGACAGTCTTTGAGCTCGTGTCGCAGAAAGATGTCACAGATGTCACGCAAGTGACGGCAGAGCTCACTGATTCAGACGTTGAATACGGTAGAGTGGAGCTCTCCCAGTCAGTGACTCTGCTCTCAAAGCGACTTACGAGCAAATTCTGAGAGACATTAGTGATGAAAGCGGAACCGGGAGGAGTTGAAGTGACCAAGCGACGTCTTGAAAACATTGTGAAATAGGGAGCTGCCAAATTTGGCGTACACTGGTTGCGAGTTTTTAAGTAGACCAAGATGGCAATGGCTTAAAACTGTCGCGCTAACTACGAGTAGCGTAGACGAAGAGTGAGTGAGGCGTGGATGTGCTGGAACCTGTCTAGTAAACGATCTGGTCGACGCACAGTTTTATGAAGGCCAATTGGGAATAAATGCTAATGCTAATCAAATCGAAACGTTTTATTCGCAAATTCAATCGTTTTTAATGCAAATGACATGGTCTAAGGATGGCTTTTGGTTGCCTCTTTGTTTGTGGTAAGCTTAAAGACGCAAAATATGTCAGTAGGAAATCACTCTTACGACATTTAGTGACAATGCCGGGATCCCGGGATCCCGGGATCCCGAAATAAAAACTTTCGGGATCCCGGGATTGACAAAACGTTCCGGGATTGCAATCTCTACAGTGAAGTCGGAGACGGTCACACCGCTCTGTAACCTGCCGACCAACTTCAGCGGCGAGTGGGTGAACACAGCCAACACGGACGCAGACGTGGTCATCAACTCGACCCACGTGATCGAGACCTACTACCCGGACGAGGGTCGCTACCGACGCACCGTCTACACCTGTCTGGAGAAACAGGGCAACCGGTTCATGATGGCCCGACAGAACATCGACGGGTGGTGAGAGAGGCGGGGCGAATTGATTCACTGTGGCGAAAGACGCAGGTGATTGATCATAATGGTAAGAGATGCAGAGTTAAATCTGGACCTGCATTGCCTTGCGGGGCCTGCTATCAGCAAACGACTCTTCTTCTGAGTGTGCTCCTATTCAAAATTAGGTTTTTCTTTTCAATTAACATGAAATGCTTCAGTTGCCAGTCATCCAACCTAATCAAATAAAGGTGACATTTTAAAAGTTCCGTAACATCGTACGTCTCGTAGAGAAAAGCATATCTAGCATCTAAACATCCCCGCTCACTCGTTCTCCCCCGCACCTGCGCCCACAGTCAGACGGACTACGTGTGTTTCGACTTCCTGCCTCGGCACCACAACGTGATTCGGTTCCGGCGGGGTCGTGAGCTGATCCAGAGTGAATTCCACACGGTGTGTGCGTGGAAACAGTTTGAGGGCAGTGACGGCGTGAAACAGATCGGTGCCGACGGCTCCTGGCTCTACAACATCATGGTCGGTGAGTGACGGAGTAGATGAGCGATCGGAAGACTTTGCTTTTAGTGGACAGATATTCTGTCTAGAATACAGGAGCTGACCTTTCTTGGCTACGTTCTTGGATACCACTATGTGCTGCCGGGGAAAAGACGGTGAATTCTGGGCAGAGGGATGACGTCTTTTTAGTCACAGAATAGATGATGACCTAGTCTGACAGAGTCTGACAGTCTGTTTGGTTATCCGGCAGTGTCATGGAAGCGATGGTAGGTGGTGGTTTAGGTTATGCTCACGAATTGGACGACAGTGACGCTCTGGTAATAATCTTTTGAATGTAATCAGAAGTTGATGCTGCCCACAGCGTGTGGTGTTTTATGTCATTGATCTACAACGTTCTATTTGCTAGATAGCGCTGGGATCGATATAAATGAACTATAACCCATGGTGGGCAGTACATCCGTCTATGTCAGCTATTTCAGCGCTTTATCGTAGTGATAGCCTGCACTTCATCTCCTTCGCCTAAGCTACTACCTGATCTCCGTTTATAAACAGTCTTTGAATCGTAACCAGCCCACCCTCTCCGCCTCCGGCAGCCAAGAAGCCGGTGCCGATTGGCTGCCCAGTGGCCGGCATGTTCAAGTTCGACCAGTTGGGTGAGATCAAGTTCCGCACTCGCATCCTGCACGGCATCACGGACTCACCGCGGCCCGACCTCAAGTGTCAGTACGTCATCTCGGAGTTCGCCGCCTGCCACCAGGGCCAGAAGGCGCAGACCGAGATCAGCATCGACAACGAGAAGTGCTACTCAGTCGACTACCTGGGACGGCCGCACGACATCTACAGTCAGTATTTATTACATACATAGCGGCGGTGCTTGGCTGATGGGGCGGTGGTATTTCATACAGTACCGTTATTTAACGCAAGTAGTCGTATGTTTGAATAAGTTTCGGTGAATACTGCTTAATCAAATGAAATGGTCATGCATCCATCAATGCGTGGTTGATGCCTACGCTGCGTTACTATTACTATGCATTTGATCGACCTTATTAGCGTCGCCTCGGGGGGGGGGGGGGCAAGCGGGGCAGCTTGCCCCCCCCCCCCAACCTCGGACCGGGCACCCCCTGAGATCGATACAGATTTAGGGGTCGGGAAAATGGGGGTACCTTTCTGAGAATGCCTGTGAGGTCAGACTCGATTGGACCGTGCAGTTCAAACCAGAGTCGGAGTCGCAGTCGCCAAAATCTTCAAGAATCCGACTCCAGACTCGGAAATGTCAATGCTGTGATTCATTCCCTGTTTCTAGTTGGTTCTTTATTACATTTTATAGCTGATTTTCATAAGTTTTGGAGTGCTGACACATAATTTTCGTTCAAAGCATGACGCGAAATCTTCGGGACCTTTCTCAATTCTCGTCAAATGTCTGCGACAGGCTCAAGTACCTACTGTTCAAGTGTCGCAGGGCTCATGGACTTGCTTTTCACACAGGCTCCTAAGGAGCTCTACTGGGCTCTAAGAAGCTTTCAGAGGGCCCAAACCGGCCTCTGAGAGTCCCACTGGTAGCCATGTTCTCTGAGGGCCCATACAGGGATCTTTGAGGATCTTATACATACGTAGACCTCTGAAGGGCCACACGGATCTTTGAGGATGCCTTCGAAAATTTATGAGAACCTTAACTGGTCTCTGATAGCTCAGCCGAAGTTTTGAGGCGACAGACTTTGCTAACCCCAAGCCGGCATCTGAGGGGTCACAACTGACGTGTCCCTCTAAGGGCCGCAACACATGTTTCTTATGTCCCTACGTAGCGTCCTTAAGGATTCGACACAGACCCCGATGGTTCACACTGTTATCCGAGGACCCCAAGCTCACCCTGGGCCTAGTCGCTTAGCGCCCGCCACCCACACTGGCTTCTGAGGGCCAGTGTGGGTTTAAATATTTGGGGTGACCCACGCCGATCTCCGGGATCCTAAGCAGGCTTCTGAGAGTCCAAACTGACCGTGAGTGGCCTGAAATGGCCTGGAAGTACCAAGCCTAAGGGATCTTAAAGGGATCCCTTGCCGCTATGCCGTGCGTAACTTTTGGTTCCGTTAAACATTTTTTGTTCGCGTTTGCAGCGCTTCCCTTCACACGAAAAGCGAGAACTTTTTGATCACACTCGAGTGAACAAAACACTTCCCCTCGCGGGAGCAAAGATAAATTACGTCCGATTCACACTTCCGACATTCACTCTCCGCCGAATGCCCAACTTAGCTTCAATCGGCGGCTGGTATAAGCCCTATGCATTTCATGTAAAACCTCTGCATGCATGCGTGAATGGAGTTTTAGCAGGGTGATCCGATCATATGGACCGTTTTTTCACCATTTTTCTGGGTGATGATCATGAGCGACGAGCGTCTGCACAGGGGCCCTCTGCAGTGCGTCGGCAATTGCAACCACTGTAATTCTACCGGTCGTTTTTGTCCGGAAATGTCAAAATCTCGAATTTGTCTGTAAAAAATTACATGTCATAGCTAGAAGAAAAACTTTGTCACCATCGGATTCCTCGCACCATTGCGCGTCGAATGATATGTAAAACGAGTGAGTAGCGACTGGGGAAAGGCAAGATTTAACACAAAAGTTGATTTTGCCCCCCCCCCCAGCCGAAAATCTCTGGCGACGCCTATGATCGACCTGCTATTACTCTATTAGCTGCTGTACGATTATATGGTCTCCCCCTTAATACTTTCGTTATCGGATGATAAATAACTGGAGATCGTTGTGCGCAGGTGACCCCGATTACAAGATGCAGTGCGTGGGATTCTGGCGAGAGAACCTGAGATCGTACCTCATCACATACGATGAGCTGGACCCGATCAGCAAGTACAGATGCTGGGTAAGTAGGGAGGGCATGGTAGGTTAAACTCATCAGTGTTCCGATGGCACGTCGTGAAAAGCTAAAACATTATATCCGTGGTATATAGGCCCATGTTGCTGTATCAAATTCGCTTTTGCCCTTGTGTTCTCAAACAAGTCTGGTATGTGCCAGTCTCTGCAATGGCAATCTGACAATACAGACAGACTGCCATGTATCTTTTCTACCAAAGTAGGCTATCCCGTTGCCATTTATTGTCATACGGTTGTTGGGCTTCGTGCATCGGTATTTGAGAAAGTAAATGCAGCCCTTTCGCCAATCGTTGCTCTAGAGTCGTCATAAATTCGTTAATCCTAAATTATTCGTCGTTAGATCGCTATGTAGTTTATGTAGGTATCTGCTTTTTACCAAAAATGATTTAACGATATACGATTAACGATTTTCTAACAAAATTAACGATTTAAGATAAACGATTAACGAAATTTACGATTTAAGATAAACGATTAACGAAATAAACGATTTACGAATACGACTAACGAACTTTTTGCTGCATTTACTTTCTCAACTTGTTCAATCCCATCACCATCAGTTTTTCTTAAACAGTTACTTGCATTGCGCACACAGCATTTCTATGTAGATCTTCGTCGGATACCAAATTGCTGAAATTAACACCAATACTGTCACCATGAAATCAAATTATAACATTATAACTATTTGTTTGTTTGCAATACCCTATTCACTTTTTGCGGTCTTGATCAATGGAGCACCGTGTGTAAAATGCCTTGTGCCAGACTGCATGTCAGTGCTATTGGTGGTAAAACGATCAGACTTTTCTGACAACCGAAACTTTTTTTTCTTTTAAGTTTTATGACGCTGTTACATCCCCACATAAAATCGAACAGGTGGACTGTGAAATGTTGACACAATTGTGCTGTTCATGGAACTCGTCAGTACGATTGCAGTACCGATGCTCGTAAACATCGGTCAGGCTGCAGCCCTAGTAAGACTGGTTTTTAACGCCTAGTGGGGTGTTTTCATGCCCAATGACATTTCTTCCAATTGCTAAGGCGTACTCGTTCTGATAATTCCTGGTTTGTTCCATTCCTTTTCTATGTTCACCACGAGAACCGCAATTCTTGAGAATTTTCGTTAAAAACACGTGGCTAATCCACCGATGAACACCTTACGAAAATCTGGCTGAGAGCGACATAGCGTCAGTCGCTTTGGGTCTGACATTTCGCGGAAAGCGTCGCTGTCACCCACCGTCAGCGAACGAGGCGGCCCACAGAGCCGCCCGTCGCCGTCACCCGCTTCCCCCGGTCCGTCGACCGTGACCTCTGACCTGGCCTTTACGTCAGGTGTACATCCGGACTGACATCAACCGGATCAAGATGTCACAGGCGGTGGGCAGCTTCTGCAACATCAACCAGCGCGCCGACTCTTCCAACTACACTGAGGGCGCCGCCGTCTTCCTCGACCTCCGCGAGAACGAGCGAGAACGTGAGTGGCACCGGCGACGTAGCGTCGAGATAGCTGCTTGACTAGAAACAACTACAAACTCAGATGATATCGGATTTCGTATCCATAAGATCTCTATGTCCATAACATGCTTATTTGCTAAAACTTTACCCTGACTTCTTTTGCTTCGTCACTTTTACTCTTTTAGAAACTTTTTTACAACCTCGTTGACAATTTCAGGTGATCGTTGTCCTCTGTACTTTGACGATGGAGAGAATCCGTGGGAGAAGAAGGATCAGTACTTCAAGGTGTTCGACTTCAAGTACAACAGCGGCGCGCGGCTCGCACCGGCCGCGACAGTGCTTCTCTCCTGGCTGACAGCGGTGGCTGCTCTGTTGTAATGTGTAGAACAGTGCTGCAGGAGGGCGGAGCGGTGGCTGTAGGGCAGGAATAGCAGCTGTCGGCTGCGACTGTCGCTTGCAACATCAACTGCAGATTGCCTGAGCAGTAGTTGCCAACGGCCGGAACAGCAGTGCACGGAGGCGGTCGTTGCAGCAACTGAAGGACCGGACGAGGCCAGTGAAGACTGCGGGGCCTCTGGCCGCCTTTCACTGCGCTGGTCGTGTGTTTCCAGTGATCTGAGGACCAACTCCTGGTGACTTTCGTGTGTTAGAACTATCCGAGGATGGCCATTCGGGAGACCAGGGAGACTCCGACCGATTGCTGCGTTGTGTAACGGATAACGCATTCGATGGTGCTTTCTGGGAGTCTGCTGTTCTGAGGGAAGATCGGCAGTCCCCAGGCTCAGAATCTGCGGAATCTCAGCTTACCATCTGCTGTCCTCAGAACGAACCGACTCCTAAAGCTGGGAGTCCCAGCATTAGGCATCCCAGCACTGTATGAGTTTCGATTCCGTTGCTGAATTTGATCCGGGATCAAATACAGTAAGTTAGGAATAATTATTTGTGAAAACACACATATTGATGTTTTTACGACTGCGCGCATTATTCATAAACATAGCTGTCATCGAAGTACCTATGTATAAGCTCCACTCGACGTAACCGCGGACGTATTAGTGGAATGAACTGTCGAGTGCTCATGTACTGCGTTAAGTTAGGTGATGAATTGCTGCGTACGAAGGTGGCCCTGAACAAGCATTAGATATACACCAATGCTATCACACGTGTTATTCCTATACGATTCTTTTTGTATGGCGCACTTTCATGTTTGTACATATATGTTGCAATGTAAATAGACGTAGCGACCTGAAAGTTGGTTTTATGAGTGGTGATTGAGCTTGAAGTAACTGATTCGATCTTATTGAATGTTTCCATGGTGTTTAGTGAGCTAAGCTGCCGAAAAATTGTCATCCGCAATTTTTATGATTATACAGGGTGTTCCAAAAAAAGTGAGCCCCCAAACTTATATTGCTTTTATCTCCGAAACCGTATGTCCTACGATAATGAGAGACCCCTTGTTGGAAAGAACGGTCAATTTCGGTTCTAGTAGGCTACCTAGTGTGTTTCTGAATGATCACGTATTACACCGAGAACGACCAGAACAAAATGTGTTGCAAGATCGAGTGAAACTTGGCGACGGCGGTATGCCCCGCCTAACTATTATTGCTTTTATCTCCAAAACCGTATGTCCTACGATAATGAAAGACCCCTTGTTGGAAAGAACGGTCAATTTCGGTTCTAGTAGGCTACCTAGTGTGGCTCTGAATGATTACGTATTACACCGAGAACGACCAGAACAAAATGTGTTGCGAGATCGGGTGAAACACGGCGACGGCGGTAAACGTGTATTGCTGACGGCAACGCACGACCGATATTGGAGTGGTCAAAATACTGGTTGAACTAGGTCATCCATTCAGTCTTCATTTTTTTATGATAAAAGTTCACGCGCGAAGAATGAATAAAAGCACGTGAACTGAAATATGCAGTCAGATGTGAAGAAATCCGTTACCCCTAAATATTTCACTAAGAATTTGGTATTGAATTGTGCTTTTCACAATGCTGGTCGTGTTGTGCAAGCTATGTAACAGAATTACGACCTATCTGGATGGAATTCGATTGCTCTTTCTAATGAGCGGCTTTCCAAAGCTGTAGGATACACGGTTGCGGAGATACAGTCGATCTTAGTTAGGGGGCTCACTTTTTTTGGAACACCCTGTATATAGCAGCCATAAATGTTCCACAGCTAAAGCTGCTTTTCATTGCTTAACTCACCTTCGAGTGTCCTGGGAATTTATACTTGCACAAAAGGTTTACTTGCAAATACCTAACTCACACAATTGACAACACAATAAATTGACAATTTAACCATTTAACCCTATTAGTGGCAGGGGGGGGGGTGTTTTTATCCACCCCTCAGGTTTTTCGGGAATATCTCCGAAACCGCTGAAGCTACGATGCTGAAATTTTCTGACTTTTCCTAAAACTAAATTGGGCACATTCCCTGAAAATTTCAAGTTCATAACTTTACCAGGAGCGGCTCCAGAGCACTGGGAATTGGGGGTCCTATTCGTGAAGCGAGTCATTTGGGCGAAGATCACGATGCTGCACCAGTTTTACGAACAGTGAATGAAAGGTATCATGTGATAACATGTACAAAGTTATTGTGCATCCTCTTTTGACACGTTTTTGCTATAATAGGCGGATCCAGGCGTCCAAAAAGGGGGTTATTCTTTACCTCCCAACATAGGTGCCCTGACACCGCCTATGCATGACCAATACAATTTTAGTCGTTCTCTCATAAGAAAATTGTAACATAACAAGACCATTGCCACCCTTTTTAGAAACAGTACCAACAAAAACCTTATTTACTATGCTTTTTGTGTACCCCCAATCTCAATGATCTGTATCCGCCTATGATTTTTGAAAATGCATATTTTTAGGATCCATGTGAATTCCTGGTTCATTCTCTATCGATCGGCAAAAGTTGCGTTAAAGGGACCCTCCCACCTTCAAAAAAGTTAATGAATTGGCATGAAAGTGATGTCCCTTGGTTCAGAAAGAGCGAAAACGAATATCTACCAAATTTCACCGAAAAATATTCACTGGTTTTCAAGATATTAGGCTTTTACTTTTGTTTACTTTTTGGGATCTCCCCTGTTACTAGCGACTTTATTTGGAAGCAATAATTTGGCAGCCTTAAAGTGCGGCAGACGTTGCGCGCAAAACAGCGTATACCACCACGTGTTAACGATGGTTTTAGTCTAAGATTTAAAAATCGTTAGATCTCCGCTGACGTCACAAATTCTAAGGGGGCATTCCAATGCATTAGCCCCTTAGAATCCGAAAACTGCAAGTTTGAAATTCCATATCTTCGAATTAAAGCATTTTTCGATGTTGTGAGTGCCCAAACCGGTATTTGCAGGCCATGGCCACCAATTTGGCTATCTCAACTCAAAACTAATGTTAAGGTGGGAGTGTCCCTTTAAGATTGGTTCAGAAACCTGGCCGTGATAAACAGTCTAAAATGTATCTGCAATTTGCCCGTTTTTACCCCCCTCTACCCCCTATTGACATTTTTTAATTTTATTTTTTTTAGAAATGTAGATCTTGTTGAGCCAAATCGAATGCCATTTGAATTTTGAAAATCGGCCGGTTAGATCTCGAGATATCAAGGGGGGGTCGTAAACAGCCCCCCCCCCTGCCACTACTATGGGGTAGCCAGGAGCCTGCCACTAATAGGGTTAAACTGATTACGCCTGCCTCACACGATTTAGCTGCACTTCGACTAAATCACGATATAATTAATGGTGGATGCCTACGAAATGCGTAAGATCGTCTTAAAATTGATAATTTTTAGTGAGAACACTTGGTCTTGCTAATGTTGCATACGATTGTGAAGCCGACAAATTTAAAGGAAACCCTCTCGGCAGCACATTTCAGGCCTCAGCAAACATCACACAGTGCATAGTTCTTAGACTGTACTGTTAGGCCCGAACGCATGTCATTCGCTGTTAGGAGATCACGTGGTTACATGACCTTCCGGTCGGCTGGTCACTGTCGTTCGTCAAGGGTGAGATGCGAGGACGGATGCGTAAACAAATCCATGATTTTCCTTTATTATCGAATCATGTAAGTTGTTTTAGCAAAGGTTGATACCCCAACTTCAACGAATCAAGACGAATCACGAAGCACAAAATCATAAATCATTCGAAAGTGCAAGTAGTACGAGCGAGCAAGCGTTTATAAGCAGAAAGTTTCAATGATGCATTTTAAAATAAAGCTTACAAAATTCAATGTGTTTCGAAAGGAGCGCATCGCACTTTGTATCCCAAAGACAAGTAAACTGTATTGACTTGACCGACGTGCTTAGCTGACCGGTTTGAGGCACTCTTTGCCGCACCCAAACGAGCAGCACAGCTTGTCGGATGGACACTGGGAATCACTGAGGCAGTTGCGCTCGGGATCGAACTCGCACGTCGTTATGATTCCGCTGGTGTCCGGACATTGGCCTGCCGGGTAGAACAGAAGAATTAGAGTGAAGTCTCGAAAAATTTGATCGCCTAGGAAATCAAACCCTTTCCATCACATCAAATCACTATTTGATTTTTTTCATGCTTAGCGGGGGCTCCGCCTCTGCTCTTGAGAATCCTTTCATTCAAAAATGTTGAAACATTTTTGACACAATATCTATTTAGATATCAGATATCAGATTTAGAATAGATAATATCTATTTAGAATAGATATCAGACACAATATCTATTTAGAAAATAGCAGTAGTCTTTGGCTAATACTTAAGTAGGCATGTTGTGTTACAATGAACGAACTAAGAGATACGAGCTACGAGATACGATAGATAGTTGACTTAGTGATAATGGAGGTCACGATTTACGCATTTACGTCGATGCCACTCCACTCACCGCGTGGCTTAGCGCAGCGTTTGGAGCCTGCGGCATTTTTGCAGCACTTTTTGTCATTCAGTGTGCCACAGTCGGTATCTTGGTCGCAGTTGCTGCTGCCCGTCCCAACACGAGTGGGATGGGGACACTCTCCCGGCTTTGGACCTGTGGACAAATGACATTAATGATAACATCGTACTTTATTCTTTAATATTTTGCTATATTTTTCTGATTGGGGTCATATCATGGCTTCATTTACAGTGCTGCAATCATTTTGTGCAAGGTATAGGCAGTGGTACACTGTACTGTTAAATGTTCACAAAATTATATTCACACCGACATCCGAAATGCAATGAGCAGCGGACAGGCTAGCTCGTGTATGTAAGTACATTGCTACGTAACTTACAAAATGTATGTCTGCGTGTGACGTCATACCTGCGGGCTCTTCGCACGAGGTCACACATCTGTCCGTCCGGCAGCATTTTTTGGTCCCAGGGCAGTCGCCGTCACTGCTGCACAGCTTGACGATCTCGTGGGGCCGGCAGCGGCGAAGTATGAACGCCCGGGCGATGCACTTTCCCGGTTTTACTACGAACAGAGGATCCAACACAGTGTTATAGTGATGAAGAGCCCGGGCCTCGTTACAGCGACAATGCTTTTTTTATTTTGAATTGAGGTAAAACTGGAATAGTATTTTTTTGCTATTGCAATGCTTGTTCAATGCTGATTTATAAGATACGTAAATTCCGGCAATGCAGCTAAGGATTCTCATGTTCATGTAATTAATAAATAAACAAATCAAATACATACAACAGATATAACCCGGGAGAAGGCCATTCTATTACATGGCAACTCGGGCTACCTTAACCTTCCAGGCGGTGGGGGAGGGGGCATTTTTTGCCCCTCCCCTTTAGTTTTTTTTCGATTTAACTCCAGAACCGCTGCCCCGATCATCACCAAACTTTCATTGCCCTCCTGTGAGTAGCTTTTACACATTGTGACCAAAATTTTTCCAAAAGCTATGATAGGTTGGCCGCTAATGACGTCGGAGCGACGTCATTTCTGCCATTTTCGACAAAAAAAAGGTTTCGCGGGAAGAGCTGTCAGGCCTACAGCTTTGTTTAGAGGTACAGAAAAATGTTTTGACATAAAGGTGTAGAATAACAGGGCTATAAAACTGCTATCTCGGATTTTTTTTTAATTTTTGATTTTAACCCCCAAAAATCGACCCGAGGTTGACCCCGAGGTCAATGAAATTTGCTTTCCATAACCAAATTTGACAGGGCTATCGAACACCGTTTGAATTTTACGGATCCGCCCAGTAGTTTCGGAGATACGGGGGGCCAAACATATCCCCACCCCACCGCGCGGAAGGTGGCCGGGAGGCCCGGGAGGCCGGGTTAAGGTGTTAAGGTATATTTCCCATTTTGAATTATACGTTTACGGATGTAACTAACCGTTAGATGACGGACTGGCGCAGCGTTTGAATCCGTTGGCATTTTTGCAGCACTTTTTGTCGTTGTTCTCCCCACAGTCTGTATCCACATCACAGCGGCTCGAGGTTCCAGACTCGACCTGGGACGGGGCCGGACACTGTCCGGGCTTCGGAGCTGTGTAAAAATGGCAGGATGCGTGGCAGTGAATGTCTCTAAGTGCTGCTTCTGATTCTGTCGTATTTAATGCCAGTTTTTTTTTTGTCACAATACTCGTAGACCAGAATTCATTCGGTTTCTTTGGCGATAAAAGACTATCATATTTTCAAAATGCATGAAGACTGTAGCTAACGAGAAGATATTTTTTCAATAATTTGTTCATTGTCTTTTTCTCGCCAAGAAGTTTCAACTTCCATTTACCTGCGGGTTCTTCGCACGAGGTCACACATCTCTCTGTCTGGCAGCACTTCTTGGTCCCCGGACAGTCACCGTCACTGCTGCACAGCTTGACAATCTCCTGGGGCCGGCAGGCTAGAGCTATGAACACGCGGTTGATGCACTTTCCTGGTTTTTCTGAAGAGAGAAACGCATGCCGTTACCCACTTTAGGCATTAGCATACACATCACTTATGCACAGCAAAACGCTTTGTTCGTTTAGGGTTTCGGGAACTTCACAATGTTCTTCTCCTTCTAACTAGTGGAAGATCTTGTTCATTAACCCGCCCCCGCTAGGCTATTCAGCCATACGCGCCCTGTTGGGGGGGGGGGGGGGTCAGATTCTGTCCCCCTGTCTAACTTCCGAACCGATGGTCGTAGAAAGACGGGGAAAACGGCAATCGAAATCTCTCAACAAGGCGGATCTTAAAAGGCCAACATTTTTTTGCTGAAGTAGGTCAGAGGTCAGGTCAAGGTCAGGTCAAGGGTACAAAATGCAAGTTTCTACATTATCGGCCTATGCACCGTAGTTGCCGAAGAATGGACTGAGACTGATTGCCTAAAACGTGTTCTTAGGCTACCAAGACAATATTCGTTGCATACAATATCATTGAAAGGTCAAGGCCAAGGTCAGGTCAGGTCAGGTCACCAAAAACAAAATATAGAAAAGGGCATGTGCGACACATGTTTTATGGGTCATTTTATTCATAGAATTCAATAGGCACACTCAATAAGTGATATGGACCACCTCTGGATGAGTTTCAGGTCGAGTCAGGTCAAGGTCAGGTCAAGTGAGGTCAAATTTTGAAGTTGGTTGTTAAGGCCTAAAAAGGGGTCTATCTGATGTAGTTTTTCACGGCGAATCGAATGGTTCTATTTTGTTTCCGTACGAGGTCTAAAACTTCCAAAAAATCATTTTTCAAAAATTTTGTGTGTCGTGACGTCATAAATTTTGAATAACTTACACATTTTTGAACTGATTCTTCTGAAAATTGGTATCTAGGTCCACATAGACCACTTCTCTGACACAGATTCCGGTTTTTTCGATACACTAAAAATTTTGGATTTATAATTATTTTCCCAAAAAAGTCAGTTATTGAAGAAAAAAATTGCGTCAAAATCCAAAATTTTCAAAAAACCGAGATAGCCATTTGATAGACAAAGTAGAATCACGTATGACCTTTTATTGTTACGTCTTGATTTCTTTAAAAATGAAGATGTTAGCGGCGTTTGAAATTTTGCCGTTTTTGAGGCGAAAATGGCGAACATGACGTCACTAAAACGTCATTTTCTCAAAAAATTTCCGACGGATTTCGCTTAACTTTTCAGGGAACGTGTCCAATTGATGTATGATAAGGTACTGAAAGTTTGACGTCGCTGGCGCAACGCGCTTAAAAGTTATTGGCGAAAAGCGGGAGGGGGGGGGGTGGCAAATTCTGCCCCCCCCCCAGCGGGGCGCGGGTTAAGGCACAGTCTGCATAATTTATTGCACTATAGTGATTACTTTGTATAAGAACCTACCACACATTTCACAAAATTTAGCAGCAATGCTCCACTAAGGCGATTCATTACCGACCTGTGGATGGTGGACTGGCGCAGCGTTTGAATCCGCTGGCATTTTTGCAGCACTTTTTGTCGTTGTTCTCCCCACAGTCTGTATCCGCATCACAGCGGCTCGAGGTTCCGGACTCGACCTGGGACGGGGCCGGACACTGTCCGGACTTCGGAGCTGTGTTAGGGAAACACGTCAGTAATCGTACCAGCGCGACAGAGAGCATGCAATGATTTTTGTTTTAAACATCGCAATGTTGGCACGTTTTTTATCGCCATGCATGGGATTGGAGCTATCATTTGTCAGGGCACCGGTCTATTGGGTCTATTTGTCTATTGGGACTATCACGTCCTATGAACTCTAGTAAGCTTATGGTGTGTCTACCTGCGGGTTCTTCGCACGAGGTCACACATCTCTCTGTCTGGCAGCACTTCTTGGTGCCCGGACAGTCGCCGTCACTGCTGCACAGCTTGACGATCTCGTGAGGCTCACAGGCCAGAGCTATGAACACCCGTCTGATGCACTTTCCCGGCTTTTCTGTGGACGGAGGATCGAATTAAGTGTCCGACTGTCACAGTAATGTGGAACCGGGGCTTTGAACTTTAGCACTGCAGCAATGCCCTTTTCCTTTTGAATTGACTGAGAGTGCAAACAAAAAGAAAGATGCTTTAGTGTTTGGAATTTAGATCCATTCATATCATATTATGATACGCAAGATATAATTCAAGTCAAACCAGAGACATACCTCTAAAAATTGTCGACAAAATATTTTGTATTGAACTTCATATGGGAAATATAAAGCCAATGTTAAGCTACTTATGGTCCTTTTTCGACGAAATAAGATTCAAAAAGAGGGTCGAAAAATGGGTTGTAAAAGTTCCATCAATACTTTTTCATACAATGGCGGGCGACAAGTATTCGCTCATGAAATAATTAAACCATGCGTTATAAGTTAACTCAGATTACAACTCACCCAGACGCGACCCATTCTCCTAATCATAAATGCGGGTCACTTTAATTTTTCACGTTTAGGAATAGTCAATACCAATAGATGTTTTTTATGGATACAACCGACCTTTGGACGCCGGGCTGGCGCAGCGTTTGAATCCGCTGGCATTTTTGCAGCACTTTTTGTCGTTGTTCTCCCCACAGTCTGTATCCACATCACAGCGGCTCGAGGTTCCAGACTCGACCTGGGACGGGGCCGGACACTGTCCGGGCTTCGGAGCTGTGTCAGGGAAACACGTCAGTAATTGCAATAGCGGGTCAGAGATCATAAAATGATTTTTTAAGATCACAAGGTCAGTGCCAGTCATTATAAACCCTCGCATGTGTTGGGGGGGGGGGGGGGGCGGTCGGATGGACCTTCCCAATGGTTTTTCGCGAATAACTTGTGCAAAAAGCGGCCGATCGCTACGAAACTTTCAGTACCTTCGAGTTGATCGATTTTACATCCACTCTTAAAATTTCATGACCCTGACCCAAGTGACCTTTGATCTGTGACCTATTTCTCGAGGCCATGTTTGGCCGGAATCGCGATTCAGCGTCTGTCGGCTCGCATTAGCCGCGCGTTTGCAAGCTTTTCGGGGTTTCAAACGTTCAAACATGTGATTTGTTGTTACTCCCATGCAATATGGTGGATGTCAAGGTCACCTGAAGGTCAGGTCAGGTCATTGACCTTTGGTGACCTCGGTTCACTTTTTCGAGTTTTACATGTTTCTAGGCTAGTTTTTGGAGCTGAATTCGAATTTAGACACCATTTAAACATTTACAAAGTAGTTTTGGTGCCTCTGTAACATGTTACGAAGTGGTCAAAGGCGGTTGACACAAACTACGAACACCCGTCACGACCTCTACTGGTTGACCTGACCTGACCTGACCTGACTTGACCCGACCTGGTCGAAATGCTTAAAGACATCATCTGTGATCAAAACTAACACGATATTCGTGATCGGCACCCCGAAAACCCATACCAGCCACACTTGACGACTTTCTAACAGGTCCCGATTTTCCGACGTTTGGGTCATTGACCTGACCTGGAAGTTCAACCAGTGGCTTAGGTCATTAAAATTGGGTATCATCGGCTTTCTCTCGTCACGGGCAACACGTTCGTTTTTTCCGCGAAGCTCTAGCTCGATCAGGGGCCAAGCGGCAAGGAGGGGTCCACCAACCGACCCCCCCCCCCCCCCACACCTTAGAAGCTGGCAAGCGCCGCACACATGCGAGGGTTAAGGCCATCAGAGCTTGACTTTTTAGGCTTAAGGCTATCACATCTTATGGATGGCTGTTATATAGCGTCTACCTGCGGGTTCTTCGCACGAGGTCACACATCTGTCAGTCTGGCAGCACTTCTTGGTGCCCGGACAGTCGCCGTCACTGCTGCACAGCTTGACGATCTCCTGGGGCCGGCAGGCTAGAGCTATGAACACGCGGTTGATGCACTTTCCTGGTTTTTCTGAAGACAGGAACGCATACCGTTACCCACTTTAGGCAGCAGGATACACACCATTTAAGCACTACAAAACACTGTTTTAGTTTGTTTAGGGTTTCGGGAAATTCACAAATGGCACAAGCCTGCACAATTTATTACACTATGGTGATTATTTTGCATAAATACCTACTCGTCCCACAACACAATTCACAAAATTTAGCTTATAATGGAATGCTCCACTTAAGCGATTCATAACCGACCTTTGGATGACGGACTGGCGCAGCGTTTGAATCCGCTGGCATTTTTGCAGCACTTTTTGTCGTTGTTCTCCCCACAGTCTGTATCCACATCACAGCGGCTCGATGTTCCGGACTCGACCTGGGACGGGGCCGGACACTCGCCGGGCTTCGGAGCTAGAGATATTTCGCAGAAAAACGTAGCAGTGTCAACAGTACTCACTGTTCAAAATATATAACGATATCTGACATGATCTATGTAGACTAGTGGTGTCATTTTCCAAAAAATGTCTGACCGATACCGACCGAAACCAAAATTTGGGAAAAATTTCCGACCGAATGCCGACCGATAACATCCCAAGCCAAAATTTGACCGAAATTTGACCGAAATTCTATTTGTTATTACTCTACCACAAAATTCAATTATTTGGTAATTCTGATGGAAAATAATGGGAAATGGCATTTCAGTCCAAGTTCAGTCAATTCTTAGCCACTGCAAAATACATTTTGTGGTAGACGTTACATTTCTAAGGGTAGGGGACCCCAGGCCTTTGGGGGAAATTTTGCAACTCTTTATCATTAACATCCCAATAAATTTCATTTTAACTAGGCAAAAATGGAATACTTTCTCTTTTTGAAAATGGTTTCACTGACAGGGTAACCGAAAGTGTCCGATTTTTAGGGGGCCTGACCGACCGATTACCGAATCGGTCAGCATATCTTTTCGGTGACCGAAATTTTCGGTAACCGATTGACACCACTAATGTAGACCTTATAATTTTCACATTGTGGGCACGCGAATCACGTTTCTTTCCCAGGTTAAGGCGTACCGCAAAACACTTAATACATCGGACTGCGAGCCTTAATTGATTTGTGTAACTTTAAAGGAAGAAATAAATGCGTCTTCGATTGGTATCCTGAATCCTCACTTCTCATGTTTAATTATCCACAGATAAAGCCATGGCAGCTATTAATTATACGGCTTGTATATAATTTGCATGCGTTACCTGCGGGCTCTTCGCACGAGGTCACACATCTGCCAGTCAGGCAGCATTTTTTGGTCCCAGGGCAGTCGCCGTCACTGCTGCACTGCTGCACAATCTCGTTGGGCCGGCAGGCCAGGGCTATGAACACCCGTCTGATACATTGGCCTGGCTTCTCTGAAAAAGGCCAAATCAATCGTTTAGATTAGCGATTTTTCTAATTCGCGTACATTGACCGTTTGCGGCACAGTTCCACTTTGAGACAATGTCGTCGTATGAAATTACGATTCTTATGCACATCGAATCATGGCTTCAAGCCTGCATATTCAAATGCATCTTTCAAACGACCATTTCATGGAAATAAAAGTGCTTCGGCAATTGAGTTTGAGGCTAAAAATTATGCCTTTCAATATTGCATTTCATTTTACGATTTCAAAGATTCAGAACTGACCTTTCGACTCGGGTTTGACGCAGCGTTTGAACCCGTTGGCATTTTTGCAGCACTTTTTGTCGCTGTTCTCTCCACAATCTGTGTCCACGTCACAGCGGTCTAAGGCTCCAGACGTGACCTGAGAGGGGTCCGGGCATACTCCGGGCTTCGGAGCTGTGTGAACAGAAAAAAATGGCTGGAAATGTCAATATCGCATCAATAGCCTCACGACGGACATCAGGACTACACTGTGACAGGGCGCACCATCTACGAGGCTATATCGCTCTTACTAGGCATTAGGTGCAGGATTTGGTCAAGTTAGGTTCATTGAAGCCGCTCTCACGGCGGCCTATGATACACCTAATTTAACCAAATCTGCATGAAATATTTTTACAATAAATATCCTCAGGTTATAACTCTATTTTTAGTTGTCTTGTTGTATAACATATGCTTGTTTTAGGTAACATAGTTGGGGAAGAACTTACTTCAATTCACGTTTGTTTGGTTACCGACTTGTTTCCGTTAACCCTCGCCCCGTTGGGGGGGCCATTTTGGCCCCCCCTGTGGTTTTTCCTGAATAGCAAGAAAACGGCGGCGCGCAGCGCCGCCAAATTTTCAGTACCTTTCCGGGCATCAATTTGACACCTTCACACCAAATTTCAAGTCTTAGGTCACCTTAGGTCAGGAGTTATTGAGGTCAAACTGAGGTCATGTTCGAGCAAAAATGAGCAAAAAACATGCAATCTTGAAACGCTCACCAAATCTACAGTTATCAAGCAATTTCAAAGTTCTTTATATGGTCTAATAGACAAAAAGCGGCGCTACAAAACTGCTATCTCGGATTTTCAAAATTTTGGGTTTTTGACCCAAAAAAATTCAAAAAATTGATTTTTTTAGAAAAACTAAAAACAAATCCAAAATTTTTCCGAATTTCGAAAAAACCGGAATATATGTCATAGTCCCTGCGCTCTTCTATATACATACCAAATTTCAGATCGATATCTCGTTTTTTGGCCAAGTTATAGCGAAAAAACTGTTCAAAAATGATGACGTCAAATTTTTGAACTCAATTTTTAGCAATTCTAGACCTCGTACGGCAAAACAAAGACCACCATTGAACTCCCCGTGACGAGCTGCATCGATTCGATACCCATTTTATGCAAAAATATCAACTTTGAAATTTGACCTAATTTGGCCTGACCTTGACCTGACCTTGACCTGACCTTGACCAAAACGTGACCTAAGCTGGCCCCAAAGGCTGCCTGACCCACATAATCGCATTTGTCATGTAAAATGGACCATAAAACATGTATCACACGACACTTTCATATTGTGACCCCCCAGTGACCTGACCTCAGTGACCTGACCTGGTATCAGTGACCTCAACTAGCAAAATATGTGTTTGAAGAACATTTCCCCATCGATGATTTTCAATGAAATGCATTTTACTCGATTTTACAACGCATTTCTTGAAATGCCTGTAAACGGTGAAAATTGGACCTTTGACCTGACCTGTGACGTCATCGGTTTGACCTAGGTCAATAAAATTGGGTCACAAGGTAGTTCCCTGATAGGGCTATCCAACACCGTTTGCCGCTTGTCGCTACGTTGCGTGGTTCTCGAGATCTTAGGGGGGGGGGCCAAAATGGCCCCCCCCCCCAACGGGGCGCGTTGCTCGGCAGAGCCCAACGGGGCGCGGGTTAAAAGCAAGTCATAATAACGCCATTAAACATAGACGCGGGAACCGGGGGGGGGGGGCAGCCTAACCCCACAACTCTGGGGCCGTGGGAGCGTTGCACAGCTTTGAGACGGAATACCGCACTTTTTTGCCAATGTTCTCTTTTTTGTTGAAAAATCAAAGGGATGAAAAATAAGTGGCCTAAAACCAGTGAGAAAACTAGATTTGGGGGTAACGCTATAGGTTGATCTCTATTATGGTGTGCCCCTCCCCCGTCTGAAAGTTGTTCCCGCGCCCTTGCCATTAAAATTCATACGCCGAAATTAACACAACAGTTTAATGAAAAAGCAAACAGCGTAAAGTGCTTACCCTGAAGCTTGTTAAATAAACAATGTTTATCATACAACAGTACTCCAAGGAAGATGGAATTGACGTTCTATTTCAATCTCTCTTGAGGCTTACTATCCTACCTCCTACTTGATATGGCCTGTGAGCTACCTGATTAGGTACAAATGAATGACAATTCAAACGACCACGTTGTCTGAAGTCCTTTATCGTTGACAGATGTGTGCGCCTCGGTCGACGGCTGCACACTGCTTGGGCCCATGGGGCACCCGATACCGAGCTGTTGACGTCATCTCGTTCGCTGACGTCACACCTACCCTCCTTTGTTCCTCCATAGCCTGGTGTAGGTTAAAGACCGCGTGTGTGCGTGGCCGAGGCGACCGATAAAGGACTTCAGACAACGTGGTCGTCTGAATTGTCATTTATCCGTCGCTCTCGTGCTCGCAAAAACCGGACTGTGATTTTGGGACTGTATTCAGCTAGACCGGTTTTTGGTGAGGTGACACATGCCCACCACCCCACCGAACCACGAGACGACGGAGCTTTGGCGCGAGCGGGAGAAGTAAACGGACTCCATCCGTTAACAGAGAATCCGGCACGAGAGTGGTCTTTTCACGTCAGTTCCGTGCAAAATACATTAACGCTTGGCGTTAGAGGTGCAACCGGCCCCCCGTTTCCTGGAGGTGCCCGGCATATGAGGGAGCCGGCCACAGAGGGTGCGGGCGCCAATAGGAGGCTAGATAAGCGCCAGCGGTCGGGTAAGCAAATACGGCCCGCCCGGCCTGGCGAGGACACTGCGCCGGCCGCCGGGCGCCTCCAGTGCGTGAGTGGCACGTCAGACGGCGGCCGCTCTTGTTTTTCGTGCGTGCGCGCTCAAGCCGCTGCGATCATCTCCCGGAGATGGGACGCCCCACACGCGAAAGGGCATCCGGTAAGTCACGCCTGCTTGCTGGCGTCTCCCCATTGTGTCCAGGCTGTCACGAGCGACCCCACTACCAGCAATCTTAGGCCCGCGGGCGCTCCGTGCCGGCGTACCTACCGCCCCCTCGTATTGTTGTGTTGAACATTTCAGAGTGGTCCACGTTCCACTCGTGTGTCGATTACTGCCGTGGCGATCACGTGGCGATTACTGCTCCTTTGCTTGTCTTACCGCCGACACGTCCCGCGCCGTCACGCCGCAGCTGACATCCCATGCTTATGTCATGATAGTTTCTCGGACGGCCAGTCCGCCCTGCCCTACTATAACGCCCATCTCACCCGTCGCCGGTGAGATTTCCCGTCGGCTATTAGGCCGTCACGCCGCCGCTAGCATGGCTTCTATCGTCAGTCGCCTGGACTGTGCCGTCTTATACGCTGTCACGCCGCCGCTGACAATCAACTATCTCGCCCGTTGCACGGCCCGTTCCGTCTGTCATACGTGGTCAAGCCGCTGCTGACTACCTCTTCTGTCACACGGACTGTTCGTCTGTCATTTACACCGTCACGCCGACGCCAGACCTCGGTCTTGCCGCCGCCGCCCCTGCCTCGCCCGTCACCCAACATGTCACGCCGCCGCTGACACACCCAACCGTCACGCCCGCTACGTTCGTCGTCACCGCTGTCATGCCGCCGCCGACAGCCCACCGTCACACCTGACGCTTCCGCTGGCTGTCCTGCCGTTTGCCACGACCCGCCCGCCGCCTGGTCGCCCCGCCGGCCGCCACCCGGCAACCCCTCCCCCCCCGCCGGCCGCCGCCCGGCCGACCGCCGCCGCGGCAACCCCTCCCCCCCCCCCCGCCGGCCGCCGCCCGGCCGCCCGGCCGCCCGCCGCCCAGCCGCCCCGCCGACCGCCGCTCGGCCACCCCGCCGGCCGCCGCGCTGTCTCTCCGAGCCGGACTGTCACCTGCCACCGCCTGAGGCCGCCGGCCGTGCCTTTGTCTCCCGGTGGCACCTCCCTCCCGCCAGTCCCGCCCCGCCGCGCGCACCCCGGCCTGACCACCCTCCCATCCCGGGCCGCCGCCCGCGGCCCCTAGCCGCCCGTCTGTTTGCTTAGCGCTGCCTTTCCCACCGGTGCCCATTCTATCGCGCTCGCCCTGCTCATATACTCGCGTCCCTCTCTTACACTGACGACAAAACAACTCGCTATAACAACAACACTAACTAGCTATGACATTTCCGAGATCAGCTGATCTTTCATGTCATACCAAACTGTCATGCCCGCCGCGCTCTTCACCACCGCTATCACCGCCGGCCGTCTCTCCCGTTTGCCATTTTCCACCTAAGCCTGAGGGCTGTTCACGGGCCCTGTGTGCGGTCGGACCGTACACAGCCTCCAAGCTCCGCCCACTGCGTCCCCACGTCAGCCTTCCGTCACCGCACAGCAGCGACCGCTGTGGCCGGTCGGACTGGCCACAGCGGACCGTCCACCATGACGTCATGACGCAGCCATGACGTCAGAGCCGTCTACCCATCCCCCTGGTCACCCTGCCAGTCACTGCGGCGCCTCTCTGGACCGGGACCGGGCTGTCTCCGGCCACCGCCGCGCCAGCCGAACGTTTGTTTGCTGGCGTCCCCCCTTAGCTGGTGCACTTGTCTCGCCGCGCTCACCGCCGCGACCGGCCCCTGGCCACCCTATCAGTATCGGGCCGGTGGCCCCCAGCCGTAAGTCTGTTTGCTTAGCGCCGCCCTCCTCACCAGCGCTCGTTGTTTTGCGCTCATCTGTCGCACAACGCTGCGTCCATAGTTGTGTGGTGGTTAGCGTGACGGATCCGTTTGTGTGCCGTTAGGACTATCGCCAGGGTGTCCCGGTTCGATCCCAGGTGGCGCCGGACCTTTGCGCTGCGTTAGGCAAGGTATCTTCAGCACAGGGGGCTGCGCGCCTGCGCATCGCGCCTTTGTTGCCACCTACACCGCTACGTCACGAGCCGTCACGCTGCTGCCGGTCATGCCCGTTACACGGCCACCGCGTCTGTCATATGCTGCTGTCAAGCCACCACCACCGGCCGACCTGTCAGGTTCATCGCACGAGCTGCCTATCCGTCACATACCGCTACCACGCCGATGCCGTCACGCCGCTGCCGACAACCTGGCACTGTCACGCCGCTGCGGATTATCATCTATCATCCCCGCCGCACAGGCTGTCCGCCTGTCACGAACCACTGCCACGCCGCCGCTGACACTTCTGTCATGTCTAACGCACTGAGTGTCCGTCCGCCATATATGTAGGTACTGCTATCACGCTGCTTCCGACCGTTCACGATCATGTCTAGCCCAAGCGCCCGGACCGACACGCCTCCCACATACCGTCGCCATGCTGACACTCCAGTTCTACCCATCCCGGCCGCCGCCCGGACCACCCCGTACGTCTTAACCGCTGCCGCGCCGCCGCGCCGCCAACGGCACCGGGCACACCTACCACGGCAATCGCCAGGCCCACCCCCTCTGTCACATACCACCATCCCGCCGTTACCACAAGCACTCCTATCATCTACCCAGCCACCCCGGCTGTCATGCCGCCGCCGACAGAACCTTCGTCATGCCAGCGCTCTAGCCGCAGGCCTGTCACACGTCAACGTCACTCCGCCGCTGACAGAGCAACGGTCATGTGCGACGCCGACGGCGGCCCGTGTACCACGCCGTCCCCCACCCGCCGCCTAGACCGCCCGCCGACAGCACTCGTTCTGCCGCGCCCGCCGCCGCGGCCGGCCTGATAACCCTCTCGTCTCGGGCCGTTGCTCGTAGGCGCCTGTTTGCTCAGCGCCCTCCCCCCCCCTCCCCCCACCTCAGCGCTCTTGTACCGCGTTCGCTCGCCGCGGACAAGCGCAGCCTCGTGTTGTGTTGGTTAGAGTGCGGGTAACCGCCGGTGTGACAATTCGGGCCAAATCGCACGGTGACCAGCTTGATTCCAGGAATCGGCGGACTTGTACGCATCGTTGTGAGGTATCCGTCCCTACCAGGAATAATTTTATCTACCTGAATGTTAGGAGACAATAAGATAAACAAGACCCCTCCCGACACATGATTTGTGAGACAGTCACAAGCTACCTAGGTGGCGCATCCTATCCACCATTGCACATCTGTTGCATCTGTATTTCAGTTATATTCTATTATCATTTACATTAACAGCGCTTCTCGCCGGATCACTTCAAAGACGACGGTTCTCACTTGACTTTGCCCCATAACTGTGCCAAACTGACTAGGCGTCCCTCCCATCTCACGTCAGTCCAACAACTCCACTTACGCTGTCGATTGTCGAACACGCCTCAACAATGTCCCACCGCTGCTGTTATGCCTCTCCGGACAACCCGTGCCGTGCCCGACACGGGCGTCTTACCCGTTGCCTATACTACTGTCATGTCCTGCCGACAGCCCTCAGCCCTGAGCCCAGCGCAGCGGTATACGCACGCCGCGGCTAACAGCCGCACCGTAACGTTTCGCAATTACCGTACGACCGTCACGTATGTACTGACACCATGCCCTGCGCTGTCACTGACCGCCCCGCCCGTTCGTCATGTCGTTCCCACCGCCGCCTAACCCGCTGTCGGAGGCCGCGCCGTCCCTCGGGCTCGGACTGCGGCCAGCCACCGCCGGCGATCGCCAACCGCGCGCTTGTTTGCTAGGCGCCCACTCTCCTCCCTGCCCGCACTTGTATGGGCGACGCCGTTATCCGCCGGCCTCCCACCCGCTCTTGGCAGCCCTCGCGGCTCAGTGGTTTGCCCGGGTGGCATGTGCGCCGTGTGTCTCTGGGATCCCAGTGAACAGGCTCAGTCCCAGAGAGCTATGGAAGTTTGTACAGCGATACCGGGCGTGAAATCCAGCGCTGCGCCCCTGCTACGCCCCGTTTCCACTCACTTTCTACCCAGCGTGGCCGGTTGGTGACGCATTATACGTTTGCTAATGCTATCCCGTGACCTCACAGCGGCCGTCACCGAGCTCGTTTTTCCACCCCAAAAGTCCCGGGGTACTTATGTTCCCCCGCGCCCGCATGGCATACCTCATGCCGCCCCTTGCCGGCATCGTGCCCATACATTTGGGCAAATTTTGGCGTCTTTCAGCTAGGGAGAGCTGGAACACACGCAATAGGAGCTGGCGGAGGTCGAGGCCGCACTACGCCAAATCCTCCCGGATACCGAGGTAAGAGACGGGTAGGTCCGGCCCCTCAGTTCAGGCTCATCACACCACGCAGGCACCGGCGACGCCAACGTTAATGGTCTTTTCACGTCAGTTCCGTGCAAAATACATTAACGCTTGGCGTTAGAGGTGCAACCGGCCCCCCGTTTCCTGGAGGTGCCCGGCATATGAGGGAGCCGGCCACAGAGGGTGCGGGCGCCAATAGGAGGCTAGATAAGCGCCAGCGGTCGGGTAAGCAAATACGGCCCGCCCGGCCTGGCGAGGACACTGCGCCGGCCGCCGGGCGCCTCCAGTGCGTGAGTGGCACGTCAGACGGCGGCCGCTCTTGTTTTTCTTTTTTTTTTCTTTCTTATTTTTCCTTTGTCTCCTTCCGTCAACTCCGGCGTCTTTCAGCTAGGGAGAGCTGGAACACACGCAATAGGAGCTGGCGGAGGTCGAGGCCGCACTACGCCAAATCCTCCCGGATACCGAGGTAAGAGACGGGTAGGTCCGGCCCCTCAGTTCAGGCTCATCACACCACGCAGGCACCGGCGACGCCAACGTTAACGACGGATAAAAATTTGTGTGGCTAAATTGAACTGTCAACGTGATCCAAAAGTACACAGGTAAAAGGGGTTTTATGGGAAGCTTGTCCTCAGTTCCCATTCATACCTGCAGGCTCCTCGCACTGCGTCAAACACCGCTCTGTCCGACAGCACTTTTTCGTTCCCGGACAGTCTCGGTCGGTACGACATAGCCTGACGTGCTGATTCGGGAAACATGGAATGGCGATGAACACCCGTCCGATACACTTTCCCGGCTTCTCTGGAATGTCAAGGAGGTGGTGTCACGATTTGCACCTACTTTTGTGATTCGCTGTACGTCCAATCGCTACTGAACATTTTTTTTTCGAGTCTAGGAGGTAGCGGTGTATGCTGCCCATCGCAGCACATGACACACATGCCTGTAGGAACACGATTCCAGCGAGGAGAGTGATGTGAGCAACGGACGAGCATTTAGCAACGATCAACCAACACTTAAAACTGAACATATCCAGGCCGTTCCCCAAAGAGGGCTGCACTCCAAACTTTATTTTGCATATTGGTAGACTCTTTTCCTTTTGCTCATGATATATACCTATGTAAGTTCAATCACGCTCGCTTATACATATATCTATATTTATGTATACCTCGTATAATGGGAGAATTGATGTCTCGCCGGGGAGGTGTAGCGCTGATGGCTGGCACCAGCAGAAGCAGCACGAGCCAGGAGGCCATCCTGTCGGCAGCAGTGAGGTCGGACGAGTGGCGAGATGGTCCTACAGCGGCGACCGGCGCGGCCAGCGCCAACACCTAAAGGTTAACACCTGTCATCTGTCGGATCTGTCACTCTTGACAGCTCGGCGACGAGTTCAGTGTGACAGCAGCGCTCGGTGGAGTGACAGTTTCATTCGTTTTATGCATGAATTGTTCAGTTGTCGATAGGCATGGTGGTTTATGCACGGGCCCTTATTCGATCAGCCCTTACCTTCTTCGCTTGACCGATTTTCTCATCCGTCTCAGTATGGATGTTTAAAAATGGACTGTGTTGAATAAAAAAAGAAACAGATCCTCCCTGTTGCTATTCTTTTAAATCATGTATTCAGGAGGCACTCAAATGAAACACAGTAGTGACTCCTGGTCGTGCAGTGCCTGAAATGGAATATTCCGCTGGATGCCAGGGAGATTCCAGATTCCGGGAGATTCTGGATACCGTGGAGCTTCCACGGGTTCTAGGAAGATTACAGGTGCTGGGGAGTGATTCCGAGATTGGCGAGAGCCCGGAGAGGGGAGATAGGGAAGACGGGGAAAGGCTGGAGACTGAGTGATTTCGGATTTGGAGAGGTTCGGGCGAGAGGATGAGAGGCAGGAGAGAAGGGTAAAGGAGCCGGGGAAAGAGAAGCCGGAGAGGATTGTCGACTGGAGGCTGCCTCAGCGGCCGACCGAGCGATGGTGCATTTCAATTTGAGACTGAGATGTGAAGGAGACGAGCATTGCAGTCTGCTTGTGGTGCTGCAGGAGATTATTCGGCAATCTCGAGAATCTTGAGCAGACCACCTGATAAGCAGTCCAGTGTTCGTTACGGTCGGCATGCGGCTAATCTATTTTTGTTTTTGTCCACCCCGTTTCGATGTGTTACGATCGGGCCACCACCCCAGCCCAGGTTTGTCTGAGAGATGCCAGTGTCAGGACTCGGGAGTCTCCATTGCGCCCTATGCTTCGCATTCCTTTGATGTTCTTCTATAGCAACTACTGTAGCAACTTGAAACTAGGCAGATCTGTTATAACCCATCGACGTTTATTGCCATATTATCCACTGCAATAAGAGCCGAAGCAGTGCATTGCTCAGAGCCCATTCATATAATGCCATGCTGCCATTTCATTTCCACATGAGGCATGTCGACCGTCGATAGGTGCAAAGACGCTCGCTGACATGGACACGTAGATCTCAACACCGACACCAAATTGCCGCTCAGAACACTGGAGTGAGACATTCTCTGCCGCAGCCATACGGGCAGCACAGTTTGTCTGGCAGACACTTTTGGTCATTGAAGCAGTTGCGTTCGGTGACCACGCACGGCGTTACGACTCCGCTGGTGTCCGGACACCGACCTGTGGCAGAGCAGATGGCACTGATTAGTTTCTCAGCTCCCAAGCACGAGCAAATGTAGGTGGATGGAAATCATTTCACAACGGATACCTCCCCGCATATAGCCTCGTGCCAGCGGGGATGCAATTTTTTTTTTTAAATTAAAACGCCCAAACCCTACCCATTGTTGCCAATTATACATATGTAAGTAGTGTACATATCTATGGTAAGTACCATATCTTTAGTCTTTACTTCACAATTAAAATAGACATATATGAAGGATTTCGTTTCAGCTTACCTCGCCGCGGTTCGGCGCAGCGTGTGAAGCCGGAAGTGTTTTTGCAGCACTTCCTGTTGTCGGACGTGCCACAGTCTGTGTCGACATCGCAGTTGCTGCTACCTGGCTCCACAACCGATGGATCGGGACATTCCCCAGGCTTAGGAGCTGCAGAGAAAGCACACAATATATGCGTGAAATGAGTTTCATTAAACATATTTATTACATGAAGAAATAGTATGCAGTGCTCTAGCGAGGAACATCTTGATATATGTAGTTAGGATTTTAAATGACCTTTTCCTCGATAATTAATTTGAAATTCAATAAAAAGTAAATATTATATTGTTTGGCATTTTTTTGGCAAACAATATAATATTTACTTTTTATTGAATTTCCAATTAATTATCGAGGAAAAGGTCATTTAAAATCCTAACTACATATTTATTACATGGCTCGTACATAAACTGGGTGTGCGATATTTTGGAATGTTGACTACAATTTTCACATTCAATTTTCTTCTCAGGGATATCATATTTTTTGTTAATGACGCTATGATAACGGCCAATAGTAATCCACACGTCTTTTAATTTTTTTAAATTTTCTTCTGAGAGACGACAAATTTAGCGACATTAATTAGCAAGCTGGAACGAGCCATGAAATAAAATAAATACTGTACGGGGCACAGCCAAGAAGAAAATATTGCTCTCTGTGACGCCGATGTAGCCCTCGGGTAAAGACCTCAACAAGCATTATTGCCTTTGGCTACGCCTGGGGCAATAAAGCATGCTTTGGTCTTCATCCCCGGGGTACAGTGACGTCAAATCGGGCAATAATGTTTACTACCATTGCCCGTTACCCCATACAGTATTCATGTAAAGATTGTCAATGATAAAATCGTTTTAGTAGAGACAAACGGAATAAAAAATGGCTTAACCCTCGCATGTGTAGGGGGGGGGGGGTCGGATGGACCTCCCCATGTTTTTTCGCGAATAACTCGCGTAAAAAGCGGCCGATCGCGACGAAACTTTCAGTACCCTCTCATTGATCAATTTTACACCTACCCTGGAATTTCATAACCCTGACCCAAATGACCTTTGACCTGTGACCTCTTTTCCGAGCCCATGTTTGGCCGGAATCGCGATTCCGCGTATGTCGGCTCGCATTAGCCGCGCGTTTGCAAGCTTTTCGTGGTTTCAAACGTTCAAACATGTGATTTGATGTTGCTCCCATGCATTAGAATGGGTGTCAAGGTCACCTGAAGGTCAGGTCAGGTCATTGACCTTTGGTGACCTCGGGTGACCTCGGTTCACTTTTTCGAGTTTTACATGTTTCTGGGCTAGTTTTTGGAGCTGAATTCGAATTTAGAGCAACCATTTGAATATTTACGAAGTAATTTTGGTGCCTTCGTAACATGTTACGAAGCTGTCAGAGGCGGTTGACACGTACTACGAATACCCGTCACAACCCCTACTGGTTGACCTGACCTGACCTGACCCGACCTGGTCTAAATGCTTAAAGACATCATCTGTGATCAAAACTAACACGATATTCGTGATCAGCACCCCGAAAAACCCCTTAGCAGCCACACTTTATGACTTTCTAATAGGTCCCGATTTTCCCGACTTTGGGTCATTGACCTGACCTGGAAGGTCAACCAATGACCTAGGACCTTAAAATTGGGTATCATCGGCTTTCTCTCGTTACGGGCAACACGCTCGTTTTTCCGCGAAGCTCTAGCTCGATCAACGGCAAGGGGGGTCCAACCGACCCCCCCCCCCCCCCTACACATTAGAAGCTGGCAAACGCCGCACACATGCGAGGGTTAAACCGCGAACTAAAATCACATAAGCCAGACATATTCGGTTAAAGCCGGGCATGACAATGTAACAATCACAATGACAATGGCAATAATGCATGCATATGCATACAATGACATGATGATGCATATGGTCATTTCACGATGGAACCGTGCAAATTATATTAGCGGGAAGTTGCGCCCTAGTCACCTCCCACCTCCGCCAGCGCCAGGTCGTGCCTCAACACGGAACAGGCCGTGCCACCTAGGTGCGCCGGGGAGAACTACAGGTCGCATAGTGCCACCAGATGTCGCGCACACACGATAGGCGCAGATAAATAGATTTTAGATCGTGGGTGATATTGTAACAGCGTTGATTTCTACCATGCATGTATTTTAGCAACTCACAGCGTGGGCGTAGGCACTGGAACCACAACGGCTACCACAACTGCACGTAAGTATGTCCGACATACGACTTATGTTTGGACTCTAGGCAACGCTGCCCAAGCGGCCTTTTCCGTTAGGACGCCGAGCGACGGAGTGCGCGTAGCAATTTTTTTTTTTTGTTGTTTACCGGTTGAAACCCGCGGAGAGTAGAGTGATAGCTTTAGCGGCGGCTACCGCCACCATGGGTCGACCAAGAAGGAACACCGGTGAGTTACCAGCTATCCGGCCTGTTAGTTACGCGCGGGCCCTTCGCACGAGGCAATCATGGCGCGCCCCTCTAACCGGCGGTCTAATTTTCGTCAGCCAATTAGTCTGCCAAGTGTCTTGAATACTGGCAGTTGGCACTTTTGTTCTGTTACTACCCTTCGCCCCATACTAATGTGGCCGCCCGTCTCAGATACTCAGTTGGCCCTCCGGGCGGTCACATACACCAGCTTGTAGCTTGGCCCTGAACTATGCCCTGCCCACTGGCATGTCATGCCATGCCAGCGCCACCTTCACAATCTTGCTCGGTTACATGCACCAGTGTCATCGGTTCGCACTAAACAATGCCCTAACCGCACACTGGCACGCCATCCCGAGGGCATGCCCGACAAAGCCGGCCATACCCAGGGGTGGAGATTTGCCTAAATCCCAGGGGATGCTTTGCTGTTTGATACTTTGGTTAACAAGCTGCTATGTTGGTTTTGCATTGCTTGTGGGGGTGCTTTGCGATATGAGGGGGTGCTCGTGCACCCTCAAACCCCCTTTTCTCCACCCATGGCCATGCCTGACTGCCAGCAGTGACCTGACACCCAGTCGGCCCGCTGCAGACCGGTGCAAGACGACACCCCGGATCAACGGCCGTCCGACCGCCGGCCACGGGCCCGTCGCGACCTTGAGCTGACGCCACGCCGGATGAGTCACCCGGCCGCCCCCCGGTGCGGAGGACTGTCACGGTTGTCCGCTGGCCTGCCCCAGCTTACAACTCACTGTCAACTACCATGTCATTACGTCGCTACTAATGACATGACTGCTGGCCTGCCCCAGCATACCACTCACCGTCACCTACCATGTCATTACGTCGCTACTAATGACATGTCTGCTGGCCTGCCCCAGCGGTCAACTTTGGCGTCTTTCAGAAGAGCCCAGGAAGGGGCCAGGGGTCGAGGCCAGCCAATGCCAAAACACCGAACGTATAGCTCCGCCCGGACTCACTTAGCAACCTTAACGCTAATGGTCATTTCACGATGGAACCGTGCAAATTATATTAGCGGGAAGTTGCGCCCTAGTCACCTCCCACCTCCGCCAGCGCCAGGTCGTGCCTCAACACGGAACAGGCCGTGCCACCTAGGTGCGCCGGGGAGAACTACAGGTCGCATAGTGCCACCAGATGTCGCGCACACACGATAGGCGCAGATAAATAGATTTTAGATCGTGGGCATGGGCGGCGCCACCGGGGGGGACGGGGGGGACAGGTCCCCCGCTATCGAAAGTTAGGGGGTACAGTACCCCCCTATCGGCGAGGCCCGTTCAATAGTTGATAATAATGCATTATAGAGCTATCCGTCGCATTTAATGCATCGTTGGTTAATCAAGGCAGGTTCTGAATAAAGATTGCTGTTGGGATGCATCGCAGGGGGTCCTGGCCATCTGCAAAAGGTGTGGAGCTGTGATGCCTGTAGTTATAAGGTGATCGGCAGGGCCTCGGGGATCGTGCCCCCTTTTTGGGGCGGCAGGCAGGGTTATTACTTATTACCTCCCCACCCCACTGCCAGACCCCATTGCCGATAAAACCAAGTTCACTGAAACTCCATAGATTTCCGTTACTATATGAAAATTTTCCATTCCTAATTAGTCAAATTCAAGCATGGCAGTTCTACCACAGGGACCATTTGAAATCTATGCCATTTAACCCCAGCACTTGTGGGGAGAAGTGTTCGGATAGATCACAGGCAGGACCAAAAAAGCACACAGTAGCCCAAGACCTTATAATTGGATAATGGATATAGCATCGGCTCCCTCTCGTCAAGGGGTTCGATAGCACTCGTTTTTTTTTTTTTGCAAAACTAAGTTCGGTCGGCGGCCGAACGGCTGGGGGTCTAATCGAGCCCCCCCCCATCCCTCCCCTTCTTACGTCAGCGGCTGTGAAAATGCCATTACCAGCTGTTGAAACATGGCAGTTGCTTTTGCATGAGTGCACGAAAGGGTTTTAGGTCCGTGATACGTGAAAGGTTCTACATGAAAATTGAGATACACCAGCTTATCAAATTGTGCTCACTGTGGTGCGCTCGGTTTTACCTTGACTAGTCTTTGAATTCTGGGGTGAAACAGACCAGTCAAGAAACCTGTTCCATAAGGAGAGCCACTAATGCTAAAGAGATGTGGGATGAGGTTTCCAGAGACCTTCATTACCTCCTAAAGTGCCCCGCCATTTGCCAGTCCCTGCTGTAGTTGTTACGATTGGAGGGTGAATATGAGAACGATGCAGGTCGTGCCAGCTCGATCATGACGAACACAATGGTGCCGACATCACAGCTCTACTGCCATTTTTGACGAAGTTAATCAACAAGCACCGGAATCCTACCCTGGGGCATTTCACCTGCAGAGGTCGCCGAACCTGAGACCCTTTCACTCAATTTTTTTCAACGGTGCATGCGCTCGTTTTTCCCGCGAAGCTCTTGGTAAGTAAAATCCATCAGAAAGTGTGATCAAATAACGGCTGGTGACCTTCCATGACCTAGCATGGCCTTTTGAGTGACCACCGATGACATGACCACTGACGGCTAGCCATTAGCTGCACCCTGCCCGTTGCATATGGATCAGGTGGTGATGTCATGATTCTGAAATTATATTGCAGTTTTGGCGCACTTGTCAGAGCAGAAGATATTCCCACTTTTCCTCCATGACTATATGATGGTGAAGCCCTGAAGCTGACCAGACGTAAGATCGAAAATTTGAAAGTACGAAACGTAAGAATAGCTGGCACTGCTACTCATACCTAAGCAATTCGCAGCTTGTAGGAAACCAGCTTTGAGTTGGCAAGACTGCAAATTTTGATTTAGAGGCAAGGATGCTTGAAAAGGTGATCGATCTTAGGTGTCCTAGGATAAGTTTGGAAACGGGATGCACCATTCGATGTGTTTTGGGCCTTGCCAAGTTTCGCGGCGTTACGTGCCTCGTTTTTTTTTTGCATACACGATCAGTATCTACTTTTGGGATTTTCGGTCCCCGTCCCCCCCTATCGAAAACCCGTGGCGCCGCCCCTGATCGTGGGTGATATTGTAACAGCGTTGATTTCTACCATGCATGTATTTTAGCAACTCACAGCGTGGGCGTAGGCACTGGAACCACAACGGCTACCACAACTGCACGTAAGTATGTCCGACATACGACTTATGTTTGGACTCTAGGCAACGCTGCCCAAGCGGCCTTTTCCGTTAGGACGCCGAGCGACGGAGTGCGCGTAGCAATTTTTTTTTGTCTCCCTCTGTTCTTTCTAGGGCGTCTTTCAGAAGAGCCCAGGAAGGGGCCAGGGGTCGAGGCCAGCCAATGCCAAAACACCGAACGTATAGCTCCGCCCGGACTCACTTAGCAACCTTAACGCTAACAGTAACTTATGCATTTCATTCGATGCGCTCACCCTTTTCATTTTGCAGAAATCTTTTGTCATGCAGATATTATTTTTGCATGCGAGCCTTAAAGGCAAAACAGAGTGTTCCATAAAAAGCACGAACACAGTATGACTGTGTGTGCGTGGTAAATCATACCTGCGGGCTCCTCGCACGAGGTCACACATCTCTCTGTCTGGCAGCATTTTTTGGTCCCCGGACAGTCCCCGTCACTGCTGCACAGTCTGACGATCTCGTGAGGTTCGCAGGCCAGCGCTATGAACACGCGGTTGATGCACTTTCCCGGCTTCTCTGGGGATAGAACAGGAGCTGGTTGTCAACGGTTATCAAAGAGCGCCATTGATGAAAACATCTGCGCGTGTTGCATGAATTTCCAGCACTGCTACATTAAAGGGCAGCATCCGCCTCTTTGCAAGAGTTTTCCCAAGGTTCAAAAGTGTTATTTACAAATCACTCCACCGAACGCATCCAAGAGTGCGAGTCACCACATTCATTAGACCCGCAATGGGAAGAGAGTGCCTTTTTACGGTGTGACTCTTCAGGTTGAGCTCATAAATTCATTTGGGTATCCACTTTAGGAAACTGTAGTCAGTGACAGTGTTAATCAAAATGAACTGCAAATGACAAATTGAAGGTCGACAAAAGCTCCACGTCCAGTAGCCAGCAATACCGTATCGCACTTCTATTGAATAAAATCCTAGTGCCACACAAAACATAAAGAATAATGAGCATCTCTGATTATAAAGCTAGGTGCTGCAAGTGCATATGTCGGCTGCGGCAGCCCATAACAACACAGGAAGGACAAAATGTCACTAGCAAATTTTCACAACACATAAATACTTCTCAATAATTCAGCTATGCTATTTCAACCTATGCCATATGAGCTATAACTTAACCCTCGCCCCGCTGGGAGGGGGCAATTTGCCCCCCTGTGGTTTTTCTTGAATAGCAAAAAAACGGCAGCGCGCAGCGCCGCCAATTTTTCAGTATCTTCCCGGCCATCAATTTGACACCTTCACGCACAATTTCAAGTCTCAGCTCACCTTAGGTCAGGAGTTATTGAGGTCACACTGAGGTCATGTTCGAGCAAAAATGAGCCAAAAACATGAAATCTTGAAACGCTCACAAAAGCTACAGTTACCAAGCAATTTCAAAGTTCTTTATATGGTCATGTAAACAAAAGACAGCGCTACAACACTGTTATCTCGGATTTTCAAAATTTTGTGATTTACACCCCCAAAAATTCAAAAAATTGTTTTTTTAGAAAAACCAAAAAAAATCCCAATATTTTTCCGAATTTAAAAAAAAACCGGAATATATGTGATAGTCCCTACGCTCTTCTATATACAAACCAAATTTTAGATCGATAACTCCTTTTTGGCCAAGTTATAGCGAAAAAAACTGTTAACCCGCGCCCCGTTGGGCTCTGCCGAGCAACGCGCCCTGTTGGGGGGGGGGGGGCATTTTGGCCCCCCTAAGATCACGAGAACCACGCAACCTAGCGACAAGTGGCAAACGGTGTTGGATAGCCCTATCAGGGAACTACCTTGTGACCCAATTTTATTGACCTAGGTCAAACCGATGACGTCACAGGTCAGGTCAAAGGTCCAATTTTCACCGTTTACAGGCATTTCAAGAAATGCGTTGTAAAATCGAGTAAAATGCATTTCATTGAAAATAATCGATGGGAAAATGTTCTTCAAACACATATTTTGCTATCTGAGGTCACTGATACCAGGTCAGGTCACAGAGGTCAGGTCACTGGGGGGTCACAATATAAAAGTGTCGTGTGATGCATGTTTTATGGTCCATTTTACATGACAAATGCGATTATGTGGGTCAGGCAGCCTTTGGGGCCAGCTTAGGTCACGTTTTGGTCGAGGTCAGATCAAGGTCAGGTCAAGGTCAGATCAAATTAGGTCAAATTTCAAAGTTAATATTTTTGCATAAAATGGGTATCGAATCGATGCAGTTTGTCACGGGGAGTTCAATGGCGGTCTTTGTTTTGCCGTACGTGGTCTAGAATCGCAAAAAATTGAGTTCAAAAATTTGACGTCATCATTTTTGAACAGTTTTTTTTCGCTATAACTTGGCCAAAAAACGAGATATCGATTTGAAATTTGGTATGTATATAGAAGAGCGCAGGGACTATCACATATATTCCGGTTTTTGCGAAATTCGGAAAATTTTGGATTTTTAAAAAGTTTTTCTAAAAAAATCAATTTTTTGAATTTTTTGGGGTCAAAAACCCAAATTTTTGAAAATCCGAGACAACAGTTTTGTAGCGCCGCTTATTGTCTACTAGACCATATAAAGAACTTTGAAATAGCTTGATAACTGTAGATTTGGTGAGCGTTTCAAGATTGGATGTTTTTTGCTCATTTTTGCTCGAACATGACCACAGTTTGACCTCAATAACTCCTGACCTAAGGTGACTTAAGACTTGAAATTTGGTGTGAAGGTGTCAAATTGATGCCCGGGAAGGTACTGAAAATTTGGCGGCGCTACGCGCCGCCATTTTCTTGCTATTCAGGAAAAATCACAGGGGGGGGGGGCAAAATGGCCCCCTAACGGGGCGAGGTTGATGACATCATATTTTTGAACTCAATTTTTAGCAATTCTAGACCACGTAGCGCAAAACAAAAACCACCATTGAACTCCCCGTGACGAGCTGCATCGAATCGATACCCATTTTATGCAAAATATCAACTTTGAAATTTGACCTAATTTGACCTGACCTTGACCTGACCTTCACCGGAACATAATCTAAACTGACCCCAAAGGCTGCCTGACCCACATAATCGTATTTGGCATATAAAATGGACCATAAAACATGCATCACATGATATTTTCATATTGTGACCCTCAGTGACCTGACCTCTGTGACCTGACCTGGTATCAGTGACCTTGAATAGCAAAATATGTGTTTAACGAGCATTTAACCATCGATGAGTTTCAATGAAATGCATTTAACTCGATTTTACTACGCATTTCTTGAAATGCCTGCGAACGGTGAAAATTCGACATTTGACCTGACCTGTGACGTCATCAGTTTGAACTAGGTCAATGAAATTAGGTCGCAAGGTAGTTCCCTGTTGGGGCTATCCAACGCCGTTTGCCGCTTGTCGCTATGTTGCGTGGTTCTCGAGATCTTGGGGGGGGGGGGCAAATTGCCCCCCCCAGCAGGGCGCGTTGCTCGGCAGACCCCAGCGGGGCGTGGGTTAACGCTCGCACTGGCAGGGGTCAAATGGACCTCCTCGGGTTTTTTCGCAATTTACTGACGCAAAAAGCAGCTGATCGCAACGAAAAATTCGGTGTTCTCGGGTTGATCAATTTTACACCTGCTCTAAACATTTGATGAACCTGACCCAAGTTACCTTTAGCCTCTGACTTACTCGAGGGCAGCGCTTTTCGAGGAGCGCTGTGGCCCGAAGGTTTGAACTTTGAATTGTGAAAAACGCCCGCCCGCCGCAAAACGCAAACACCGCAAAACGCGCAAAACGCACGCCCGAAACGCAAACGAAAAGGTCGCAAAAAATAAACAAACGCCCACCCGCCGCAAACCGCAAATAAAAAAAACGCAAAAACGCCGCAAAACAATAAAACCGCCCGCATCGCACGCCCGCTAACCGCCAACCGAAAACGCCTAAAAATCGCCCGCCCGCCGCCAAAAAAAAAACACCGCAAAAAAACGAAAAAGCGGCCGCCAACCGCAAACAAATTTAACACCGCAAACGACGCAAAAAAAAAGAAAACCGCCCGCATCGCCCGCCCGCCGCCAACGACAAACACCGCAAAAAACACAAAACGCCCGCCCGCCGCACAGTGGCGGCGGAAGCAGGGGGGCAAGGGGGGCAGCTGCACCCTAAAGCTATGGAAAGGGGCGCCTCGAAAATCTGTAGAGGAGGCAGGAAGTTAAGAGGTGCGGCAGCCATAAAGCTGAGCAGTGCGAGGCGACACCGCAACTGATAAAGGCACTTGTGACACGAAGATGGTGGCAATGACGTGGGAAAAGTATCTTTTGATATGCTGAAGAGTGGAGGGCATCCTTATCTGAAACAAAGGCAGATGCTGCCGACCCTGTCGAATATAATCTTGCCAGGCGATAAAGGCTAGGAGGGCGCAGCTACTCGAGAAGCGCGCCATGCGGAAGAGGGGCGCCTGTGTGTGGGACGAAAAAGAAACATTTATGGAGACGTCTTTGAAGGCGATAGCCTCCGAACGCCAATACGAACATATGAGGGCTTATAGCGTTGCAGGCTCCATGCGACAAAAAGGGGCGCCTGATGGCCGATATGCGAGAGGAAATTAGTTTGTGTAACATTTATCGGGGGCGGTTTGCCGTTTACAACATATGAATGTTAAGGGAGGTCCGAGATTGGGGCCTGTAAAATTGCACTGTCCGTATGGGCGGTTACACCCCTAGTGCTAGGGCGTATTTTGCGTTTTTTTTTTTTTTTTTTACTGGGGAGATGATTATGACCAGGAATAGCACTCTGCAAACTTCTATGGGCGCCTGTATAAGGGCGAAACTGATTTTCCAGTGCAGGGACGGCCATCGGCATGGTAAGGGGCGCCCAGCGGGAAGGGGCGCTTCAATATCGTTTGCACCCCTATCCTAGAATACCTTCCGCCGCCACTGCCGCCGCAAAACGTAAACACCGCAAAACGTGTAAAACGCCCGCCCGAAAAGCCAACGCGAACGGCAAAAAATCGCCCGACCGCCGCAAACCACACAGAAAAAAAAAACGCCGAAACGCCGAAAAAACCGCCCGCACCGCACCGACGCTAACTGCTAACCGAAAACGACTAAAAGTCGCCCGCCAGCCGCCAAACGCAAACACCGCAAATAAGCGCCCGGCCGCAGCAAGATAATAATTTATCAACGACTGGCATATCGCTAGGCTGGTCATTTTCACAAATCAAAAAGATATCTGCAAAAATCCCCTAGATGAAAGCGCCCGATTAAAAAACGGATGGCACGTGCGTGTCCCTCGCCCCCAACTTCCTTCAGGTCAATCGTCATTTGGGTCACCTCACGCATTGACGACCGGCTGGGTGGAATGAACATTGCGCCAAGAAACGTAAGTATATTGTCAAAAAGAATCCCCAGAATGGTGGATCCCAAAAGTTTGAAACTACCACTTTGGCCCACTGGACCACACCTTAAACAGTTGCCGACCGGATGACACCCATTGTTTGGTCACCCACGCCATAGTATGCATCATGGGTGCGCCGAAATGACCAAAAGTCCCAATTTCCGGTGTGCAGGGTCATTTTCAACGGCACGTGGCACGTGGTTCTGGACTTTTCCGGCCACTTTGCGACATACCCATGGGTAGTGCACTGAATGGTGGTTGATCTGCATGGAAGAAAATGGGGGGTCGTTTGGATCGTTTTCGAGCAATCTGCCGTGGAACGCATTTTTTCATTTTGCCCATTGGCTTAACACGGGAATTTTCAAAGTCACGTGGCACGTGCACCAGATGGTCCGCGGAGGGGAGACCCATACTAGAACGTAGATCACCTGGCCCACTAGAAATCCTGAAAAAATCAGAATTTTTGGAGCAGCCGTTTTCAAGAGCATCAAGTTGTACTGATCTCAGGCAGCTTTTGCCAAATTGTCAGGGAACTCAGATTTGTTTTTCAATAGAAAAACACAATTCTAAAGAATAGTGTTTTAACCCGCGCCCTGCTGGGGGGGGGGGGGTGTTTGAACACCCCCCCCTTGTGGTTTTTCGCGAATACACAATTCTAACGAATAGTGTTTGTCTTTTCAAACAACCTGCGGTTATCTCAAAAACGGCGGCGCGGAGCGCCGCCGTTTTTGGTACACCTTATCATACATCAATTCTACACATGTTGTGAAAATTTCAGACCAAGGTCATTCAAGGTCAGGTCACCAGGTCACTTGAAGTGACCTCACCTCATAAAAACTTTCAATGTCTGTCATAGCTACACCGAGTGACCGATCGCTTTGAAACTTTCAGCGATTGCTAAGAGCAATAGCATGTACAAAATGTATATCTCAGAATTTTGATATTGATGACCTAAGGTCAGGTCAATTTTGCGACCTCCCCATTATAAGTCAATGGGAGAAAAATGAAATGCGCCTCTTTTGTATGAAAGACATTATAAACACTCCCAAACACCGAATTACAAGTGGTTTAGACACACTGAACTTGAAAATGGTGTCCGTGACCCTTGTTTATGCCCTGAGGTCATCTTAGGTCACGAATGGTATCTAACAGTTTTTCGCAAATAACTTTTGATAGAGGCATGCTAGAGCGATGAAAACGCCTTAGATGTGTTCAGCTCGACGATACGGATCGACTGATATGCAACATGACCCTTTCCGGTCAGGTCATGACCTTGACCTGAGGTCAAATTTTCAAGTTGACCTTTCAAGGTCAAGTTATAGTTCATTCGATGCGTCTTGACGAGAGGAACACGATGCCGGTAAAAGTAAGGTCGTACAAGGCTTGGGTCAAAAGTTATTGCAGAAAAACTGTTTTCGAAAAAATCGGCTATTTTTGCAGTTTTTGCCCCCTGCAGGCAAAACCGTTGACGTTAGGTCAAATCTGAGAGAATTACTCAGAAAGGGCGTTAATAGGGCTATCGAATGCGCTTTTCCGCGGCGCTGTAGCTCTATTGGTTCCCGAGTTATGCGTTGGCTTCTTGGAAATTTTCGACATTCGACCTGGAAATCGGCGAAATTTTGCCTTCAATGACCTCTGGTGACCTGACCTTTGACCTGACCAAAAAATTGACCGAAGTGATTTCGTCATTATTTTTTACACTCTTTCGAACGCCGCCTTCCGCGTATCGCTACGTGGCCCAGGAGCCGAGTTACAAGGGGGGGGGTGTTCAAACACCCCCCCCCCAGCAGGGCGTGGAAATCCAGGACCCCCAGCAGGGCGCGGGTTAACTATTGACAACAAACCTTCGGTTATTTCTCGAGACCATGTATAGCCGGAATCGCGATTCGACGTTTACAGGCTCATAGTATCCACGCGTCTCCAGTCTTTTTGTGGTTGTGTTTCTACATGTGAAGAAATGTTGGTCCCGTACATTATGGTGAATGTCAAGGACATGTGAAGGTCAGGTCAATGTCATTGACCTTTCATTACGCAGACTCACTTCCCAGTTTACATGTTTCTGGGATAGTTTTTGGAGCCGATTTCGAATTTAGCACCCATTTGAATATTTAAGAAGTAGTGTTAGAGCCTTCGTGTTACGAAGCTGTCAGTTTTGGTTGACATCCATGAGCGACGGAACACCTTCGATTAAGGGGGGGGGGGGCACCGCCGACTTTTGGTCCCATTCTTTCCATGCAACGCCCATAGGGCTAATGTTAAAATGGCAAAATCAAAGGGGGGCACGATGCCCCGGTGCCACCCCCCCCCCCGTTCCGCCGCCTATGTTGACATCTGCTATATGGACATCTAACAGGACGCCTACTATAGTCTGACAAACCTAAGAAAGAACGGATTCAAAGTACAACGGCTGTTGAAGCATGTGCATTTACGAGTATACTACAAGTTCTTTCCAAGTTTGTCAGACTATGGTTGACCTGACCTGACCTGAGCCGACTTGGCCTAAATGCATTAAGACATCATCTATGATCACAACTTACATGCAATTTGTGATCAGCACTCTGAAAAAAACATTACAACCTCATTTTAAAAAGTTCTTAGAGGTCCCGATTTTCCGGCTTTTGAGAGTCACTGACCTGGAAGGTCAACCAATGACCAAGGACCTCAAAATTGGGTAGCATCGGGCTTCCTCTCGTCACACCTAATCTCTAAGTTCGGTTTAAACGTTAGCGGCTGGCAAATCACCAATACGGGCGAGGTTATTTATATCATTAAAACCTACATGAAGGTTTTGTATAAACGTACCCTGCCGCGGTTCCGCGCAGCGTGTGAAGCCGGAAGTGTTTTTGCAGCACTTCCTGTTGTCGAATGTGCCACAGTCTGTGTCGACATCACAGTTGCTGCTACCTGGCTCCACAAGCGATGGATTGGGACACTCCCCAGGCTTAGGAGCTGTAGAGAAAATATACGATACATCCGTGAATATATTTAAGCAACAACAACAACCACCACCGCAGCAACAACAAAAACAGTTGAAATGGTAAATCAGTTCAGTAGATAAAAACTGTGTCAAAAAATGGTGTGAACTGTCCCTTATAATTATATATCCTCGCTTCGGTTAGCTTTTCACAAATTTCATTCCATGTGCTAACCATTTTCATTTTGAAAAAGCCTTCTTTTTTCATGCAGTTTTTACTCTTACATGGAAGACTTACGCAAATTCAGCAGAGTGTTAAAAAAATGCACGGCATTGTGCGCGGTGTTATAACCATATACCCACCTGCGGGCTCCTCGCACTGTGTCACGCAGCGGTCAGTCCGGCAGCATTTCTGAGTTCCAGGGCAGTTGCCGTCGTGGCTGCACAGTCTGACGATCTCACAAGGCTGACAGACCTGCGCTGGGAACACGCGGCTGATGCAAGTTCCGGGCTTTTCTGCGAACAGAAGAGGCGCCGGTTATCACTCGTTAACAAAAAGCGGAATCGATTCTCTCTGTGGGAAGTGTGACAGTGCATGCTTGTATAGATCCCTAGCACAGCTACATTCAAGGTTCAAAGGCAATAATTTACAAATAGCTCCACCAGACACACACGCATGCCAAACTTGACAAATTCATTAGAACTGCTACCGGGAGAGCATTTTGTTTGGTTAGCGGTATAACTCAAGGCTGGGCTCGTTAACAGATCCGGCGATGGACGCCTAAGAAAGCTGTACTCAGGGGACGTTTCATGTATGGTACTTGTAAATGATTAAAATTTAAAATTACAAACGTAGGCATTCGCAGATTTAGCATGATACAGGCAGCTTGAACAGCTCGGTACACTGAGAAACACTCAAGCCTATCCATGGTTCTCGGAGACCATGCAGGGGTCGTTCTGGTCTTGTATGAGAGCCTCAATTGGGGAGAACTTTGTTTACAGTTGTTGGTCTCCACTTTGGTAAAGTGCTCAGGTTTTTCCCGTAACGTTCTCGAGTGAGAATGGTGTGCTATCTTGAACGAGAACTTTGCCCGGATAAGGTACTCAGTATACTGCGGGATGATCTCCCATGAGAACCTTTACCAGGTCATGAGATCATAAACGAACACAATTCCCGCTCATAATATGATCCTGTATGGTCTCCGAGAACTTTACAACTTAAGAGCGCCGGCTTTCCTGGCACGGCATTCGCGCTCACGACCCATTCCCCCCCCCCTTCCCCTCCCTGTAGAGCGCCAGCTTTTCATGGCAGTTGGCACAGCATCCGCGTTCTCGATCCTTCCCATTCCCTCCATGCACAAACAAGGTAAAGAACAGGCATGTATATTTATTGTGTCAGATGTCAAAAAACTCACTCTGGAACAGAACATGCGATGCAGTCATTCGATGCGAACATTTTTTTTTTAAAAGCTGCCCAAACCCTTTCGCGTGCCGCCCCAGTCAGTACCGACCAGCGTGCTGAGTTTCAACTGAGTCGTTTAGCAAGAGACCATAATATCTCCCGGTGCACGACAGCTCAGTCCCTTTACTTTACTTTACTTTTAACACGGAATGCAGGTAAGTGCAAAAATGCATGTCAAGCGGCGCTCCCCACGGTCCACAGACTGTGCGAACGATATACAATTCAAACACTGTTAAGTACAGGCACGTACAATAGTTACACAGGCACAGACATTAAAAAGTTAATACAGGTAAAATGTATGGGCTGGCATGTGAACACTACCGACGGGAGTCCATGCGAGACCGAAGTCTAGCCATAGGAGCGGCGGAGGCGACGACAGCCGGTTGGCCGCTCTAGACAGTTTGCGCAGCTGGTACATCTGGCTGGGGAGGAGCTGCTCCAGCATGGCAGCCTGCTGACTGCTGAGCCATGAGCGCCATCAGACGCTCCAGCTGCTCGTTGTCTCCCATCACCGGTACGAGCGATCCGACACGACGGTGTTAACTTATGTGCGTCTCTGAATCGGTGTCGCGCACAGGGTCAATCTCACTCGCGTACTGGCCACGCATATTATCGATTACACCACTATTTCACTATTTCACTGTGGCCGGACCGTCTCGGCGAACACGCCTCACCTCACCTCGCGGCACTCAGCTGTGTTGACACCAGCGCCGCTCGGACGATACTGACCCTCGGCCGCTCGGCCCGGCCCGGCCGGTCAAGGTCGTTCAAGGTCACGGCTGTCAAGGCGCGACACGCGTGACCCAGGCCAGGACACAACAGGGACATTTTGGCGTTGTGCCTGATGAGTTGCCTCACTTCGGTGTCCAACATTGAGAGCATCGTCTCTACGGCTTCTTGCTCTGAAAGGGAGAGTAAGACAAATATTAGAGAAACGGCAGAAACGCTTAATTTCTGAGCCATATCCTCAAAGCACACGGATTGGTATTCAAGCAGATTTTGCCAAGACTGGCAAACAGATGGCAATCGCAACCTATATCCCAAAAATGGGCAATGGCACACAGATTTTGCCACCTCCCAGAGTAGGTAATTACCTTTGCTGTGGTTACTTTCAAGCTGTTAAGTGCACACAAAGACATACAGAAAACAAACTCACCATGAGACGTTCGCGCTGTGCGCCAGACACCAACTCGCGAAAGGAACAACCACGCTGCCGGCAGCCTTCGCAGTACTTTCGAGAAAGGAAGGACCGGAAGCACTGAGGCATTATAGAGATGTTCCTTAGGGATATCCATTTAAAGTGGTTTGAACTGTTAAAATCGATAAACATCGTGTCATATAGTAAGGCTCTTTTTCATTAAAAATTATTTCTTCTACTGAAAAATACATGTTTTCATGGGTGGAGAACCTGCCCCGGCCACCCCGGCCGTGGCCGGGGTAACTTTCAGCCGACCCCGGCGCGGCCGGGGTAACTTTTTCCACTTTTGTAAATCCTAAAAGCTGTCTCCATGCACAAAAAAACTGTCATCTATAAAAGAGTCTCTCATTATTCTTATCTACCTTGAAAAGTTCTTGAAAAGTTACTTTATTTTCATTTTGGAGCTTCTATGTTTTTAAGTCTTTTCATCGCGGAGCCCGACATGTTTCATCAAACAGAAGTAAATCATATTTAAGGGCCGTTATCGTAAGATGGCACTGTAATAACATCACAATACAGGACTAGGGTAATATCAGTGAGATAGAAGGACGAGCTGCTGGGGCTCAAGGCTCCCCCAACTTAACCCGCGCCAGGGTGGTGGCCTTATCGTAACACCTTGAGTCGAGAGGTGGGCTTTTCACGCTCCTTCTAACTCGGCTACTGGGCTACGAGGCGAGAAGCGGAACGACGTTTGAAAGAGGGACAAACGTGACCAAAGAAATCTGGTCATGTTTTAGGCAAGCTCAATAATAAAATCACCATAGATCATCAAAAGCCAAATTACTCTGATTTTAGCGTTCTCCGACAACTTTTCTCACAGTTCATGAACATAACGGAGCTTAAACACTGCAAACAAACCATTCGATTACTCGTTTAAAGGTAGTGTGCCAGCTTTCTTGGACCATATGGAGTTAATGACCCGGATAAGGAGAACCGGATTTTTAGAACTTATCCATACCTTCAAAACTTATGGAAACGTCTTAAATTCTTCAAATTTTGAGTACCCCAGTGCGAAATTCGCCCCGACGGGTTGTCGGTCGTACCCCAACCACATTTCACACCACTATGAACAATAAATGCACACACTAAAATCGCTATTACCGATAGGCTCATCCAATCAAGTTTCGATAAACCCGTTCATCATCATCTCCTGCGGTTTCGAACACGCCTGTTAGGTGGCTTCTGATGCTCGTCGAGGTCGGAATTTCCAAATACGCGTGGTGCGTCGGGCCGCGCGCTCTGACTTCGGCCAAGGCTATATAAACCAGGTAGAACGCTCCCGACGAAAAAGTGGTGACAAGCGATAATTAGTAGCCGCGACCCTCTTTTGTTCAAAACTATATCCGCAAGCAGCATTTACAGGCTAGCGGAAATCGACCAATTGGCGTTCGGCAATACTCAACGCTGATTGGCCCGATGCTCGTGACGAAATTGCGGGGGACTGCAGCTATTCCCCTATGGCGTTTAATAGACTTACGGCTTTTGAAGGGGATTTATACCAGTTTTTGTTGGGTTTGAGGCCATTTTTGAGCTTGGATATTCTTTCTGTGACTTTTGACTGTGTAATAACGACATTTAATCATAACATTTCTATATACTACCGGTGTCACATCGACCAAAAAGACCGTAAGTACATGGGATAGACGGACCACTGCTGATGGGGCCACACATGCCGGCGTGTGGTCATCGGAGGCCCATGAGGGCTCGACATAGGCCCTTCATGGGTCGGTATAGGCCCGGTGGGTCCAGTGCAAGCCTATCAGGGGCCGGTGCTGACCCAACAGGGCCCAGTGACATATAATGTAAGCCGTAAGGCCGTCTAGGGACGTTGAGGGCTCATTGGGGCCATATAGGACCAATAGGGACCACATAAGCCAATCAGGGGCCATTTAGGCCAATAAAGGCACTTCAAGGGACTTGAAAAGGTCATTCAAGAGCTGTGGTGGGCCCATGAGAGGACGGCACTGGTCCAGCAGGTGCAGTCAGGGGATGTTGTACGGGTTTCTCAGTGGCCCATTTGGGCATATCAGTGACCAATTTAGACCCAGCAGTGGGCTTTGTAGACCTATCAGGGGCTGGTGATGGTTCATCAGGGGCCAGCGTTAGTCCATCGGGGCACGGCATATGCCCATCAGAGGTAATTGCGAGCCCACGCTGAACAATGATGGCCCTTCAACGGCCCCATGGATCTACATTGACCCATGGGCCATGATGTGTCATGTATGCCCCTATGACAGGCCTACTCAGACCCCTGATGGACGTTCCCGGCCTCTGATGACCCTATGCTGAATGCTGATGGGGCTCTAAGAGTCTCCAATAACCCTTCGTCACCCCATTATTACCATACGCTGGCATTAGGGACCCCACATCAGCCGCAGGGCAGTCCGTACCATGACAGCATGTCTTTTCGGCCGATATTTCATCGGTAATATTTATCAAAATCATGATTTTATGGTGCCATTATATAGGTAACAGTCATAAGAAATATATTTCAACTCGAAAACAGCTCGAAACAGCATATAATTTTAAAGAAACCCCTCCGAAATCCAAAAGCCTATTCGGGTCCATAGAGAATAACTGCGGTCCCCCGCAATTTCGTCACGAGCGTCGGACCAATCAGCGTCGAGTACCGCCGAGCGCTGATTGGTGAATTTTCCGCTAGCGTGTAAGTACTGCTCACGGAACAAGAGTTCGTCGACAATCCTCCACAAACGTCTGTCACCATTTTTCATAATGCTAAACAGCCGGAGCGTACCCCCCTGACTTCGGCCAAGAAAAATGCGTCAGCTGATCATTGTCATTTCTGCCACTTGCGTGTGGTGTAATGGGGTCATAACTTAAGAGACGGCTGTTTCATATCAATTATTTTACATAAAATCATATTTCAAACCACAAATTAATGTTCGACAGCCAAATTTAAGAAACAATACCAACACAGGCTTACAGTTTAAGGCTCGACATTGTGTTGTCTACGATTAGACAGCTGATAACTCATTCCCGTACGTCGTATGGTCGTAACACTATAATGACCTTTGCTTATTGTCACAAGTGCGCCGCATTCGCGATTGTTGCCCGACGCCTGTTTGCAGGTGAGCCCACTACAGTTGTTATACATATCTAAAAACCGATAAACTTTTAGGCGAAAAAGGCACTATTCCAGGCCCATTTTTGATTTTTTTTGGGATATTAGGTAAAAACAGAAGCTTCTTATCCTAGGAAAAATAAAACGGGAAATCTTTCAAAGGTGGCACACTACCTTTAAGGCTCGGTCGCGAATAATATTTCAGGTGCGAGCTCAAATCAATCAGAGGGTCAAAACGGTCAAATTTGAGTTTTGACATGTTGATTTGCGTGGGAAGGTTGCAACTTCCACGGAATAAGCTTTGCAAAGGGCATGATGGTATTTCTAGCACGATCATCCAGCAAATTTGACCTGATGACCTGACCTAGCACTAGGTGACATGCGTCCGAAATTTTAAGGCGTGTTGCAAATTACAATTACGAAATCTTCCGCACCTGCGTGCAGCAGTTTTCCCTAAAAACGTACGCAGACATCCATTATCCTATGCCACAGAATAGGGGTTTGTTGATAACCGTTGGCAAATATTTGAGCATCATCGTCTTTCTGACTTTCGGTCGCCGGCCGGGGCAACTTTTTCAAACATTCTCCGCCCGTGCATGTTTTATTTTTATCAATAATTGCTCTTTTCCTAAGCGAAAATGGAATCGCAGCACTTCAAACTGCTCTACTCTTAACACAGCGCCACCTACGCCTTTAGTTTCCTTCTGTGCTGACATCTGTCGTCAAAACACGTCAGCTGCGAGAACTATAAGGAAAAAAGTGAGAAGTTTACCATCCTTTCTGACCGAATGACTGCTGGTTCGAATCTCGCCGCAGACCGACTGTTTGCGTTACACGGGTTATAGCTAGACAACTTCCAGTACTAAACTATCTCGGTCAAGACCAAATCCACTCCTGAAACCGAAGTGGAGACCATGCACAGTTCTCGGGAAAGACCAATTCCTCAAAGCGGCAAAATGGAAACCATCGAAGGTGCTCAGGTGAGTACTATCAGTATAAGTTCTAAAATGTGTTTCTCAGTGTAGACGATTACAGCAAAAGCCAATCTTTACATTTCACGTGCACCGCTTAAAAGCAACTGGGCAGCAGTGATCAGACTAATGCTCGACCCTAAAAGAAAATGATCCCCAGGACAGGAAACCACTCTGTTATTGGACTCACCAAAAATGCTATGAACTATGAGTAGATATCGGTAAAAATAAAAGACGTCAACAAAATACGTGATGGAGCACCCTCCTCCCCATAACCCTCAGGCATAGGTCACACACATACCTCTCGGGCTGTATGCGCTGATGGCGGGCGCCAGCAGAAGCAGCACGATCCAGGAGGCCATCCTGTCAGTGTCGGCAGCGGTGATGTCGAACGATTAACAAGGTGGTCCCACAATGACCGGCGAGGTCAGCTCGGCAGGCCGGTACTCAGTGCACACCTAAACCTGCGGACCGCCTCCCGCGTCAGCGCAGCTCTGAATAGTCGGACTTCCCCAACAAAGCAGCGTTTACCGACTGTGTTACAACACCATTCGAGGCGCACATGCATATTGATTGGGGATGTAGTATTGCGTAACAATGGTCAAATCTGATCTGACGACTTTTCTGGAAACAGCTCCTAAACGAGAATGTATAGCAGAATATAGGTCCAGACCAGCCAAACAAGAAAATGGGAGCAAACAAGACTGATCAGCCAAACCGGTTCGATTACGGCTACTGCTGATCTGTTTTCGTGATAGCATTACCTACTACAATCTATTGTTCGACACGAAAAGGTTTTTACGAGTTTGCACGAAGGATCAGCCCACGCTGCAGCTTTGTTCGTGACAGGCCGTCATTGACCGCGGGCTGACAGCAGTGACACATATCCGGAGCAGCTGAAGGTTGGAGAGCTGTCACCGCAGTCACTGCAGTTATCAGGGACACCGCAGCTCTTTGTCGGATTTCGAAGATTTAACCCTCGCCCTGGCAGGGGGGGTCGATGCGACCCCCCTAAGGTTTTTCGAAGATAGCGTAAAAACGGCGGCGCGCAGCGCCGCCAAATTTGGCACAGCCTATGGGGCAACCTTTTTACATATGACCTGAAAATTTCAGGTCCGGGTGACCTTGGGTCAGGTCACCAGGTCAGAAAAACCGGTACAAGGTCATGGTCAAATTTCAATTTTCTTTTTGCACCTGTCCAACTCACAGTTTTTGACTGATTTCTTTCAAACTTTCAGGATGTGCTAAGTTCACCGAGTTGTATAACATATAGTCCGGCTTTTTTGAGGTCACTGACCTGAGGTCAGTTAGAGGTCATTACGTCGTAATGTTAAGCCTATGGGAAAATACTAAATTCGGAAAATACTGGAGATATCCGCTTCGTTCTATCACTTTTGTGCTTTGAAACCACGGTACTTAACAGCAGGTCACTTGGTGCTTCTTTGTTTGGTGTACTTATCCATGGGTCAGGTCAAATGAGGTCAACTGAGGTCAAATGACGTTATTGCCAATAACTTGGCACATAATGACGCTAGAGCTTAAAAAATGGTATCATTGTGTTCCTGGTGATCAGCCGAATCGAATGATATCGGTATGATGCAATTTGGTTAACTTGAACTTAATTTATTAATTTAAGTTTACTTAAAATTTAAGAAAAACTTTAAGTACACTTAAGCAAGTTAAAAAGTATATCATTCGACGCGCCTTGACGTGCTGAGTTCACTGGTGCTTTTCTTTTTGCTCTAACTTAATTAGACCAAAAGTTATAAGCGAAAAACTTTTGACCGTTTTTTAGCGAAATTTTTACATTTATACCCCCAAAACCCCCCTAAATATTGACCTAGAGCAACCAAATTTGCACAGGGGCGAGAACTCCAGGGGGCCCACCTACCTACCAAATTTAGTGTTTCTAGGTGCCATAGGAGCCAATCGCGAGGGGGGGGGGTCGCATCGACCCCCCCTGCCAGGTCGTGTTATGAAAAATGCCCTGCCAGGGCGAGGGTTAAAGGACGACTTCTGCCAAAGTATCGGCATCTAACAGCACGCTCACCGTATTCCCCATTCCAAAACACTAATACCTACTAAGTTTAGCTGGCTAAAAATATATGTAATACACTCAGACACACCAGAAAGCAACTATACAAAAAGCGTTTGTCTTCGGTGGCAGTGTTTATGTTTATCATTTTATAATGTTTATCGTTTCCGCCAATCCATCGTCGAAGAGCACAAAAGGACGTTAATAATATCTAAAGGGAAGATCGAGTTTGGAGAGAGGGAGAGGGAGAGAAAGACAGAAAGAGAGAGAGAGACAGAGACAGAGAGAGAGAGAGAGAGAGAGAGAGAGAGAGAGAGAGAGAGAGAGAGAGAGAGAGAGAGAGAGAGAGAGAGAGAGAGAGAGAGAGAGAGAGAGAGAGAGAGAGAGGACTAGAGGAGGGAAAGAGAAAAAAGGGTAGAAAAGGAAAGGAGCGAGTGAGTGAGTGAGGAACACACAAACAATTGCTGTACTGTAGGTAGGGGAGAGTGGGGTAATTTGGCCGCTTTTTTTAGAAAACGATGTAACTAAAAATCGACAACACATTTCTGCATTTTCTCAACGCTGACAGGTGTGGCATACATTTTACTTTCTTGGACAGTAAACTTGAAATGATAGAGTTACTACTTATATGGAAATTGTGGCGTATTACAAAGGTCTGCAAAGCGACCAAATGCCCCACTAGTAGGGTTATTTGGCCAGGGGTGTGGGGCAATTTGGCCGGCCATGATTTGAGGCCATGATTTTTGTTATAGGCGAGTCAGCTTCACATTCAGCAATGACGCGTGTCCTACGACGCATTTGAAGCATTTTGGAGGTTGACTCAGCCGTCACAGGGGTCGAAAATAGTCAAAATAGCGGCTCTAGATGCGATGACAGTTTTTTTTACGAATAGCTTTTGAAGGAATCAAGCTAGGACAAAACTAAAAGTACCATCGTTATTATCTCGTCATTCCGAATCGAAACATGTATCTGTTGACCTCGAGAGGTCAAGGTCAAAGGTAGGTCGCTTGACCTCAAGGTTACGTGAGTTCAAGGTCATCATGTATACCATTCGATGTGCCTTGACGAGCTGAACACAATGAGACCATTTGCGCGGCTGTATCTTTTTCTGTAAGTATTTATTAGCAAAAAAGCGTTAGGTAACCTTTGATGACGTCACATGCCCTTACAGCTGTCCAATAGGAAATATGGCATCAAGGTAGTCAAAGTTGGTCATGAATTATGTCCTTTATGGTATAATTGACCATGACAACTCGGCCGTCACAGCATAGTGACTCTGAGCGCACCGGCCAAGTTGCCCCGCTAGTCCCGGCCAAATAACCCCACATTGCCATTCTGAAAATTTTTGTCTATAAAGTCGTCATGGCTGTACAGAACTAGATGAAATTGCTCTTGGAACCGCTTAACACCCTGAAGAATGGCGCTATAATGTTGGAATTCGTTTACAGCCCAAATACTACATGTTATACAAATTTTTAAACGGAAGTAAAAGTTACCATTTTCTAACGAAATTCACCTTTTTTTAATTTTGAATATAACTAAGAAGGGGAAAGTTTTGACATTTGTTCTCGAGTTAGTTCTGCCGATGACAAATGAATAGAGACTTAAGTTATTTCATTCACTTTTATCAGCTTTCGTACAGGTGGGGGCGGCCAATTTACACCACCGGCCAAATTACCCCACTCTCCCCTATGCATGTACATACTAGCCGTTTTCACGACGGCCAACCGGTACACATTTGGTGCACATCTGGTACAGATTAGGTGCAGATTTGGTCAAATCAGGTTCAGTGTGTCTCTTAGCAGCTATCAGCTAGGGTTGCATTAATTGCTTATATATGCCTGCTGTGTCATATTATCACAGAGCATCATCGATTAAAACACTGAAATAAATTCATAAAATGAAGATATTTGCTGTAAAACAAATTAGGTGCAGATTCGGTCAAATTAGGTGCATTCGCCGGATAGCCCGTCGTGAAAACGGCTACTGTTAAAGAAGCATTAAAAGAAGGTGGCACTGTAAGCAAGGGGACGCCAACCTATCAACCTGCTGATCCATAGGGCCCCTCAGAGATCTCGGGCTCACTCACTCACCTTCTTCGCCTCGTCGTCGACGCCTTTCTGTAGGCGCAGCTGAGACCGGTCGGTTTTAAAGGCCGGCCCTGACGCCCCTGTGTGCTCGGTCAACTGACGCAGTCCCGCAGGGGCCCGGCTGTGACGTAGCAGTGCCAGTATCGCGAACCGTCCGATCGTCGTGGGCTCGATGTTCGTGGTACGGCCTTGGGGGAGGCGGTGCGGAACTGGTGCACTATAAATGCGCCGCAGCACCTACCCAGCTCCGCCCACCAGACCCATGACCCATAGTGAAGTTCGACGGTTGGAGACGCTGCATGTTACCCGATACTATTGGCTGCATTGTTGCTTACAATATTCAAATGGTACACAAGCAGCGGGGTTGTTGAAATCCTCGCCGTTTCATTTCTATAATTGAGATAGAGCTCGCTAAAAAGAAAGGGCGTATACGCCGTTACGAGACACAGCGACATGGTGTGTATCCCATCCCATTTCTCAGGGCAACCGGTAACCTATGAGGTCAGGTCAAATGCCCAAAAGTATAAGTTTGGTTTTGGTGGGTTACTTCGCCAAAAATGGCATGTCCCCTGAAGTCACTGCGATTCTACACGATTTTACATTCTATTCTTTTCAGCCGAATCCCGGGACCCAGGGCATGCTCCATGCTAATCACCCATTGCCCATTGATATGTTCATTGATGCAGATTGCAGATATGAATGGAATAGTTGTGTTCGACACGTCTCTAGCCTTTTTTCTATGCGTTTACCTAAGTTACTCTGACATTTTGTGTATAACTTCATGCCAGTCTTTTGAAAACAAATCTGGAAAAATGAATAGATATCGGACAAATTATGGGAGTGCGGATGAGGTGCAGTTACGCCGGGGCTTCCGATGAGTCGTTTGCGATGCATTTAGTTCAACTGCGCCACTGCACGGAATATACGGTAGCCCCTGCCTACGTGTTGGCTGTTGGCAAGGCATGATAAACGATCCCACGCTATCATAAACACAACAGTCAGCGCGGCTGAAATACCAGCACGTCACACTATTCCTTGGAAGCGCAAACTTCCCGCGTGGCTGTAAACAATGTTTACGATGTTGTTTAGAACTCACATTTATCAGTAGTCCGTCTAGGACGTAGGTAGTATTTCTAATAATTGTTGCAAAAAAAAGGAAAAAACGAGCACGTTTTGTGTTGAAAAAGGCCTAGGACCTAGGCTCTAGCCCGCGAGTTGCTGGGGGGGGGGGGGGGGCGTTAAACGCCCCACTTTTTTCGCCGGTCATTAGACTGCCAGTACTATGAACAATCAAATGAATATCTTCGATTTTTTATTTGAGTAGCCCACTTGGGAGTATGGACTTTCAAAGGTCTGCCAGAGTGGACCCCCCATTATCCGACTGACGTAGCCTACAGCTGCCTCGGGTAACTTTTGAATCCCTGAACCGGCTTTTGGCTGCCTCAGGATGGGGCAAAATAATAATTCAAAGGACCAGCACACCCCATTTAGGCGGATGATGATACTTTGGAGTTGGAGTGACCGGGCGCACCAGCAACGGCCAACGAGGCTATATCGCGGATCCCATTTAGGGCCGCGGATGGGCCCTTTGAGCCCATTCAATTGAAGTCCTTTCCCATGCTGAGAAGACCAACTGAGAGGGCCGTCTATACTCAGGCTGCACGTGGGACTGGGTCAGGCCCATGGGCTGATGATTTGTGGGTCTTTAAGGGCTGCAACTCAGATTAGAGATGTGGGCTATTTTAAGAAGTATCATGATCAGGTCTGAGTATCCTGTCAGAGGTCTATAGTACATAGATAGGCTGTGGTGGATGAATCTGGCAGCTAATGCCAGAGGTGAAGGGCCCATCACAAGTCTGGGAGGTCCTGAACCAAGACCCCTAGGGCCAACAAAACTCCAATTTTGACAATTGGTTGACCTCTGGAGGCGATATCGTTGGCCTTGAATGAAATATGAGTACACGGTAGCAAAAATGTTTTCCCCGCAATGTTGTAGGTAATCCTATGAGTTCAATGAGAGGAGCCCTTCGCCTGAGAGTCCTCCGTCAGCATGATAGGCTAAGTCTTGACTTAGAAGTCGTGCCGCACTGCCGCTCTCATTCAAAAATGCTGTTCACGCGTTTACGTCTGCTGTTAGAAAACCGGAACACTTGCGTAAGTTAATTTCTAGAGTCATTTTTCATTATTACTCACTTATTAATTTATGTAATGTATGAGCAAACTGGCGATCCTTTAGAGTTTCGAGCCAGGCCTGCATTCTCCCTGTCCCCTTCCGTCTGCAGCGCTACACATGCTGGACAGGAGCGATGCCAGCGCCACGGCCGCCGCGGCCACAGGCCCGCCCGGGCCAGGCTGTGAGGGTGATCACATGTAGGTGGCGCCGTATGTGATGTGCCTTTCTTGCTCCTTGCAATCTTGCAGGCTGCAACGTTGAAACCAAGACCGCACTGGTCTAGCAACAGGAGCGTGTGTATCATAAGCGGAACAGACAGTTTGACACGCCCAAGTTTCGATGAGTGACGTTGGAATCAATCCGATAATCACTGACCACTAAATGAAACCGACGATGCTGATGGTGCTGAGCAGAGCGACTGAAAAACAAAACAAAGTTTACAATGTATTTGCTGAAACAGCCCTAGGCACGTCATGAGTGTCGTTTCATCGTGGCTCGAAGAAATGCAGGTCATGTTAACAAAATGGCATGAGCAGTGCTGTATTTCTCCTTTGAGAAAAGTGCTTTATTTAGGTATTACTATTATGATCTTGCCACCAATTGAGTCACCATGACCGTTGGAATACTCATAAAAATAGATATCAAATCAACAGCCCATTTCAAGGTAAGCCGTTTCGCGACCGAAATTTCTAAAAGTCGTGCAAATTGGTAGATAAGAATGAAATTGGGTCACCAAATGATGAGAACGAACGCTGTTAAATTAACCCGCGCCCCGTAGGGCTACCGGCGGACCCTACCACCCGTAGGGGGGGGGGGGCCGTTTCGGCCCCCCCCTAAGATCTCGGAAAGTTACCGGCCGATTTTCAAAATTCAAACGGCGTTCGATAGCCCCACCCGGGAACTACCTTGTGACCAAATTTCATTGACCTAGGTCAAACCGATGACGTCACAGGTCAGGTCAAAGGTCAGATTTTCACCGTTCACAGGCAATTCAAGAAATGTGCTGTGAAAGCGAGTAAATTGGTAATTTATTGAAAACCATCGATGGTACATTGTTCGTCAAACACATACTTTGCTATCTGAGGTCACTGATACCAGGTCAGGTCACAGCGAGGTCAGGTCACCGGGGGTCACAATATGAATGTGTCGTGTGATACATGTTTTATGGTCCATTTTACATGACAAATGCGATTATGTGGGTTAGGCAGCCTTTGGGGCCAGCCTAGGTCACGTTTTTGTGAAGGTCAGGTCAAGGTCAGGTCAAATTAGGTCAAATTTCAAAGTTGATATTTTTGCATAAAATGGGTATTGATTCGATGCAGCTCATCACGGGGAGTCTAATGGTGGTCTTTGTTTTGCTCTACGAGTTCTAGAATTGTCATAAATTGAGTTTGAAAATTTGACGTCATCATTTTTGAACAGTTTTTTCGCTATAACTTGGCCAAAAAACGAGGTATCGATCTGAAACTTGGTATGTAGATAGAAGACGGTAGGCACTATCACATATATTCCGGTTTTTTCGAAACTCAAAAAACTTTTTGGATTTTTTGGCGAATATATCCAAAAAAATGCTTTTTTTAATTTTTGGGGGTCAAAACTCAAAAATTTCAAAAATTCGAGATTGCAGTTTTGTAGCCCTGTCAATTCTACACCTTTTATGTCTTGATCATTTTTCTGTATCTTCAAAGCTGTAGTCCTGACAGGTCTTCTCGCGAAGGTCTTTTTTCGGTCGAAAATGACAGAACATGACGTCACTCTGACGTCATTTGTGGCCAACCTATCATAGCCTCTGGAAAAATTTTTAGTCACAATGTGCAAAATTGATGCCCGGAGGGGTCCTGAAAGTTTGGTGGCGATATCTCCAGCCGTTTAGGAGATATCGACCGAAAAGGACAGGGAGGGGCCGTTTCGGCCCCCCCCCTACGGGGCGCGGGTTAAACAGCTCACGTCTATTATATATGCAGCTCGTGCCGCCGTCGCTGCAGGCCCGGCTAATTAAGTCGCTGTTTGCCGCGCTCTATCGGCCGCCCGGTCTGCCACCCGGCTCTGAGCTGCCCGCTATCGGCTCGCCGATAGGTGCAGCAGGGGCTATCGGTAACGCCAGATGAACGAGCCATCGATCGTCTACCCCAACCGTGCTGGTATCCCGCGGTATATAGGGCTAGGAGAGGACCTGGTATGTACCGGTGCTTGGGGCTGTATGCACTATACATAGTATGAAGTATACTCTGGAACACTATACACATTATGTATGCATTCCTGCAGATCTAATATCAAATATCCATGGCAGCATCGTGGTGTAGAGCTTTTAAGACTGGTCTAATTCATAGTTCTTTTTTCTGGTAACAATGGCACACACCGCATCCAAAAATGGTATTCCCCAGGTAGGTATGTTCATTGGGCCGCAAATGGCACTGTACATACTGGTACATATTCTCATTCCTGCACGATATGCCCGTACGTGACACATTCGCCTTCCGAGTACTTCACTGCCACAAATACTCAAAGTACTCAGACGGCACACTGCAGCGCAGAAAAACATCCTTAACCGGGCCTCAGTACTTAGACCACGTTTCAGCCCCTTTTACGACCGTCCTGGTAGTCCATAACGGCGCGGTGACTCCCGTTATATAGCTGCAACGACGTCCCCAAACCCCTCCCTCCCAATCGTTCACCGTCCTCCCCCTCATTCCGGGTCATTAGCCTCGGAGGAGGGCCGGGGAGCAGTCGCCGGCGGGACCGTCCCGAAGGCAGGGTGAATTGCCGAGCCCCCTCCCTTCGCTAGCTCGCTCACATTTTGCATGGCGAGGCAAATTAATGTTTACCAAGCGGCTGAATGACGCCCAAAGTCGGTGCGCATCTTTATCGAGCTAACAATTATAATAACTCCGCTAAGCTTCATTGAGTATTATATTGA